AAAGTTGTGACTAAAAGTGCTGAAGTAATCCATATAGTTTTGAATATTTATATTATGCCTTGGAGGAGAGTATATTGCTGATAAGTTTGTTGGTATATTGTTGAGGTCTAGTAAAATAGCACAAAACTGTAGATGCGGTTGACAAAAATTTGGAAGGAGTTGGAAAGACAAGGAAGATTTAATATAAATTGCAGCACCACCATGAGCGGTATTATTTAGATGATTAGTTTTTAGGAGATGATAACCAGGTATGGAGATGTGGGAGTATTTGTAAAATGCGTTTCAGAAATCAAGGCAATATCGATCCGCTTCTCCTGAAGTACTAATTAAAGTTCGTTTGAATGATTTTTGAGACCGTTTGAGTTGAATAAAAGGATAAGAAGGGTTGCTTGTGAAAGGAGACATTAATTTTTTTCTAGAAGCTTTGAGATAACTTGGGTGAGAAGAGCGATTAGCGGGTTTATTAGTAATTTGAACTCGTCAAGGAACTTATTTATATCTGATACAGGAGGAGGGATTATGTTGTTTGGGTGGGTACCGGAGGTAGCTTGCGCGTAGGTTTGAGACGAGTCAGATGAATGTGCTAAGGGTGTTACCATAGGTTGACTAACCTGTACATTTTTTTTATGACTAAGATTCCCCAGCAAAGGACTGCTCATTTTTGGTTTGTTGCGAAGCTGTAGCTCCTTGTAAACTGAGCAACCTTTATAGTTTGAAGGATGATCACCGGAGCAGAGGGCGCATTTAGGAGTAGCATCCCGTGGGCTTGTACAGGCCGAAGAAGAGTGGAGAGCACCGCAGCGGACACAGCGAGCTGGATATTTACGAACACAAAAAGTACAGTATAAATTCAAAAAGTTAACAAAAAAATTAACATTTTCATTTAAAAAATCATATTGATTATTATAGATATTTAAATTACAAAACAAAATCATATTAATAATTTTTTTTTAGACGATATTTAGCATCTCTTTCCTCTAACCGACTTTTCAATTTCGGAAGAAATTTTATTAGCCGAAGCCACTTTTAACATTGAATTTAGATGTGTGTCGGTTAATCAGGATCTTACGGGTGATTTATTGCTGTTCATTAATGAAAATAGCTGTTATAATTTGATCTTTCCCTTGTAATTTTAAATTTAAATTTGACAAGTGCTTCGTAATATCGACCATGAAGGATAGGTCTTGTAATCACATTGGATCCGACAAAGTGCTGACGTCTTGTTCTTTAGACTCTAAAAATATTTGTATTGCATCTTTTAACCTCCAGAATTTTTCCAATACAGTTGAGCATGATAATCATCGTATTTCTATAAACTATATCAAACCTGAATACCCGCTTTCTAAATCGTTTAAAAAATCGAAACTGTCTTTGGTTCAAACCACGGGATCTTATAAAATTAACCATTTGTTTTACAGGTCTTATTACATGTGCTATATTAATAACTTTTAAACAACACCTCTTGATGTATAATACAATGTGTTTATGAAATGTATGATCAATATTTTCATTCGCATTTTTTGCAAACTTTCAACGAAACCTTTATTTTCCCCCGTCATATAGTGAGCTCCATCTGTAGCCACAGACGATAACTTTGCCAAAGGTAAATCATATTTTTTCAAGAGTTTAAAAACAGAAACAAATACATCCTTTCCTGTAGTAGTATTATACATAGGTATAATTTCCAATAACTCTTCATAAATATTAAATTCCATAACGCAACAACGAAAATACACAGCTAAGAGCTGTGCCACCAATATCGATACTTTCACCACAAGCGATTGAAAAATACTCGAAACTAGGTATTTTAATTTTAATCTGATCACTCAAATTGCATGTTAGATCAGTTATTCTGTAAGCAACCGTATTTCGTGTTAATGAAATGTTTTTAAAAGCTTTTAGATTTCCGGGATAAATAATTTCAGCACTTTTAATCAAACACGTTTTTATAAAATCACCTTCAGTAAATGGTTTTGAATATTTGGCAATTAACTCTGACAACACGTAACTAACCTTTACTGCAGCTTCATTTTCTTGTGGTATTTTAGTAAACATTAGCTGTTGTTGTTTATACACCGATTTAAACTTTAAGTTTTTCTTGTCTTAGTATCCCTTCATACTGGTCGTCTTATTTTGGCTAGGGTTGTTTGTTATATCGCTTAATGTTGTATAACTTTGGAACATAATTAACACTTTTACATACTAAGCAAATTATTTCATGATTGATTTCATTACAAAAATATTGTATTTCTCAACTTTCTTGAAATTGACGATGTTCATCGGTAATTATTCGTTTATTACTACCATTTGGTTATGATACGAGACACTTTAAATATTAAATTTAAGTAAAATGTGCGCAACAAAATTTAAACTCGAAGGTTACCAAACGACTAGATTAGATGTTGGCTATGGAAAAAGCACGCGTATCGCGTACTGATGATATCAATTATTAATAATTTATTTATATATATATATATAAATGTATATATGTATATATGTTGTTATATATGTTGTCATATTTTGTTGCTTAATAATAAAATTTGATGTTTGTGTTAATGGTTTCACAGGAACTAAAAATGATTTAATATTCATCATCGGTTTTTCTAACAGCTTTTTCAACATTTTTTAATCCGTTGGTAATAGGTTCAAAAGCTTTTTGTTTTTCTATTTCATTATTTAGTTTTTTTTTCTATATAAAAAAATATTTAGTTTTTATTTCTATATATTTTTCGCAATTTTTTTCAAGATTGTTTCATTGATATCTGCTTCTGTTAATTCTTTTTTCTCTTCAAAATGTACTTTTTTCTAATTTATTAGGTTTTTTTAAGTTTAATCTACTTTTAATTTTTTTCTTAAGATTGTTTTGAATTTGTTCAAGCGTTCTCATTTATTATAGAAAAATACATTTATTTTAATATTCAACGATTAACAATAAACATTCAATATTTAACAATTAACGATTAATGTTCGTATTTTTAATTTAATTTTTTTATTTCAAATATTACTTTTATTTAATGCATATGAACAAAGAACAGGAAATAAAACAATGTGAATATAGATCATAAATTTGTTTTAAAGTGAAATTATCAGAAGTGGTCCAGAACCGACATATTAATACTACTCATGTTTATCATATTTTTATACCAAGAAAAGTCTTACAGATCATGAGGAATATTGCAAAACTAATAAATGCGCTAAAGCAATATTACCAAATATATCTGATCGTATTCTTTAATTCGAAAAATAGAATCATTCTTATAAAGTTCCATTTGTTATTTATGCTGTTTTTGAAAGCATGCTTCCTAAAATTGATACATGTCAACCTTGTGATACAGCCTCTTATACAAAAAAATATCAAAAAACTTTACCCGTTAGTTTTTTTTTTAATGTTAAGTATAGTAATACTAGTAAAAATAATCTAGTAACAGCTAAAGTATAGCTATGCAGCTAAAGTTTTTTTATGAAAAAATAAAAGATGAAGCACTTTATATTGCAAAAAATTATTTAGATGTGAAAAAACCTATGATAATAACCAAAGAACAAGAAATTGAATTTGAAAAAGAAAATAACTGTCATATATGTGAAAAATTTTTAAGTGATTCACCACCAATACTAAAAATTCCAGGTAAATTTAAAGATGAACTTAATGGTCAAATAATGACAGAGGTTGTTGGGTTAAGATCTAAATTATATACATATAAAATATTTGAAAATAAAAATCAAATTAAAAAAGCAAAAGGTGTGAAAAAACCTATAGTAAAAAATTAATTATATTTTAATTATTTTTATAATTGTTTAAACAATAAAAATCCAAAATATGTAAAACAGAACACTTTTAGAACTGATAAACATGAAATTTATACTGTTGAACAAAATAAAAAAGCCCTTAGTGCATATGATGATAAAAGATATATTCTAGAAAACGGTATTGNAACTAAAATAAAAAGAGAAAATTTCAGAGAATACCTTGATAATTTAATAAAAATAAATAATAAAAAATAATGTTAATTTAATTTTTTTAATTTATTTTTTTTCAAATATTTATTTTTTTATTTTTTTATTTCAAATATTATTTTTATTTAATGCATGTGAACCAAGAACAGGAAATAAAACAATGTGAATATAGATCAGAAATTTGTTTTAAAGTGGAATTATCAGAAGTGGTCCAAAACTGGCACATTGATACTACTTATATATATAAAACTATCAAATACTTATTCCATTACAGTTTATCAGAATATAAGACAGTGTACCAAATATACCATTCTCTAAGAATCTAAGATAGTTGTGACATAAATAAATATGTTATAATTTTGTTTATTTTGTCCATTAATATTGGTAACCATGGGCGTGTTTGACATTCCTGCCCTACATAATCAATACCATATGCCTACTAGTGCCCGTCTGGGTTTTTCACCAGTAAAAGCTGAGGCCAAATCCACTAAATCCATTTTGGACCAAGTTTGCAGTGGTGGTCAAGTCTGTTTTCATTATTTTATATCCATGATTATAACAAAATTCCATTGTGGCTCAGCCACCTTAAAAAATATTCTTTGGATAAGAAAGAGACTAATAGGAAACCTACAGTTCTGATAAGTCACTAACATACCTAGTTAGTTATATTTTATATGCAGGAATAATTATATAACGTAAATATATAATAGTTGTATTGTAATAATTCATCCATTAATAATGAAGAACCAAATAATTTTTAATAAGATATAATTGTCTTTATTGACTTAAATACAGAAATATGCTTTTTAGGGAAAACAGACATTTAATAATTCAAAAATTACTTTATTGAATTTGCTGCTTAATGTACTTGCATTATGTATAATAATTTAAAAAATCAAAAAATAATAATTAATATACTATTAGTGAAATTAAATATATACACAATTACTATAAAAAATATGTATTGTACAGGTATACATTTTTATTTTTGAGTAGTCACATTCTTCAAGATTTTTTAATATAAATATTGAAATAGACAATATTTTTTAAAAGAATAATCAAAATAAAATTTGGATTTAATACATTTAAGTAAATTATATGTTTTTAACTCCAAAGTCCCAATTCTTTCATTTTTATTTGGAAAAGCCTTTCTAATTCCACTGCACAATTTGACCAATATGAATCTTCTGGATTAAATGTTTTACAGTTACTAAACATTCGTCTCATATCAGCTATAAATAGTTTCTTGATAACATAGTAACCAGCAGCCAATCGCTTACCAATCGTACTCAGATCTGTAAATTAAAATGGTTTAGTTATAAAACTTAATAAAATCTAATGAAATATATTTTTTTCAAAATAAATTAATAAATATATCCAAAAACCTTGTTATTATAGGGAACATTAATGTGTTCATAATGTGCATTTTAATTTCTATGAATAAGTAGAAAACTTCATAAAAGAGATATAAGAAAATTTCCACTAAGAGTTATATATTTACAAGGGATGTCCAGAAAGTAAAGATACAAGGCTTTCTAAAAACACCCAAAACTATTTTATTAAAAAAAATTATATGACATTAAAGGTATATAACTCATTATTTTTCTTCAATAAGGTGGTAATGAAAAGTTTGAGGTCCTCGAATCTCTTCCCCCTCAAGCTTCTTTCAACTTGGTGAAAAAATGTTCATTGCTGGGGTCCAAGTCAGAACTGTAAAATGGTTAGGACAAAATGTCCCAACCAAATTTCTGCAGTAACTCCTGTGTTGCAGGAGCAGTATGTGGGCGAATGTGATCCTGGAGACGACAAACTCTTTTTGTTGGCATTCCCGTTTTTTGTTCTGTATGGCATGCCTTAATTTTTTAGAGTTCCACAATATGATTGTTCATTAATGGTAATACCACGGGTCATGAAATTGACCAGGATATCCCCCTTCCTGTCCCAAAAAATGGATGTCACACCTTCAAGAGAGTTGTTTGGAATTTTTTGATGCTGGGAGAATGTGTATGGCGCCACTGCATCGATTGTCTCTTGGTTTCTGGTATTGTGTAGGAAATCCAAGCTTTATCCCCTGTCACTGTACTGTCCAAGAGTTCCTTTCCTTGTAGGTCACAAAAACAATCTTCCTGATTCAATCCTCTTCTGCTTGTGTTCATCCATAAACATTTTTGGGACCCAATGAGCACTCAGTTTCCAGAAAGCAAGTTGATTCAAGACCACTTTGTGCAGAAAAAATCAAGAAACACCTGGACATTTCTCAAGAAGTTTGTTGAGTCATGGATGAATTGTTCAACTTTATGGACAAAATCATTTGTCACCACACCGCTCCTCTCATCATTATGCACACTCATTCTTTTTTCTCAAAATTCTCATACACATTTGGTGTCATTTCAATGGTTCAAAACATCTGGTGCATATGCTTAGACAAGGCGATGGGTCACATTTCTTACTTCAAATATTCAGTAATAGAGGTGGTGGGGATCATGCGATGATTTGCCCATGGTAAAAGGACACGCACAAAGATTTCCATGTACTGAACCAGTTTTCATTTTGAATTGTTTGTTACATTCTCCACTAAGTCGCAGTAGTGCCAACTTTTGAAAAAATAATTTCTTATGCTGTGGGGGGGGGGGCTTGTATCTTAACCTTCCTTACATCCTTCATAAGTGAGAAAGTAAAGAATTTCATGACATTTATTTATTGTTTTGTAATCTTGTTGGTTATTTTCTAAGTCATAATCAGGAGATTTGTTAATAAATACATTTCACTAATTTATAATATAGTTTTAGTTTTTACAAAATAAATAAACATACCCATAGGATATTTAATCAGCTCATAATAACCTGGTACTTTTTTATCAACAGGATGTAAAAATGGTTCTGCTAATGCATGATTTTTTATCTGAAATAATAATTATATGTAATAAATTGTATTAAGTGATTTATTATTCTTTTTATTTTATAGGTGTTCAATTAACAATGAAATTAACTTTAAATAGAATTATAAAATAATTATTTATATAATAAAAATACTTACAAAATGCAAAACTTTTTTTAACTGTTTTGCTAAAACATCAACATTGGTAATGTCCTCTGTAATACGACTATTTCTAGTATATCGAGCAGATGGAATCCAACCTGTCTCCATTACACCTGGAATGGATTCAATTGTCACAACTTTCACTCCTTCCTTAAAACAAGATAGACCTGGGTAATGCCTTTCAATTTTCTCATGGTTTTCTTCAACCAAACTTTTAATTATCTATAAATTTAAAAAAAATTAAGAAATTTTTAATAGTCAAGTGAAAGAATATGTACCTAAAAATATCAAAGTTCATTTAAGGTGACTAAAAGTCTATGTTTTGTTAATAAAAGAAAAATTATATAATTTTCTGTGTTTAGAAGTATGAAATGTCCATCTATTTCTAGAATTAAATAATGGAACTGATATATTGATTATACTAAGAAGAAAACTGTCCTTTATTTAACCATGCAGTATTTTGGTAAATAAAAATAACTTCTTGAACTTAAAGAGTGAATATTTACCAATTACTTAAGAGGTTCATAGTTATGGTCAGTAATTGTGCAATTCTTTAAAATTTTAATGTTAATATATCTTAGAAATTTGTTATGAACAGGCTCAATTTTGTTTATTCGGCCATATTGATGTGGGATAGATTAACCAAAGCAAAATAAAATATTTTTAGAGACAAAATATTGAAAGCATTTTTATTAATAAAGCCAAGTGACCTTGTTGCTTTAGTTACCATTGACTGTATGAGTGTTAAGAGGATGTTATATCCACATCTACTGTCTCAGTTCAACTACTGGGTAACATCTAAAAACAAAAACTTATACAGAATAAGTAAAACTAGCTTAATGTTGATTTAAGAGTAAAATTACCTATTATGAAATTTATAGAGAACCATATTTTGGAGGGAATTACATGGGTGTTTTTTGAATGATGAACTATTAAAAATTTTGTAGTTATTTAAAAAAAAAAAAAAGGTTTTTGTATTTTTTTTATTGAATTGTATATTTTGACTAATACAAAAACCATACAACATTCCATCCAAAATAATGCTCTCTATATATTACATAATAGGTATTTTTACTTTAAAATCAAAATTAAGGTAGTTTTACTCTTCTTGCGTAAGCATTATTTTTGTTCTAAGACAGTAGATGCAGGTATAATATTTTCTTAATAAGAAAGTGAGCTAGAAAAATAATTTTATCTTTTATAAATTTAACTCTAGGTAGATGGTTATTATCAGAAAAATAACCAATGAAGATTGGAAATTTATTATTGTAAAATTAATTAGAATTACATTTATTAATTTTTAAAACATCAATCTCAAAAGTAATCAAAGTATTTTTGCAATTTTAAGCCAACCTTCAATAAGTCAGCGATGAAGTATAATTTTAAATTGGCTGACTACATGTTAAAATTTGCATACTTAAAAACTAAACCAATATTATTCACAGTTAAAATTAACAAAAGTGGAGAAATATGGTCATCATGCGATACACCTAAAGGAATGAAATATTTTCTGAACCATAGTCTAACTTTTGAGTCCTAAAGGAAACCTAGGAACTAAATCTGTTTTAAATGTTAACTTTAACATCCATCAACTCCAATTTGCCAATCAATACTGAGTGGTTAATCATATCAGAAGCTATGCTGATATCTATACAGATTACATCTAATTGATTACCTCTTTCAATAGCATCTATTAAATATATATATAATAAAAAACTAAATTTTAAGTTACGGATTTATATGGGTGAAAAACAGATTTCTCTATTACTATTACATGTTAAAAAAATAAGAGTTTAGCTTTAGTAATAAAATAAATTCAAATAGTTTTAAAATCGATGTCATAATGTTGGTTGGTCTATAATTTATAATATTAGAGCGCCATAAATGATTGCTGTAGCAACTAAATTAAGTTAGTAACTTAAGAAAGCTTGACATACTTCATACCACAAGTGGGCCACTGTTCTAGGTGAGAAGTTAAGAAGGTAGAATATAGAGGTGAATTTAGTGGAGCACGATTTTTGTTAGAAAAGTTTGCACAACAAATTGAAAGGTATTTTTCGATTAAAATAGTCTAAGCGAGTCATAACTGAGTCTCTAGGTACACCTAAAATGCATTTGTTTTTTTCTTGTTTAGATAAATAGAAAAAATAGGCGCAAAACAAGGGTTTGACCTAACCTATAGTATAACAATAGGTATAGGCTTATAAAAAAACTACAATTTCGAAACTTAGTCAGTCTGCTCAATTCTGACTTCACCAGCGTTCTTAAATCAGCAATATACATATGTTCAAAAAAAAAAAAAAAAATTGAAAAATTACATTTGTTCCACATAATTTTTTACTTTAATAATTTTTGTCAAAATTTGATATTAAAATTTTTTTTTGACCACTAAGACTTTAAATAAACCTCTTGTTAAATTTTCACATATTATATTTCGGTTTAGTCTACCAATTTCACCACACAGTACCTACCTAATAAAAATTATGTATAAAACTCTCAATATTAAATAAAATGTCTATAGCTCTATAAAGGCTTACATTTTTTAAAAATTTTAAATAAGGCAAATATACATTTTCTGTCCAAATTTCAAGTCTCTATGAATGTTTTTAACAACAAATAACAAAATTAAAAAAATAATAAAAGAATTATTTTTGTAAATTTCTTGCTTTTCTTATGTTGTATCCTGATTTTTCTTCACATAGAATGAAAATCACTTGGATAATCAAAAAATGACCTACTAAAAGTAACATCTGGATTACATTCTCTTTCAGAAATGATGCTGTGTATATATCATACTCGAGCAAGATTTTCTAAAGAATTTTTGTACAGTATAAAAAAAAAAATATAAACATCTAAACCAATATATTCTTTGGTACACTCTATTTAAAACCAATTCAAAATTCAAATTTTACACTAGTTAACAATTAAATATGTTTTTAAATGTAACCAAACCTAAACACTTAATCAGTTTTTGTTTTAGGAGTATGTAGCTGATTTTTACATAATAATGTAATTTTCTTCTTCTTCATCGGTTTTTTAAAGGCCATTGAGGCCCATTACCGCAACACAAACTTGCTCCCATCTGTCTCTGTCCTGTGCTATTGTTTCTCCATCTCATATTCCAATCTCTACTAAATTCTTCTCCGCCTTGTCAATCCACCTTTGTTTCGGCCTGCCAAGTGGTCTTTTTCCCTTGGGTTTCCATTTTAAAACCTCTTTCATAAGACCATTTGACCTCCATACATGACCGGCCCATGCCATTCTCCTATTTTTTAATACTGCTACTATGTCTGGCTCTTTATATAATTGTTGTATTTCTATATTATTTCTTTTCTCATATTGTCGTGTCATGTTATTTATTTTTGGCCCAAATATTCTTCTTAATATTCTTCTTTCGAGTATTGCTAATTTGTCTTCGTCTCCTTTAGTCGTTGGCCATGTTTCACACGCATATAAAAGGACTGGTCTGATAATTAACTTGTATATTATAATTTTTGATTTGAGTGATACACGTGATAGCATTTATTTTCTGCAGTTAGTCTTATTTTAATTTCATCGTGATTATTATTTTTGCTATTTATTGTAACACCCAGGTATTTAAAATTTTGCACTCTTTCAAATTTATANATTATTAGTTCTTTGGTTCCTGCTTTGACTTCTTGACTGTCTGATCCCAATATGATAATATTATCTGCGTACGCTAGTACTCCGCATTGTCTTCTGTTCTCTTCCAAGTTTACCCCATCATATTTTTTATGAGTTTTTCTAACTACCATTTCTAATGCTATATTAAAGAGTATTGGGGATAGGGCATCTCCCTGTCGAAGTCCAGTCTTAACTTCAAATTCATCTGATATATGTTGATTGAATCTAACTTTACATCTGGTTTTATTCCTACATAATTTGATCATTTTCACTATCTTATCTGGTATCCCAAAGGTTATAAGTGTGACCCATAGTACTTTTCTATTAATTGAATTATAAGCCTGTTTATAGTCAATAAATAATGTAATAATATATTTTAATAAGTAATGACTTATTAATTGCATATATTATATTCCACCCAAATTCATTTTAAAATAAAATTGGCAATATAATATATAAAATTTGATTTTAATATGGTAAAAACTATAAATTAAATCAATTTTATTTTTAGTATTAACTCCAGCATATTATAAACTATGAATTGCTCATTAATATTTTATTGTTATCTTATGTTATATAATATTATATTATCACACCCAACTGACAATTATTTCTATAGAATTCCAGCTTTTGAGAAGTTATCAATGATTGATTGTCCATACTTCTTTAAGTGCTAGAATATAATGTGAAATAAACCAAACACTGACTTAATTTTTTTTTTTTCAAAAAATTATGTTTTTCTAGGATATTTTATCTGTTAAAGTTTTGTGTTTTTAACAGTCAAAATATATTGCATACATTTGTCCTATATCACAATATATTATCTATTTTTCTTGATAATATAACATAATCCATTGTAATGTTTATGTCAAACATAAATATCAAAAACTAGAAATGTTGACAACAATTAGGAGGCAGAATGATATTATACACACATTATTTGTGCTGCATTTAGTACCCATTTATCCCTGTGTCCATTATACAAAAATATGAAACTAAAAATGACCCATTTTAATGTTTACTGTTAAAATATTAACATAGAAGTTTAACACTATAAACATATTAAGTTATTAACACTTACATCTTTTTGTATACGTATCACAGCTGTTAATTGAGTATAAATAATTTTTGGATTAAGTTCACAATGCATTAATATAGCACCTTGATAATGTTTAATATATTCTTGATGGATTTTTTTTGAGATTCTGACATCTTGAGTAAAACCTTGTTTTTTAAAGTACTCTAAAATAATATTTAATATTTGTATAATAATTACTAATCATTTATATTTTTAAACTCATACCAATTGCAAGTTTATCAGCATATGTGAGAAAATTCAAGATATTATGTTTAATATGGTAGTCTTTCAAATGGTTCATTAATTGAGTTCCATAACCGTTTTCTTGTTGATCAACTTTAACAGCACAGAATACAATCTCCGTGAATCCTTGAGAGGGAAATTGACAAAAACATATACCACCAATTGGATTTCCATCTTTCAACAAAGCTAGTGTCTTATGTTTCCTAATTAAAACAATATGATTTTTTATAATGATTGTAAAATTAAATATGATTTGATGAATTGTATACAAAATATAATAAAATTCAACTAAAAATGACTCTAAATCAATTATTACAAATTGCATATCAGTAAATTCGAAAAGAAGAAAATTAGTTTCAAATTTAAATGTTCCAATATTTATATTGATTTAGTAGTTTTTATGGATTAAAATAATAGTATAAAGTTAAAAGAAATAGTTGGACATTTTAACACTTACGTATCAAATACTAAACGGGTTATATATCGTACTGGCATTCTGGGTAATTGTGTTCTAAACAAATTTCTTAGTTGCATAAGCCACAGCATAGTAGTTTTTTCAACTCTAGAGTCTAATGAATTACCAATTACGACAAACCGTATAGTTCCATTTTGTTCTTCAGTTCGTGCTTGCTGTCCACGAGGACCAGTTTCAAAACCAAATTCCTAGTTTATTAAAACAATTAATATTAATACAATAGGCAGCTAGTTTTGAAAAAATGTACCAGGTGTCCTAGGTGTCATAAATTTCAATACTGTAACTACATCTGAGTAAAAAACAAATTGAATGATTTACATACAAATAAATTTAGCTACTCCTTGTTTACAATGGTTTAAAATTAGTACTAAATCATAAACATTTCTTAGTATATATAAAAAAAAAAAAAACTGAAAAACATCAAGATATTATTATCATCTTCAATAACTACAATAACATCTACTACAACTGCAGAATAAGTTGGTGCAACAAAAGAGGTAATGATAGCTGAAAAATATTACAAATTGACTTATCAATATTTCATCTTTTGTTGCATCCAAATGTTAAATTGTCTAGCATAATATCTAACAAGTGCTTTGCAATTTAAAAATATTATGGTGCTCAAGTAACTCTCCCCCTATTACATTGCATTAATGGTCACGTGAAACAACATTTAAAAAGTTATAATATTAATTAATCTTAAAATAAATTTTACCTTTGAATATGAAATAGGCCCACTTTGAATATTCTTTAAAATGTTCGAAATTTTGTCTTCCGATAAAATATTTTCAATAGTATTTTTTTCTTTTGGATTTTGTGATAAATCTCTAAAATAATTAATGCAAACAAATTATTTTTATTTTATAAATCAGTTAGAACAAACTAATATAAAACTAGATAGAATTGTTTATAATATAATTCCACCCATGGTTTTAAAGGGAATAGAGTAACATTACTATTCAAAATATTGCATTAATAATAAGCATTTTAACTTACTCATATAGTGATTTTTCTTTTTTTTTCCGATCTTTCATTTCATCTACTCCAGAGTCAAAAGAATCTAAAATATAACAGATATAGTTAGGGTAATTGGTTCTACAACCTTTTCGCAAGTTTTTTATAGTAAAATCATTTACAACAATATATTCCACTTAGAAATAATGATCTCATTATAAAAAATAATAACTTGTACTTATTAACTGTAAGCATGGACTAATCCTAAGAAATAATAGTACTAACCACTAAGTATGATTTTTTTAAAATCAGAATCTTTAAAATGCAAATCCCATATTGGAGAATGTGTAGCATAAACTTCTTGTTCTAATAGATTAAAATAACTGAAATGAAAAGAAATTAATATTTTTTTCAATTAGTACTTAATCAAATCAAATTACCTGGGCAAATAACTTGTTAAAAAATGTTTTTGATAATCTGAAGTTTTTACTAGTGATGAATTATATGACCAATCAGTTAGATGCATTCTGAAAGTTTTTAGTGTATATTTCAAAACATCTTTTCCAAATATCATACTCATCTTAAAACATGATGATAGTGATTGAAGATATTTAGGAAATAGACAAAATGCTAAATATCTGAAAAATTAAATAAATTTCTTATAAGTCTAATTAATTTGGTGATCTATAAAAAATACAATTCAATCTACTTAAGTACCTTTGGTAATAATATTCATAAGTTTTCCTCTGTTGTAGGGTTTTGCAATGCATTAATTCTTTAGGACAGACCCACTTCCAAAGGTCGTAATGTTTTACTATAAATTTAGAAACTCTTAAGGCGATTTTTAATTGCTAAAACATATTGTTTTTTTTTTTTTTTTTACATTATTTTTAAGTATTAATATAAATATTTATGTAGTGGTAACATAAGTTACATAAGTAATTTAATTTAATATTACTGAAAATAATTAAGAACAAGACTTACACAGCTATCGTGGCCAAACTTATACATATTAAAATTCATCAAAGTTTTAACAATGTTAGGGTTTTCAAATGGTGGACTTCCAAATAAATTATCAAGTGTAATATTAGAATCAGGGTGCATAAAACTCCTTAATTCCTGAAATTAAAATCGATAAGGTTAATTTATCAAATTCAAAGTGGTAACAACTATAATTATTGTTCCTTACATGATAAATGGAATTGTAAACGTCTTCTAACACAAAATTTCTCTCAGTAGTAAGTTGTTTAAACTCATGTTTTAAGGTGAAGGCTATGTTGTCTAAATCAAATACTAAGCCAAGTAAAATATTTAGTTTATCATTCTCTATATTTTCTAAATGTGAAATATGAGAATCTATATAATAAACAATTAAAATATAAAATTTATTTATTTTTAGAAAAATTCAAAATTGTTTATTAGGTACTTACTAAGTTGATGATTACAATTATAATTTGTACAGAGAGAAAACATTGTAGGATTGTCTTGTTTACCACGCCATCCATTACATTGGCAAGATAAAATCTAATAAAATAAATATTTTTAGTGGCATATACTATATATATATTGTAAGCTGTTAAAATTTAAATATTTACTATACAATAAGTATACATTTTAATCAATACAAATAATATGTAATACAGTAGAACCTTGACAAGTCGAAATTCAAGGAAAATGCAATTTTTTTCGACTTAATTAAGTTTTCGAGTTATCAAGGGTTTAGGAAAAAAAATTTGACTTAGTTTTTAAAATGTATGTATAGGCAAATTATTATTATTGAATAATTAATTATTAAATTTATGAGTTTATATTATCGAATGAAAAATACTATGATAAACATAATAAACACGGTTAGGATAAATTATGAGACGCACAAGCCAATTAGATAAATAATTATAAAAATTATCTGTTATTATCCACCTATACTCGTAACACAGAGTTATTCATAGTATTTTTTTTGAGTAATCAAGGTTTTTGTAAGGGAACAGTATTTAATTTGACTTATTGAAGTTCGTCTGTATTTTTTAGTTAACATGCCATTAAGCTAGAAATGAAGTCTCTCATTAAGTATATACTACATTAACTAATACATCAGGTATGCAATTTATTATATTAAAAGTTAGATGTATATAATTTATGTAGATACCTGACAACATGTTTTCCTTGACAATGCTAACAGTTTCTGATGTCTGCTTAGGTTAAAATTTCTGGTTCTGAATTGTATCACTCGTTCTAGGATAGGATCATTTTCCAAGCGAGATTTAAAAAACCTTGAACTCGATGCAGTTGATGTTGAGGGTATGCATTTTTCTAACTTAACGGACTTGGGCATGATTGTGGCAGGTGAATACCCTGCGCGTTACTTTCAAAATTTCACTCGTCGAGTGTACACTTCTGTGACAATAATATTATATGTAATAGTTAATACACGTAGTGTACGAATACGTACCATTAACGTCCAAAGGCGAACTTCGCCATCGAATTATTTCACTGTATGTAATTCCCAGCTACCAGTACACCAAACGAATTATAATCCTTACTAATTTTTTACGTAATGCCGGGTAAAAAACAAACAAATAATATTGTGACGAACAATTGTTCCTGTACAATGTAAACATAGATAAAAGATATTAACGGGCACGGAACGCGGGTTTCGACCGTATATTCTAACCAACAAATAGTCCACATAACAAACGTAAAAACGATTATGTGGTATTCCAATTACCAGTGATAGCATATCAACAAAACCTAACCATGGTTATCTTTATCGACACGTTATTAATGGTGATAACCGCCCCCTGCAAATTGCGATTTCCGTCGTGCCGATCGATCGGTGGACCGTGTGACAAATACTGTCGTTACCGCTATCGTATGCCACCTATCCGAACATTGTCGAAGGTGTCACAAATTCGCAGTTAGGTCAGTACTTCAAGTCACTTGTAATGGGTATCTTAAAGTGGCTGGATAGATTGTATAATATAAAAATGTCCTGAGATGATGATAATGAGTGGAAATGTTAACAATGAGACAGTGGTTGTGGTAAGAACCTTTTTTATTTCATTTTTAAACCGATGGTTACTAGTAAAGGGTTTGTATTAATATGATTATCCCCCTACAATTCCCAACAGTAAGATGATTAGAAATATTTATTTTTCAATCATAAACCATAGAACACAATATATATCAGTACACCTGTGTACTCTATGTAAATCTGTATTAAGTAAATCTGAAACAGTTGGAACCATTATCTAATTTTGAGAAACTTTTTGTTTCTATATAATTTTAATATCATAGATTTCACTAATTTCACTTTTCTAGAACACCTAGTTTTCAAATCAAATTTATCTTGGTCTTCTTGTACATTTTACTTATTAAATCATTAATAAAAGTTTATTTCATTTCATCTTATTCAGTTTACCATTTTCACCTTTGCAGAATAATATCCTAGTTGTTGACCACAATTACCATAAGAACCACTTACAATGAACCTTGTGTTAAATTTTCTAGCATTGAAGAATCCAAAAAAAAAACGTGTTCACAAAACTAAACAAGCTCGATAATCTCAAATAGTTACAACAAAAAGTCAATGAAGTCAGCATATTATGTTTTAAAATGATATCTCATCTAAAAAGTGCTAATATAAGTATTTGATGAAATTGTCAGGTCTCTATGATTATTTTTCTCAGAATAATATAAAAAATAAAACAAAAATGAAAATTAACAAAAACTGTTGTAGTGTAAGGCATAAATACATATCTCTATATTCCCTTATCTTTCTCCATTATTAACACATTGTAGTATAATTTTTACTATTATATTAGTAGTACTATACCTACATCCAAAATTTATGTAAATTATCAGTGTAGATTGCCGTAATGTGGCAGTTCACTGTCTTCTATGATTTGATACCATAATATGGTACAGATGTAAAATGACATTTTACCTATTACTGCAATAGCATGGCCGTCAATATTTTAAGCAAAATATAGGAAAATCAAAAATAATTTTTCCCAATTTTCGAAGTATACTAAATTATCTACCAAAAACTACCCCTAATAATGATGATTGGAGCAATTTTTCTGAAGAAAACTTGTTCAGACAAGAAAAAAAAGCACAACTTAGTGAAACTAATACATTATTTTCTTCACTTAAAATTTAAAAGCGTTCAATTTTCTCACATATTCAGATTTAGTATCTTTAACACACTTTAAAAAAATAAGCATGCATACTAAATTACATGTGTTCCATATTTTTTTTTTCAAAATATCATGTTTATTATTTATAATATAAATGTGTATTTTATTTGTTCTAGCAATTCATAACACAGAGTATGTCCAAATGATTATTAGATCAGTATGAGACTAAATGTTAGAACACTCTTTGGGGTTCTTTCCACGTTAGCTATAATATGCTTAGTAACAATTTGGACCAATTGCTCAGACCGAACTTTTGATACATATTCAAAACATATTAAACCAAATTATGAAGTAAGCAAAAGATCAGTTTTATCTAGAAAGTTTGAATTGATTGATGATTAGGCAGTGTTTATATTAAATTCATGCTTTTAGTAATATTTGATTTAAACATAAAAAAAAAAAATTTAAATATAGAAAGAAAAATGTACAATCCTTCTTATTCGTGATATAGTTGGCATAATTTGCAATTTTGTAATTATCTGGAGATTAAATAAAAGTTTTGAGCCAAAGATTACTCCAAGATCTTTAAGTTGGGTAGAACAAAATAAATTTAAAGAACTTGTAGTAATATGAAATAAAACTATATTTTTTAGAAAAAGTGAAGCATTTACATTTATTAATATTAAGGGACATACCATTTGAGATGTGCCAATTTTGAAAGCTAGTTTAATCTTGTTGAAGTAGTAATACATCTTTTGTATTCCTTATACAATTGAAAATGTTTAGCATTATCAGCTAGTTGAAGAATATTAGAATGTTTAATTGAAAAAATAATTTTGTTAATGAATAAAGGAATACTAACAAAAGAGGTGGTCTCCTTGTGGGACCTTGGATATTACTGAAATTGGATTGGAAATATAATTTTTATATTTTACAAATTGGAATATTTTGATTAAAAATGAATTTAGCCATGATAATAAAAGGTCAGCAGAATCTATTTTCTTAAGTTTTTGTATTAAAAGATTACAATCAATTATATCAAATCTTTTTTAAAGTCTGTTTATATGACATGAAACCATGTTGCTATGGAATGAGTATATTTTTGAAGATGGGAGTAAGTTTAGCATTAATGATTTTAGATAATAATTTCAGGAGAATAGAGATCAAAGATATAGGGCATTAATTAGAAATTAATGATTCGTCTCCTTTTTTCGAAAATTGTATTGATGAATGTAGATTTCCACATAGATAGGAAACAACTATTTTTTAAAGAAGTATTAAAAAAAATGTGATTGAAGGGGAAAGGACAAATCTACAAACATGCAGAAAAATGGGTGAGAGTCCATCAGGGCTAATTCCAGTTTTCATTTTTAAGTTTTAAAAAATATCAATAAGTTTAATTTCACAATTGGTAATAGAGTCTAGGGATTCAATTATCAGAGAATACATAATTGATAATTAGTTTTCTAATAGTATTAATATTAAGTACTAAAACATCAATATGTTTAAAATCAATTTTGTGATATTTTAATTACCTATTTATTAAGAATTTATTTCTCACTAAATGATACTACTGGTGCTTAATAGATAAAACTATTTGTATAGGTAAATAACACAGAATTTAACCAATTGTAATGTTTTATTTCCAGGAATTAGTTAATGATGTCAAGTCAATAGATTGTATTATTAATGGCAATAATAATAATCATGTTGATTGTCTTATAAAAAATAGTGTGGTATATATACCATTTTCATTTTTGAAAAATTATTTTGAGGTTTGTTTCACATTAATAGCATAAAAACTACTTCACACCCCCATTTATTGGGAATTTATAACGTAAATCAATTTTGTTGTTTTATGAGATCTAGAGAAATGTGTGTGTGACACTAACATATATTCCTAAAAATAAATGTACACCTTAAGAAATAAATTATACTATATATTTAGATATATGGAAAAGTTCTTGAAACTGCTGATGATAAAATAACATTTCATTGGTCACATAGTTATTCCAAAGTTTACTACCAGAATGGAAAATATGACTCACGAGGTGTATTTACAAATTTCCAAAATTATAAAGTTGAAGAAAGAAACCGTGTTAAATGTATAAGTGCATCTCATGGTAATATTACAACTTTATAATTATATAACAACAGACAATTATTATTTAATTTAATTGGTATAGGTGTTCCAGTTTCAACCCAATGGAATCCTCATGGTTACTATTATCCTACACAGATTGCGCAATTTGGTTTATCTCACTATAGTAAAAATCTCACTTTACCATCCCCAAAAGTTAAGGTTTTAGAAAATGGTCAGATGAATGCTCCTTGGAGTATCCCTACTTCATCAAAACTTCAAATTTCATTTAATTCTCAAGCCCAAAGCAATGTTCTTGAGTTTTTCACAAATGGTAAGTGTTTAATGTTTAATAATTATTTTTTATGTCAAAAAGTATTTATTTAATTCAACAGTTATTTTTTGATGTTCAAACATAAAGTTAATCTTTAATTTAATTATAAACATTTCTAGATCATAATTATTATGATTATTATTATTTGTAATATATATTTTTTTTTTTTTTTTTAGAGGAAGGGATTTCATTGAATATTAATAACGAAAACTATTTTTTCGTTAATTTTGATGTAGCATTATCTATATTGACCAAAAGTAGCATTGTAATTACTTTAATAGAGATTAATAAACCAGAAGTAATTTGGAATCTACATTATACATGTTCTAAGTCATTTATATTAGCAAAGGTAAAATTAATTATCTTATGGTTTAATCACTGTACAATAGTATAGTGTTTTAAATGCTGAACATAGCCAAGAATGTATTTACTACTCTATATTTTTTTGATTGTCATACACCACAACTGATTTTTCAGAAAAGACAATACAAATCTTTGGTAGTTAGGAATAGAAGGGAATAGAGAACTTAAGATCAACACAATAAAATAATAAGATTGGCATATACATAATGATAATTTATCTATTATTTTTATTTTTTTAGGGTCACAGTATCTATCATGGGATGCATTGTACAGAAGAATTTAGTTGGATAAAATTAGCAAGAAACTTAATAGTTGACTTGCAAAAGGGCCTAAATTTACTAAAAAAAACTTCAACAAAAATGATTCGTTCTAAATATAAAGTAAAGTACTTTTTGAGTATTTATATACAGTATGATTTTTCTAGCTCTGTTAATATTACATTTTTTTTTTAATTGGTTTATTTTCCAGGGGGACATCGATTTGAAGAAAAATTAAATTTTTATTTTCATCCCCTAAATATGAAAAAAAGAAAACTCTTCATTTTAGAAAATTTTGTAATAATATTATTCTAAACATTTTAATGTGTCATATATACATATTAGATTAATAGTTTCTTAATTATAGCCTTTTTAATTTCTTTAAAATAGGTGTGAAAACAATATTAATATTCAATAGAAGGTAAAGAATTACCATGCTGATTGTAATTCCTAATCGTATAACATGTTATTTTATTGAATATTAATTGTTTTTATGTCTAATTTAAACAGCTATGACTAAGAAATTATTAATATGAATTAAATGTATGATGCATTAAAATTTTTAAAAAATTACTATTTTGATAATTTTCTAAAGTAAATAAATAAAAAGTTACTTTTGTTCTGTGTTTAGGGGATGAAAATAAAAATTTAATTTTTCTCTAAATCGATATCCCCAATAATAAACCGACTAAACAAAAAAATAGGAAAAATTAATATTTATAGAAAAACAGTGGGACACACTATATATATATGCATAAAAATTAATATTTTGTTCATTAAATAATGTTATATTGATATTTTAAATATTACTTTTAATACTTATTTCTGATTTTGTATAGTTATGTGATTTTAAATTATTTGGAATGGGGTTATTGGATAATCTTACAATCAGTAGCCATGACCATATAAGTCAATTTTATTCTGCTGCAAATTGGTTCATAAAACATCAAGATAAAAATTCTGGAGGCTGGCGTAATCCTGTAACCCGTAAAATATCTCCTGTTATTCAACCTTTAAAACCAGGATGGTAAGTTTACAATAAATTTTGATTGCTAATAATTAAAGTTGTAAAAGTATTGTACAAAATGTCACTTTATGGTTTATTTTAATTAAACAATAATAAATCATCAAAACTAATGTTATATTTTTAAATATCTTCTATAAGGTTGTCAGCAATGGGACAGGGCCAGGCTATATCATTGTTATCAAGAGCTTTCTATCATTCTGGAGGAAATGAACAGTATTTGAATACAGCATGGGCTGCATTGAAGCCATTTAAAGTTTACAGCAAAAATGGTGGTGTTTTATCTGAATTCATGAATGTACATCCTTGGTTTGATGAATATCCTACCATTCCACCAATATTTATTTTAAATGGTTTCATGTACTCTCTAATTGGATTATATGATTTATATTCACTGACTCCTAATACTTCCCAGGTAAATGGTAGTTTAAAATTAATCATTGAAAATAATAATGTAATTACTGTTGCATTAAAACTTGGTTTTTAATAAATAATATAAATATTTTAGGTTTCGCAAGAAGCATTTTTATTATGGAAACAGGGCATGACATCATTGAAAAATCTTTTACCGTTGTTTGACATGGGTTCGAGATCAGCATATGATCTTAGACATATAACATTAGCTATACAACCAAATATTGCTAGGTGGGATTATCATGCTACCCATATCAATCAACTTTTGTTGTTAGGGACATTAGACAATGCTACAGTTATACACACTACCGCTAAAAGGTGGATCAGTTATATGAATGGGGCTCGTGCATCTCACAATTAATTATTCAAGACTAAAAAAGCATTATGTTTTAATCTAGTGGTTTATAATTATTTATAACTCAAAAAGTATGGCTGTGAAATTTTGTTTTCTTTAAATATTTATGTTTTAATGATAGGGGAATTGTGCATTACTTAAATTTGTTAATTTAAATTCACTATAACTATAAATTGTATGTATAATAAAATAATTTTTATTCATGAACAATTAATAGGTGCTAAAAAGGTTAAAGTTATAATACTATAGCAATTTAATTAAAATCACAGGAATTTGATGTACATACATAAGATAATACTTTTCATTACTAAGCAATACATTCCTCAATTAAAAGTACACTTATCACAATAGAATTTTATGTTAAGAATATAATATAAGATAAATTCATATACCTTCTTTCTGATTATTTTATCATTAAACACTCATTATCTCAGAAACAATTAACTTTTTTCAGAATCTATTTTATATAAAACTTAAGAAACATGTACATTATTTTTTGTCACCCTAATTTTTGGGGGTAAACTGACTACCTAATATCAATTTTCAAATAGCAACCTATATTAAAAATCCCATAAATAGATGAAGTATTAGTTAAAATAAATGTTGGTTAATTTTATTTATAATACTTCAACCATTTAGGCTATTTTCAATATAAGTTGTTGTTTTAAAATCAAAAGTAAATAGTAATTTCACCCCCAAAAATTAGGGTGAAAAAAAAAATGTAATTATAAGTTGCTTGTTTCTTAAACTTTCTATAAAAAAAATTCCGAAAAAAGTTAATACTTTCAGAGATAGTGTTTACCAATAAAATAATGGCCCTGTATATAACATGTTCTTAATATGAAAAAAAACTAATACTGCTACTGAACATTATACTGACTATACTCTCAAAGGTTATACACTAAATACATCAGAGCAAGTTTTCTATTCAAAAAGTTACTCATAGACATAAAAAAAACTCAGTAAAACCATTAGATCCCTGTTTACACTCTGAATCTAAACATGTTTATATTAAATACATTATTTAAAGTTACAAATCTAATAATTATATTATAAAAACAAATTAAGTTGTTAGATCGATTTATTCAAATAAATTTGTTTCTTAGTATATGTTTATGAAATTGTAAAATGTAATTTATTTAATTAGTTTTCTATTGAGTTAATTGATTTCTTTGGTGAAATGTTAAATTTTACTGTATTTAATATTATTTTTATTTATATAATAACTCAATTAGTGTTATTTTATTTAGACAAAAAGTCAGGGTTCCTAAATATTATTCAAAATGAAAACATTCTTGCCAGCAGCATAATATAAATTATGTAACCAATACTTGGAGGCACCTTTGTAAAATAATATTAAATTCATAAATACCAGGTTTTAATTAATTAGAAAAAAGTATTAAACAAAAAAATATCCCAATGAAAACCATCGATTATAATACAAATAATTGTTTTCCTATGTATATTGGTATACACAGGGGGGGGGGGTTAGGTGTTATATATTCCCCATTGTTTTAAAAATACAACAAATATGAGTGTTTAATTAGTACATTTTTTTTGAGATTACATATTTTATATAAATTATAAAAATAAAACTTGATTTATTAAATAAATATTGGACCTAGCCTTTAAATTCTCATTGTTCTACTTAAAGAGTTTCTATTCAAAACATTCTAAATATTCCTGGAACTAATGAAAACAAACCTGCATTTTTCAGCGAAAGCAGTTGAGTTTAAACTATAACCATTCATATGGCACCTTATATATAAAGAGTGAGATGAATACTTCATTAAATTTGTTCCTATCCTATTGATTCTTTGATTATATCCTCTTTAATAAATAAACTTAGTCATTCGCATAAAATTAAAATTACATTTTATACAATTCTTGTTGACCTTATAGGATAGTGAATAAATTAATGAATAGTGATATAAAGGATATTAATTATATTTATAAATAATATTATAAACCAATATTCATTGTGATAAAGTTAAACAAAGTACCACTTAATAAAATATATTTTATGTGTATTAAATAAAATGTTATAATCACATTAAATATTAAGAAAAAAGAAATACTATTGTATATTTATAAGGAAATTCAACTTAGTTATTATTTCAATCCCTCAAAAACCACCTCTAATTTCTAAAGTTGAATTCATTTTTTCTAGAGGGAGTGTACAAATGTAGTAGGAAAAAGATATAATAGATTCTAATTGTATTTTTTTTTTTTTTTTTGGAGAAAATTTTATAATACAAATGCAGAAATACTAGTTAGTATATGATATATAATGCAAAGCTATGATTTTATTATTATCTATCTCAGTAAAAAGCCATTATTAAAAGAATAATATATAAAAGACAAAGAAAAAATTGTTTTCATTATTTATTTTATATTATGAAGATCAATTTTTTTTTATCAAGAATCCTGTTATAATTATTTCTATTTCAAACAAATTATACTGTTAATTATTTTTGTTACTTATCATAAAATATTATTGAACTGTGAAAAATTGTTTAACAAATGGAATCATAAGTAAATTTTTCAACACCTTGTACTAGAATTATAGCGACAATCAAAAGTTGACATCATATTTTTATACAATTTATACTTTCTAATACTTAAAAACTGTGTAAAATTATATAGGTACATATTGTTTTTATTTTATTATTATTATTATTATTATTGCACTAGAATTATCATAATATAAGATAAAATGTAGACTGTTTTTGATAGTAATAACAAAAAATTATATTCATTTTGTAAACCATACTTATTATAAATACATTTGACTAATAATTACTAACATTTATATCAATGTGTAATAAATCAGTAAATGTATAATGTTTGCATTTAATTTAAAATTAACATCTAAATGTGTTAATATGTTCTAAATAATAACCATTGAACTATTAAGCAAAATAATTATAAATCAAAAACTAAAAATTAAACATGTAATAATTTGTATTTATATTATGGCCACAGATTTTCATACAAAATAATTAGGGACTCTTAATTATTTTAATACAGAATATGTTCTTTTAGAAAGACTGCTAAATATTGTAATAATTAATCATATGAATAAACTTGGAAAATATTATTTAATTGTACAAAAAATAAATTTTTAAAAACATAGAGCAAACCTAAAGTATATTGTCAAACATGCCACATATTTTATTAAGGTGCCTCTATACATTATTTTTTTCTTTATTTATTTCATCTGTAAATAGCAACAAACATTTGCACTTCAACAATAGTGACCCTTTACTTAAATTTATGGCAGAATGACCTATTATACATTTTATAAAAAAAAAGTATTTATTATACCTTGGCATAATGATTCTTTAATAATTCAATTATTATCACAAAAATATTATTGTTTAAATTTAAATTTGAATCATTAATAGCGTATTGACAAATGACATATTAAAAAGTTAAGGCATAGGTAATTTTTACATAGGCTATTTTTTTTATATAAAACGTTTAATAGGTTCTTTTCCCCTAAATAAACTAGAGTCACAGTGCATGAAATGTATTTGTTACTGCCACATTATGAGATAAAAAGAGAAAACAAAATATTATGTGTAGAAGCTCTTTAAGTAATTTGTGCAACTATTGTATAATTTTGTTCTTATAATGAACTAACTTTTTTAAGAGGAACTGTAAATTCTTTTAAATGCCTGTTTTCTTGTAAAAGTAAATTGAATAATTATTTTATTACAAAAATTGTTCTAATAATATCAATAATTCCTATGATATTCTTTAGATTCATAATATGTGGAGTACCATATAATGCACATTTTGCCTAGCTGTTAAAATGTATGGGATGTCATCTAAAATAATAAAGCAATAAAGTACTATTCCTCAGCATGACCAAGGTTTCTTTAAATAACTTGAACAATTTTAGATGAAGTATGTATATTGATAAGGTTAATGTTATTTAAAACACTGTAAAGGTTAACTATTTAATTTTACTTGCAAATAACAAGATACAGTATTTAATTTAGCTGGTGGAGAAACACCATTCCTTGACATGACCAGGAGATTTAGTGGAAGATCATCTAATATGAATGGACTGTTATAATTGATGATATATTATTGATTGCTTCTAATTTGTTTGACAAGGATTCATTGAACATAATAATTAGACTATATATTATTATTAAATGATTATAATTTATTGATTTTAACCTACAGTACGTTTCACAAAGCTAGTGACTCCACAGTGGCACTTCCGGTGGTGAAATTTCGGTGTTCCGCAATTTCTCAAACTTGCACACAATACGCGGTAATTTGGAATACTGCATGGTTTTTAAAAAATATGAATAAAAATAATTATTTTATTTGTATATGGTGGTTATAAAATGTTTGGCAGTGGAAGGTAAAATTCCTTTCAACAGGGCCAGCTGTTCGATGGTTGATTGCCGCGTCATTTTTAAATTACCCCGCTCTTTTAGTCACGTTTAGGAAACCCTCACGAAAATCTGCCACCGGAAACGCCACTCGGAGTCATTAGTTTCGTGAAACGTACTGTAGTAACAAAATTATATAGTAATTTTTTGGTTTTTAAAATAAATTAAATTAATGTATATTTCAATAATGGTAAATTCATATGTTGATATTGTTAGAGCATACTTTTTTCAATTCTGGTATTAAAAAATATTTGCCACAACCATAATCAGTACTTATACTTGTACAAATAATCTTAATCAATTATTAGGTACATTATACTAGGTAGCTATAGCAGAAATTATCATTTCTATGTTAAGATCCCATTTGAAGTTATCCCCAACATTACCCATGATAATTTAATTTTCTATATTACTATTTAATATCTTTTATTAATAAAGATTCAACATAATTTGAAAATTAAAAAAAAAAAAACCAAAGATTTTCAATCTGAAAACCCTTATTTTAAATTTTGCGCAAAGCAAAGAATGTATTGGTTTTACAGTGATGTTTATTTTTTTTTTATACTTTGACAAAAATTAGGTAATTTATTATTTTTTCAAGCGATTTCCATAATATTTGGGAAAACCCGGATAAAACTCAAGGAAACCAGACAAATTTGAGAAAATAATGTTTTTATTATTTTCAATTTTGCTCTTTGTTGTGATTCAGTAAAAATATTACTAAAAACTAGAAATTGGACAAAAAATGCATAATTGACTTTTCTAAAATTGGGTTTCAAAAAATTTTAGTTTTGTATATAATTTTTATTTGGTAGATACTCTGTTGATAAAATTTTATACTAAACAGAAATGCTTGAATATTTAATAGAAAGTTAATTAAAAGCCGTAATTTGTATTGGTAAAACAAATTAAGTTTAATGTAGTATTTTTTTGTTTTTATAAAGAAATTTGAATACCAAATTTTGACAAAAATCGTTAAAGTAAAAAGTTATACAGAACAATCTAGTTACTGGTCGAAGCAAATTTTTTAATTTTTTTTCAGAATTGAATGGACTGAATTTGAAATTATAACTTTTTAAAATTTTGATATTATGATGATATTATATATTGTTATAATAAATAATTCATTATTGTTAATTGTATAGTATGTCTGTCATAGTTTAGTGATTACTTACCTGCTGTCATCCCAAAGGGCGTAAGTTCAAACCCGTGTACCAAAAATATTTTTTACAAAACCTTATCAGGTTGATAAAATGTGTCCCACTGAACGCAAATATGCTGTCTCGTGTTTGTAAGACAGAGACAGTGGATGTCGATGTGGCGTCCTCTTAAAACTGAGAGCCCTATGACATACACATAACACAAAGTAGATAAAAAGTTAGATTATCAATTTCTACGATTTTTTTTCGATTATGTTCAATTATTAATAAAACTACAGAGAAAATCGAAAAACAAATAAGTTATTCATGAACTATAATAAAAATTCTACAAAAAATGTCTCTTGTTGTTTATCTATTATTTATAGATTTTATTAATATTTATGGTAGAAAACAGTTGTGGTTTCGGTTCATACTTCTTCATAAAGTGACAAAATATTAAATATAACTATATACTTATAAGTAATAACAGATATACCTACTTACGGTGAACCTAATTCATGTTCTTTGTAACTACTAAAAAGTAATTTTGAGATAATTATAGATTTTAATTTTAACATCAAAAAATGTAAATAGTCTAATAATTAGGTGATGATTTTTTTAAAATAATATTACCAACAACTGTTATATTTTTTTATTTTTTATTTTTTATTTTAAAGATTTTTTACTATACTAAAGGCTAGAATGTTATGTTTAGGGAACGGATTTATATGTACTTAAAAAACGCAAAAAAGCACTTAAAAATATTTAAAAAAGCAGAAGTGGTAAATGGGTTTTAAAGTCCACACTCTAACAATTCTAGCCCTATTAAATAAAATGTTCTTACACTGACTTATAATTAACACAAAGCATTTTTTATAACATGTACAAATGTATTTAAAGAAAATTACTTTGTAATAATTTTTTTTTTTTGATTTTTTATGTTAAACTGTTAAAACATTATTTTTAATAAGTTATAAACATTAAATTGGAAACTTTTAAACCCATCTACCTTTATTGGTCTTTTAAATATTTTAGGGCTTTTATGACGTTTTATGATGTTTTTATGCGTTTTTTTGTGAATTTTTAGTACACATAAATCCGTTCCCTATAAGTATTATGTGTGTTATTTACTTAGTTACTTATTTAGATATTAATTCATACTGTTTTTCATTAAAATATGATAACCAAAAATATTCTTTTTTTTTTTGTATATTTCAAACTGAAACAAAAAAATTGATATTTTTAACTCCAAGAAACTTAAGTCTTTTAAAAACCCGTAAAATATATGTATATCCTCTCTCATATTTTGATGCAACTTCAACCAGCCAATGACCTACCGACGTATGACCAACGTTAAATAAACGTAAAAGTAATAATAATAATTACGAAAAAATATACTGAACGACAAACGTATTGTTTAGTCCTAATCCCAGTGAGTAAAATAAAATAAAACCAGAGTTTGATTATCTTTATTATCTCCGGATGTATTACAATAGGTATATCTTCATGGGACACTCTGTATAGGTGTACTCATTTATTTTTTGTGTGAATATAATGTAACAAATGTTAAATGAACTTATTTTTGAATATAAATTGAATAATAAATACAAATATTTGCGTGAATAATTTTATGATAAAATTATCAGTTTTAAAATATTCAAATAGGTTATCGTATTGGTAAATAAAAAATATAAATTAAAAATTAAATTATTAGTGTCCTACAGAAAAACAAAAAATAAAAATAAGCTAATGTAATAAAATAATATAAATAAAACCAAGTGTGTATTGATCCATACTCCTTGAATAAAACACAAAACACTTTTTACTAACTGATAATGAAATTGTTATCTCGTTGGGATTATAGCCAATCGGTGAACAGGATTTCTATAAGGTTCTCTAACATTGCTTACAATATGCAATCCGGCATTAGATGTTATCTTGGTCCGTGCTTTGAACATGAATTAATGATAATTAGATAGAGGTCAAATAAATTATCTATTTTGTTATTTAAAATATTACTAAAAACCGTATTAATATTTATTATTATTATTCAATTAGTTCATAATTATTGTCGCCGTATTATAACATTACAGCATTTTGTCTGTTGGTGTTGATAACAATACTAACACATAAAGTACATTATATTGTTTACTTGTGGTAGGTAGGCAAATATTGCACTCATCATTTGTTTTATTTTTATTATAATTGAGTATCAATAATATATTTTTGTGTACCTACCGACACACTTACCAATTATTCGCAAGTAGATAATTGTAAATTGAAAACTGAATAGAGTTCATTGAGATCGGTGTATGTTTTGTACCTAATATTGTCAATTTTCGAAGTACTTAATGTAAGTACATCAAATATATATATCTACCTCAAAAACACTACATTTTATCAATTTGAATAACGATTTTGAAAATATTTCTAACATACACCGATCACATATCACGTTCATAGTTCTTCAAATTTGATTTAATAAATAACACTCCTTGTTTGCATAATATGATAATTGCATTAGGATTAAGTAGGGTTGCTATAATTTCATTAAGCAAATCTTGGATGGACAGAAAAAATAGCCAATAGATTAGATTAAAAATTTGATTGAATCATATTGGGTACCTATGTATGAAAACGAAAAAAAATATTATTTTACACATTATAATGACAAAAATTATATTTGTTGTTAAATAATTTATAAAATTAACACTTTTTTTTTTAATCTTTAAAAAGATTATCATTAAGTAAGTAATGAGTATTTGGATACTATATATGGTTTTGGTATCATTGTTTTATCCCATATTTGTTAGCAATAACATTTTTATTTCTAATACAATATTATTAGTCGAAACAAATTGTTGACATTAAATGATATATATTTTTCTCGAATCTGGAATACATGTAGATATCCCAGCATTTATTTTTGAGGCACTGGTACATCAAATTAAAAACCCGTGATATTCATGGTTTTCCGGGCATTCCCAGGGATTAGGTAAATACAAACAAATTTTTAAAAGTCAAATTTATACTTGTGTCTGTTCATTAATGACGAATGAGGCACATTCAGGAATACTTTAAGTCTATATTAATATGGTGTCTTAATTGCAGTTGTGATTGTACAATATGTATAATAGATTATTATAAAATCAATGATTTATAGTTTTACTGTAGATTTATAAGTAAATTTTATATATGTGTGTTGGAATACAATAAACAATGCTATTAGGTGTATTATTTTATAGACATTAATATATAATTGAATACTTAATTGAATAATATAAATACTTGACTCTTCTTTCATATATTTGAGGTCCACCACCTTGATCCTAAACATGCACTTCCGCATTATCTATAATCAAAGCAGTCCTTTTATATCACTCAAGCATGTCTAATAATTTAATAAATAATAAATAACATATATATATATGCATTCATAAACAAATTACTTTTATAGGATTGTCCCATAAACTTGATTGATGACGTCTAATATAAACAATGTTGAAAACCAAAATACTTGGTTTTTTCATAGCTTTTCTGGAGCATGTAGTGGGAGTATAACACGTTTCGTTAGTCAACCATTTGATGTCATCAAGATTAGATTTCAGGTAATTAAGTCGTGTTGTAAGTTTTATTTTATTGAAGGAAATTTTGTTTACTGAAGTAACTTACTTGTTTAAAAATTTGACAGTTGATTAAATACTAAGATAATAAATGTGTGTAAAATTAACCAGGATTATTTTATATAGGTACCTACATTTGTTTTTAAATTTATAACAAAAAATTATTGTTAAACAAATTACTTTGGTAATTATATGGACTAGGTAATATTTATACTTTATTATATGAAAAGAAAATTACTTTTCAACTATTAATTATTGTTCAATATTGATTTAAAAAAGTAAAAATAATTTCCCACCAGCAAAACAATAAATTCATATAATAGATACCATTCATATTAACTTAGTTGCTTTTCATTATTAGTTACAAGTTGAGCCTGTGTCGCAAATCTCATGTAACTCAAAGTATAAATCGATTTTCCAATCAATTTGTCTTATAAATAAAGAAGAAGGTATTAAAGCTCTTTGGAAGGGACATATACCTGGACAGTTATTATCATCAACTTATGGGTTAACACAAGTAAATAATAATTCATGAAAAAATAATTCTATATATTTTTGTATTATTTATTTTTATTTTAAATGATTGCAATTACTTAAATAGTTTGGAGTATTTCAAACATCTCTAAAATATTTGTCAATAACAGAGACAGAATTAAATCAGAATTCTAGTGTTCATTTTGTTTGTGGTGTAATGTCTTCAACAATTGCTACAATTGCATCATATCCATTTGATGTTATACGTACACGTTTAGTAGCACAAAAATCTAATCAGGTAATGTATAAATGTATGTATTTAAAATTTAAAACAATTCTAAATCACCAATCCATAATATTTTGTATACTTAGGCAATTAAAATAATATTGTAATACCAATTTTCAATATAGTAATGATATGTAGGAAAGTATTTTTAATGAACAAATTATGTTACAGATTTATAAAAATATGAGACAAGTTGCATTTTCAATATATAAAACAGAAGGGGTTTTAGCTTATTATAGAGGATTATTCCCTACACTTGTTCAGAATTCTTTACAAGGTGGATTAATTTTTATGTTTTATAACTCATTCACGAAATTTACTTCTACCAATACCAGAACGCATAAAAGTATGTATCTAGTTTTATAGATAATAATAAATTAACTATATATTAAATTAAATTTTTGTTCCAAATAGCGGGCAGTGAAGATTACTTAAACACTGTTAAACAATTAAGTTCTGGGTTTTTGTCTGGTATAGCAGCAAAAACATGTATATATCCATTAGATATTGTAAAAAAAAGGTTACAGTTACAAGATTTTGTAAAAACAAGAAATGATTTTGGCAAAGTAAGCTAGAATTGTTATCATTATTTTAACCATAATTAACATTTTGTAACACAAATTAACCATATAACTTGTTATTATAACTGTTAAATGGTTTATAGTGTGAAAATAAATAAATGAAACATTTCTAAATATGTTGCAGAAGTTATTGAATAATTTTGTTATTAATCACACAACACTTTATTTTCAGAAATTTGTGTGCAAAGGATTGGTGGATTGTATATATTTAACAATTAAAGAAGAATCCTTTTTTGGTTTGTTCAAAGGACTGTCCCCTTCATTGCTTAAAGCTGGTGTGTCTACAGCATTACACTTGGCAATCTATGAACACATCTTTAAACTATTAAATAGTTATTAATAGTTTAGGCATTATGCATTTCAATTTTTGTTACCTATTTATTATTTTAGAAATATTTAACAATAAATTCTAAAAAAGTGTACACAATTGTTAATTATGTTTATTTGTTTTTGTTTTAAAAACATAATAAATAAATCATGTAAATGTAAATTAAATGCCCATGTAATTACATAGTGTATAATATTTGTAGTTATAATTTGGTGGTGTTCCAAGACACCCATATAAATCATTTATTTTCAAGCAGTCTGTTTTGCTCATCATTTTTCTTTGGCCAATTTTTTGACCTTCAATTTTCGGAACAATTGTTTGTTTTCCTTTACCAATACTGTGAACATAGTGTAATATATTAAGAAATTATAATATTTTTAAAAAATATTTCTTGAAACAATTATTAATTTTTATATGAAATGTAGGTACCTGAAAAAGTTTTTTCCATAATGCATTACACTATTATAATCATATTCAAATTGATATGTGGTGTTTTTCAAACTTTGTTTATCAAAATTGGACCGATATTCTAATAAACAAATTATAATTATTTCCTAAAAAAAATAAAAATTCAAATTACATACGTGGTATAACATTTTCAAAATTTATTTTGACAAATTTATCACGATCGGCTCTCGATTGCTCATGGAATATTCCTAAAGCATGTAATAGTTCATGAATAGGTCTTCCATCTGTACCAAGACAGTTGGCACCAGTATCGTCTGGGGGTTGCAATGAAACAATTTGTGGTCCACCATAACGACCCACATAAGACCAACATCTGTTTTATTAAATATTAATAATAAAGCACATTAATAAAATTAAAAATAATTTAAATTTTAAATGATATATAATAACATTAATTTCTTTGTATAAAATAAATGCTATATTATTATACCTAACTAATATATTGTTAGATTAAAACTAATTGAAGAAAAATCCACTCAAATAATATTATTGCCTAATACTATTAAGTAGGTATTTAGTTATTTGTAAATTACCTAATAAAATTCCTATATTCTAACCAACGTAAAAGAATGAAGAATTTATTATTACCATTTAATATCACATCAGTACCCAGTGGTGTACTTGTAGAATAAAGAGTTTATAGCTTTACCGAAATATCAATTTTTTTTAAAGTTTTGTTCAAGTAACATGAACTAAAATTCAAGTTACATAGATATTTCAAAATATTAACTGATTTTTAAGATTACTGCAGTATCTATTTCGCGGTATATACCTAACCGAAGATGAATAAGTAGGTACCTACTTATGTTTTATTTTTATTGTTTAATTAGGTAGTATAAGATTGGAACTTGTAAAATTGTAAATAATTTGAGTTTTAGGAAGTGCGCTAAAATGTAACAACAAATTGTAAAGAATGTGTTTTCAAAATTGGCCATTTGAATTATGGATTAAATATGTTAGTTATACCTAGTTAGATGAAATAGATAGATACCTCCCTACCCTATTGTTTCAAAATGGCTTATGATTATTAAACATTTTTTATAAATTTTTCTTTAAGATGAATAAAGCAAGGAATATATTATAGTTAAATTACAATTTATTTTATTTGTCATGCCCAAAAGTAAAAAAAAAAACTAATTAATGTTTCAAAACTAAGTTCATTATTACCTAATTTGAACCTAGTATTAATATAATGTCTTACAAATAGCTAAAAAAGAAAAAGAAACTAGATTGGTATTACAAACTTACCACTTCAAAATACTATTATTGCTTACCCGGAGGGATATTTTACCGGCCATATCATCAAATAATCTTTTTCTTTACCGGTCCATGGTACAAATTTCACACAAGTAAGAAAATTAATTGTCCTGATGGCTTGGTATATTAAAATTCGGTGTTCAGTTTCTGAAATATAATAAATTATTCTATGTTATTACAGTTGTTTGCTACAAGTACAGTGACTGGCCAGATGAGGTAAATGAGGCACTACCTCTCATAGACAATTTTCTTATTAAAAAAAATATACTTAGTAGCGACTTGCACAGCCCACAACTTCTGGCCTGACTCAGCCAGCTTATAAAATAATCCTGTTTGACATGAAAAAGTCTGGTTGGATTTAAAAATTGTTTTCAAAACCCAGATTTTTTGTTTGCATATAAAAGCCGGACTGTATGTTGATTTTGACTTACGAGGATTTGTACTAGTGTAGTCAAAATCTACTACAATTATATTTATTTTTAACTCCCTTCCTTCTAATAGTGTTCATCAAATTCATTTTTTTCTATCCGGAATTTTTACATTGGTTTATGGTTGTTGATTCATCTATGTCTACCTATAACTACAAGGATGGCCTAAAAATCAAAAAAAAAAAAATCTTGATATAAAATAGGATCTCCACCCCCTGATGAATTCAAAAATGAAGTACCTATTTAATGTTTGTTAATGCATTTTATTAAACAAAAATTATAATAAAGCACGAATTCTTATAATTACATTATATAATTGTTTGTTGATAATTTAATTATATTTTCTTAATTCAAGTCTAAATAAAAATCAAATTGAAGATCCTATTATTCCAGATCATACACCATATATTTTTAATTAGTTTAAAATATTAATTCAATAAATGAACTAATAAAATAGCTGATAAAGGTTGTAAATTGTAAATGTATAATATATATAAACATAGATAGAAATATCTTTTTTCAAAATAAAATGTATACCCATTAATATTAAACATTTTTATTTATACTTTTAATTATGAAGATTTAATAGTTTAAACATTTTAATTTAAAACTTTAATAAATAATAAATTTAAAAAATAATCTAAGAAAGTAGTACTCATGTCTCTAAAATGTTTTCTGAGGTCTAACAAATATTCACACTTTATATTACAAGTTTTTATATTATCAGATTATTTTTGATAAGTTTATTTTTATTTAAATGGGAAGGAAACTCTCTAAATGGGCATAATTATTATTTTTTAATTCACAAGCATTTATGTAACTAAACCATATTATATTTAGTTGAAATGCCATTATAAATGCCAATACACAACTTAAACTCGGGCTATACCAATTTTCTTCCCCTCTTAAATTAATTTCATATAGCTATCAATAATCAATAAAAACGTAAATAAAAGTTGTTATACCAAAACTGTTTATAAGTTCGAAAAAATAGAAATGTCTACTATTAGATCTTAATAATATTCGTACTATATGTATTATATTATACTGTATTACTATACACTAACTATAATATTCAAAAACAAAAACTTATATTATAAATTTAGTAATACAAAAGTTGCAGTCGAATAATTTGCGAGATGCAAGAGTATGCAAATGCATCACATGAATTTCTTTTAACACATTTAAAATCTATACACGCAGACAATTTCATAAAATTTTCAGAATAATACAATAATATTGTAATCAATTTTACAAAAATGCTTTTTGTGTTTTTATCACAATAATTTATCGATAATCATATTATGTAAAAGTAGATATGAAACTGAAATTTAATATTTTTATGGAGTAATTCCGATTTCGTTATTGCCCATTTATTTTTATCAAACTTAATTTGTTTATCTAGTTTATTTGAAATGTCAATACTAAGGTATAGATGAAATAGGTTTTTGTATACCTATTGTAGGTATTATCAATATTAATATGTTATTATTGAAAAATAGAATTTTATATGGAAATGTACCATAGTATTAAGTGTGTCTTTTATGTGATACGTGGCTTTACTATTAACTAGGTATTCAATATTTATTTTGTTCCTGTGAAAAAACGTGAAATTACGCCCCTGAAAAGTGGAAATTATAGTTGTATTTACCGACTTAATTTTTAATGATTGATGAAAGTTGATGTTTTACTACTCACAAGTCACAAAGAAATGAAATTAATATCATCTTATTAGTTTGTCAAATGACAGATCGGGTTACTAATATTATCAAAATATAGGTACTATTTATTATTATTTATATTTTTTTTAACTCCTTGGCTATTATAGTACCCAAGATGTTAGTAGCGCATTTTCACAGGAATTTTGACAATAAGATGTAGAATGTATAGGTACAATCTTAGAATGTAAAAGTTTGGTCATGAGCGAACGTTAACCACCCTATACCTACAGTGTTGGCTTGGCTTATAAAAGGCATAGGCAGGGATTTTTTTTAAAGGCTTCCCATTTTAATTTTAATTAATTTTTTTTTTATTAATTATCCGAGGTCTCGAGGTCCGAGGCCTCGAGGTAGTGACAAAACCAGTGGAGATCCTCGCCGCCTCCCTATAACCACCACAGCTTCTAATAATATATTTTCTGTATTCACACATCAATTTATGTAACATGCACATAATATTTAATTTAGAAAAAAATTGGGAATGAGAATATTAGTGTAATATATGTAGGTAATGTTATTTTTATAATTTATTTTACAGGCATTGGGATTCGAAAGTTTTCCAAATGTCAATTAGTGGTTGTGTAAAAAGCATTCGTTAACATAACATAATTGTAATTAATAAAATTCAGTAGTAGACTTGTCTACATATTACCATGGATTATAATTTATAAATTATAATAGACTACTTCTGAACTTGGTAGGGTTGAATAATTGTTGTTTATGCACGTATAAAGACACTGATGCATCGCATAGTTTAATATAGTTTGGTTATAACCGATTGGGTATAATTGGCCGGATTTATGGTTATAACACTCATCCATTACTTACAAAATTACTGAAATCTATGACTAGAAATCAAAATTTATTTTTTTTTTTAAATTTTTAATAAATTTACATATTATTACATTTAAAAAAGCATGCAGTGGGTTAATAGCTGGTTAACAAAACGATGATCATTTTGATTTTGTCACAAAAAGGTTATTTTTTTTCTTTGCTCGATAGGATTTGCATTTTTTCTTTATAAGATCCCCCCCCCTTATAAATTTGACCTTGGATCCACCGCTACATCGAGACCCTAATTTAGTACCCTTTCACCTGCGACACGGGGTCGGTTCACCCCATAGCAATGTTATAACTGTACGCTTGCATTAATTTAGGGCCTTTAGTCAATATCCCTTATGAAAAAAAAGCTTTTAGACAAAATATTTCTGCGTGTGGGAGAAAGTTCAAATTTATGTTCTTGTCCCAATCCATCAAATAAAAGAGAACTAAAAAAAAAAAGAGCGAGGGCCTCGGCAGCGTTCGCTGCGTGGCTTCTCCAACCAGGCCGACATTGACTCTCTATATTAATTATTATGGATATCGTAAACTAAAACGTACATTAAACTCTTATCCCGGGCTTAGAAAAATATAAAATTGTGTAGCCGTTTTCCAAAAATTTTTGTACAGTATACACATACATTCTTGAATTATGATAAGAAAATGTTTTTTGTATAACTAACTCCATTATATACTGAAATCGTTTAAATATTATAATATAAGTTATAACTCATCTACAAATAATATGAATCTATCTAAGATTATTATAGAATGAATTAATAATATTATAATACAAATTAAGTATAAATAATTTAATAATAGTAATAATAATTAATAATAATATATCTACCTAATGATAGTATCCACGTATCATTAGAATAGATGTAGGGATAAGTCTATGGTGCGCGTCATACAACGTGATACCATACGTGATGGTTTTCTCCCGCGGTACGTATGTACCAAAAAATTGATATGAGGAGGTGGGCATAGTAAGAATCAACAACCATAAACCAAAATAAAAGTTCCGGATAGAAGAAAAATGGAAACGGGGGGGGAGTCAAAATTGAAAATAAATAATGCTAGTAGTATATTTCTGTGATTTCGACTCCCCGGAAAATATCACTGAGGGGGAATCGAAATAAATCAACGGTTACACCGGCCCTTACAGGTCTTTAATGTTTAATATATTACATAAACATACATACATACATACATACATACATGAACATACATACACATTTCAAGGATCTAGGATATAATCTTCCGGATATAATATCCATTTTTTTCATGAGCGTATAATAATTTAGTTTTGACACTAATCAGGTTTTGCCACAATGGTACAGCATTTCGGTTTCAATTTTGGATGATAAATAATCGTTTTTCCATATATATATATATATTAACACCCTATGACCACTCAACTCTTTCAACATATTTAAAATGTTTACCGCACCACTTACAAGGCTCACGAGCCGCCACTGCATTACAGGGTTAAACAATTCAACGGTACAAATTTCGGTTGAAGTCTAGCCCTTTATTAATGTGCATTTCTCCGTTAGAACCATTAAAAGATTAAAAGGTTAAACAATTACTATGTCTATGTCTATACGGACACATATTGTAGTTTTCGAATAGGTATAATAATAATTATTAATTATAATATAATTTAGGTAGGTGTAGGTAATGAAATATACAAACCGTAAAGTGGACTTATCAGATACGGGACAGTGCGATTGAGCCAAAGTTTCTCTGGAAAAATGTCCCACCGCAGACCGACTCGCCAATAATCAAAAATCTGGCGATTTAACATCAAAGAAAATCATTCGAAAAATATAATAATATTAATGTCAATATTTAGGTTTAGGTATCGCGACATAGTTATCAAACAGAAAAAATAAAAACTGACGATGTGAAAAAAAAAAATAAATATTAACTACGTGCCTCGTTGTTTAACGCCATATCCCCTTGAAATAAACCGGGTCTGACTTCCGGATCGATATTTTCCATAGATTGTAAGCCGTCGACATCATCACTGCTAATTCCAGCTGGAATAATAATAATTAAAAAAATAACACAATATTTTATTTACATACGCATTATTTAAAGATTTAGATAGAAGAAACATTTTTTTTTTGTCGGATTTTCCAGTGACTCCGTCAGGGCCAAATGAGCTTAAACTCGAGAGTAAGTGATAAGAGTACACCTACCCAAGTATCTAAAGTATCTACCTACCTCTATAGTGATGGACATTTACCGGTGAATATTTTGTTTGATAAATTCCCGGTGTTTATCCATTTAATTAGGTACATTTATTTTTAATGTAATACACTAATACACATACACAGAAATACATTTTATATGAAAACGTGTTATCTTTTTCTTTTTTTATACTTATAGCCACATATTAAATAGATACTTGATAAATTAAAAAAAATCAGTTTTCGCTTTTTAATTAAAAATACTAATTATAATATAATATAATAATTAATTATAATATTAAAAAAACAGTCTTAATTAGTATTTCTTGGATTAAATTATCAAAATTAACCGAATATGAGCCGTTTAAATTTAAATTTTTAATCAACTGCGTACCTCTGGCTCATACATTCGTGAGTAGCAGTTACTAATACGTCGGTATTTTAATTTATTAATTTTAATTATGTCTTTAGATCATATTTTATGTTATATCTTTAGTGATATTCAATTAAAAAAATATCAAAAAAAAGGGTCGATACTGGGGAACGGGTATACCACTGTTATGGCCAGTAGGTATAAGGTAAGACACATTAAGTTATATAATTTATATCTGTAAGCAATGATGAACTGTTGCTATAGCCTATAACGAAAAACGATTCGGTTATACATATTTTGAATGGCCGTAATATTTACGATTTTCGTTAACATTTGATATTAAAAGAAAAAAAAAGAATGACAAATTTAATAAGAAATTTAATTCAATGTAATAGAAGCCACTAGCGATTAGACAGTAATTTATGCTTATATGCACTTAATAATAATATTATTTAAATATAGTTTATACTGGTGACGGGTGCAGCCACTGTTATAGGCGGGCAATTGGGAGGTAGGATACATAAAATGAATTAATTTAAATCATTTTAAAAGCAAATTAGGATATTTTTGAGTAGATCGATTTTAATTTTCAGTTAAAATTTCGGTACAATTTCCTAAACGCAACCTCTTCTATGTTAAATTGCAATGCCGGTGAGTGGCGATATCGTCTGCTACATATACGAGTATCCTCTATAAACTGTTTTTATTACCATCGGTGTTCTAAGCTAGGTTTTTACAGTATACCTACACGAATATAATATATTTAATAATTATTATTTATTTATTATTATTTATATAGATAAATACGCGTATGAAAACTGTCTTTACAACACCATGAGTCATATAATATGTCCTATTGTCCTATCTTCATTTACGTTTTTGCGATTATTATTGCAGTACAAGGCTTTCCCTTTATTTATGTACTTTTCCTAGTTATTCCTCCTCAGTGAGAATGTTTCCTTTATGAAATATAATATTTTGTTACAAAATTTACTAATTCAATCGTTTACTATATATATTTCTAAGTGGACACACAATAAGCAAAATCTTACTCGACTAGGTGTCCAACAAGTCTGAGCAGGTTAGTTGGAGGTAAATTAATAAAAAATAATTAGATGTTTAATTTAAGTTACTTACAATTTGTTTAATGAAAAATAAGTGAGTTAGATTAAAAGTAATTTGATAAACTTCCAAATTAGTTGGAAAAGTGTGCAGTACCATCCTTATATTATTATCTATAACCGACGTACTCACATTAAACAATATTATGTAAAGGTTTTCACTTACTGCCACGGTGGTGTTGGTAATAGTGATGACTTGGCAACTAATTAGTGAAATTCGACGTTTTATCATTTATTAAACGAGAGGCGTAGCCAGGATGGGCTAAGGGAGCCATACTCTCCTCCCATGGGCTGCCGTATTTATATATACTATTTTACGATTTGAGTGTTCATTACGTTTCTAGCTATTTCTTTCACTCTGTGAAAAATATTTTATAAGAAGTAATAGGCCGGAAAATAGATTCAATAGGTTAGCCATGGATAATATAAATAAAAAGGAAGACAATAATGAGAATTGCATAATTACTGATTTTGCTAAAAATTTTCCAAGGAAGTGCATTTTTTTCGAGTTATACCGAATATTATATTTTTATTTCAGTACATCTATTACATTTTGTTTTATAATATATACATTTTCGTTTAAAGTTTTACATTAAAATGCTTATTGATGAAAATACTTTTCTAGATTTGTTGACAGGCTGAAACTTCATTATTTTATCTTCACCCATATCTCAAGTAAAAATGTATTTAGCCTTCGTATTTATACTGAACACGAGTATAAATATACGCATACAGGTATGCGTATAATATACAATAAAATTAGGTTCGTTGTGTGATGTTTTGCGTGCTCTGTAATACATAATAATATGATAACGTGCCTACTTGGATTTTTGAGTACATTTCGATCGAGTGATGTTTCCAAGTACGTACTGCGTGCACAAATTAATATACTGTTATTTTTGACCCGTCAGCTATATAAACTTTGTGCTTTTTCATTATAGAATCCAAGAGATGCGTGGGGTCTATATAAATAATAATAATGTATGTATACTATTCGCATTGTATTTTTTGAATTTCAAAAGCAGAGCGGGTAAAATACACAATAACAATTATAGCGGTTGATGAAACCGTTATAATTAAATATTTTAATAATTCACTACAAACGCTATATAGTTCTGTAAAGCCTAGAGAGGTGGTGGGTACTTATGCATAAAAAATTAGATTATCTGAATTAAATGCAGTGGTTCATCGGTTTAACATCCCACGCCATTTGTATGATTATTGTGAATTATTTTTTATTCAAAAGTTCCTGGTAAATTAGTGATTTTACCTCAATAAATAAATGCGATCCATAAAATATATAGAAGGTTTGTACAATTTGAAAATTTTATACATAGAATATTACATATTTCATTTCCCAAAAAGAAAATTAAATTTACAAATTCTGAAACAATTAAAGTTTTGCGATAAAAAAAAAATCATTCTGTATATAGTGAAGTGGTGGTAAACTTTCCTGAGTGCGTAATAGTTGTACGACTTTTTTACGAATTTTTACGAATTACGTTTTCTACCAGAAATCTTGCTTCAATAAAAAAATGACATTCATTGAGACTTTAAATTTTATTAGAACACTTATATTTGCCTTTTTCTGACGTAGTAAAATGTTGAAAACATTTGAGTGATTTTTGAAATATTTATAAGCATTTTATATTTGCGAGTTTTTACGTAGTTTTCATTTGATAGGTACTATGTAAATATCATTGTTTACCAAACAAAAAATTCAAAAAGAAGTTCATTATAAGTTGTACTTAATAGTGAAAACAAAGTTAGAGAGTTGTAATTATTTTTATAATGGTTTTAAGATCAAATTTTTATGAAAATCGTAAAAATTATGACATTTCAAAACTTATTTAACCGGACGTCGCTCAAAATCGTTTTTCGTTAGCAATGGTTTATCGCTGCTTACAGATATAAATTAAAAACCATACGTATCCTACCATCTCAAATGTTCCAAACCCCCAAAAAAAGGTTAACAGTTACAGGTACCAGTGTAACGTTATTCCAGAACTCGAATTTCGAAATAATTATCAAAATGACTTAAAATCTGTGCTAACAATTGTTGTTTTAATTGTATATTTTTACAAATTAGTGATTACAGTATTAAAATGTTTACATTACCCGGACCTACATAAAACGGGTTTTAAATAGTGGATGGTTATATCTGCTGTAAATGTAAAAATTCGCCTTCGTTGAAAATCAATGTATCTAAATGCGGTTTTTTCAGCAGTAGTTCGTGAGAAAATTTCAATTTAATGGCATATAGGTATACAAAAAAAAAAAAATTGTATGCAATTTATTTTTGAAAGTTTTTAAGATAGCATTTTTTTGGTGAAATTTTTTTAAACTATTAAAAAAAAAGGTAAACATACATGTTGTGTCCAAATTTCGAGTTTATAAAATTTATATGAATATTTTTAGTTCTATTACAACAAATAACAAAATTATAAATAATAAAAAGCATTATTTTTATAAATTAGCCGTTTTTTTTACGTTTTATCCTGGGTTTTCCTAGATATTATGAAAATCACTTTGGAAAATTAAAAGATGATTTCTCTAAAGTACCAACAATTTCTTGAGATGTATTTAATTTTACAGATTTTAAAATTATCATAATTTTTTTAATAAAAACAGTTCTCGTCATTTTATTATCATTTATTCCTCCTCATACAGTACTTAAATATCCCCTTCTTGGTTGGGGAACAACTGTCATGAACCACCCACCCACCCAAAGACAATTTAAAATCCAAAGCTATAGTAGCTTTACACATCCCCCAGTGGCTCTCAGACTATAATTAAAGTGTAGCAATATATTAATCGTTTCACACGAAATATATGTAGGTGGTAGTTCAAAAGGACTTGAATAGTATTGTATGGATCAATATGTACAAATTTTCAATTAAATAAGAGTCTTTATTAATCCGGGTTGATGGGTGGTATAATTAATATAACATTTTGATTAAAATTAGTGTGGTACATTAGAATAACATTGTTTGGGTATTACTGCTGTCCAGTGAAAAAAACATCAACTTTTCCCAAACGTATGCGTCTAAAATACGCTTCAATTCTTCATCTATATATATTGGATATATTTTAACAGCTATAGAATAGGTGCCACTTTTTCCATGAGAAATCCTGAACTATAAAAGAACGCCTCCGACCATCATTGACAAATAAAATATAACCCTTAGCCGGATTTGCCTCACCTGAAATAAGAAGAAATGTAATCACAAACTTAGAGAGAATACCAACTAGTTAAAGAATGAACGACATCCAATGTTTGAATACAGAAGCCAAAGAACAAGGACTTAAATCCGGAAGTAGTTTTAATCACGCAGGAACTTAATGAACCTCCGGGTCAAGTTAGACTATTAAGATTGGAGAGTTGAAATCAGGCACGGATCCAAAACAAAGATCTGGGGGGGGGGGAAATGATTTGTTCATAACACAAATACAATTAAAATGTCTATGATTTTAATTATAGTACTATAATAGTTTAATCAACCACAATATATTTGTGATTGTCCGGAATCAACTTTGGTGGCCACGTGGTGCCCTTTTGTGGTGTCATCAATTAACAAGTATTACGAAATTACAATATTTAAATTACAGTCCACAGATATGTATAATATATAATAAATGTATTATCATACATATCTGTGATTTAAATATAGTAATATCAGGATCTATAGAATTATAAAAGAACATGGAGAAATAATATGTTTGGGAGGGGGGGGGTGTCCTGAGTCCCTAGGCCCTTCCCACTGAATCCGTCCTTGGCTGAAATACAATTAGATGACTTCACCCAACCCATTCGACATCTACAACCTACTTGCAGGTCCTGGTAGAGACATGCAGTAAACATACACAAAAATGTTGACAGAAAGATAGCTGGAGTTGCAAGAACAAGATTAAATAAGGCAAATTGGAATTTCAGTTAAAAAGACGACAGGCGCAAATGTGGATGTGAATGATGTGATTGTCAAACATTATTTGCTTGAATTCGATACAGTGCACCGAAGATGACCTAGCACAGACGAATATAGACACCATAAATGTATATAGCTATAATATAAATTTGACACTTTCACTAAACGTAAACTTAAAGTAGACTACGCGTTCCGTTCAGTTGCTTGAACAATTTTTTTTTTCTATAGAATAATCGTGTTAATAACTAATAAGATAACCTAAGACACTATTTATTTTTTTTTACATTTTTAATCTCTGGCCCATGGGCGAAATGCCTTTGCTTGCTTTCCCGCTGAGTCTTATTCTATAGCTATCTTTTGCTATCTACATCTATGGATGATAAATATGCTAGGGTTTTTTTTTTTAAATTTTATTTTTATTACATTAGACATTATAATAATATAAAACGATGAATAAAAAATAAATAATTGGAATTATAACCAACTAATAAGATCGTGTGAAATTAGTGTCGTTGGATTAGAGGATGTATATTTGTAGTTAGTTTAAACATTTATATAAACGCTATGGAATTAAATATCTACAAATTTAACTGGTATAATAACAGGTAGTTGGTGCCTACATACACAAATTGAAAATATTATTTCTATATAAATTATAGATTAATATATTAAATCTTAAGCATATTTTGAAAAATAACTACTTTTCCATTTTACACGAATACTAAAATGTTCGGTTTTAAATGCAAAATTTAACCAAGAAAAATGAAAAGACAATTATAATTTCATCGTCCGTAAAAAGTGGGAAATTTCCTGGATCCGCCTCTGGACTAGATTTGATTCTTTTAACCCGTGAAACCATTGGTAAATCTAACCGGACACGACGAGAAGAAGACCTCGTATACGAGTATAATATGCCAATATAATAATATGTATCATTTGGCATATTTCGCACATTCGTTTACTTACAGTCGGTTATATTGTTTGTATATAAACACGTACGTCCTCGAAACCCCCTTTCCCCAGAGGTGGGTACTGTGCCGTACATAACATACGCTTTCTCCGAGTTCGCGTGTATATACGTATGCCGTGTATATAAATATGTATGTATAATCGATAATGTATAATTATTAATAACCATAATATTAAACGTGCGTATACGGCTCGGACGCGTATATTTACAGTATGTGTATGGGTACCTACTAACCTGGGTGCATAAGTACCTATACATATTATTCAATTCGTTTGCCAAATTCTACAGTCACTGATTCGTTTATCGTTCGTCTGTGCTGCGGTACGCGAACGACAATAGTTCGTCACCAGAGAATGAAGAGGATTTATTTATTGATTTTTAAAATTAATTTTTGTATCGAAAAAAAAATGTAGTAATTTTTTAATCACACTACAAAGTTTCCGTATTAGAGAAATTAGAGAAACAAAATTATTTTCTATTATACTTGTACAAACAAAATTGAATTAAGGTTCTCTGTAGTGATGTTGAACAATTTTTAAAATGAAAAGGTTCTATAAAATTGCTGATATACGAGGTTCGGCTATTAAATAACTGAGACTGGGCGCGCAGAGAGCGTCCCAAAAAGGTTAGGGGAAAACCGAATACAACGCTGGTTAGCTGGAAGTGTCTTTTATGCCAGTACAAAATTGGGTTTTTGTTGGTGCATTAGTATTTTTTCTGTAGCGTTTAGAAACGAATATGTTTTTTTTTCTTGCCGAAAACGATGTGTGACGAAAAACATGAGCAACGGATAAACGTAAAATTTTCTCGTTTAACTAAAAAAAAACTCCAACTGAGTGCTATAAGTTGTTAAAAGAGGCCTATAGTGAGGATTTCCTATCTTGGGCGCGTGTTTTTGAGTGGCATAAATTATTTTCTGAAGGTCGAGAGTGCACCGGAATCCAATTCAGTCGTAATCCAAATTCAAAACCATGCTGATCGTTTTCTTCGATATCAACGGCATCGTGATGACTGAATGGGTTCCAGAGGGTCAAACTGTGAACCAACATTACTATTTGACAGTTTTGGCAACATTGCGCGAATGAGTTCGTAAGATCTTACACCAGGATAACGCACCTGCCCATAACGCGCTGTCTGTGAAGCGTTATTTGGCCGCTTAAGGCACTCCAGTACTCGAACACGCGTCTTACTCACCCGACTTGGCACCCTGCGACTTTTACTTGTTTCCGAAGATAAAGTCTGCCTTAAAAGGAATCCGGTTTGAGTTGATGGAAGAGGTGAAACAAAAATCGGCGTAACTCCTGAATGGTCTTACGAAAACAGACTTCCAGCACTGCCTCGAGCAATGGAAGAAACGAATNGTGTATGAAGAGGGGAGGAAACGGTGTATGAAGAGGGGAGGAGAGTATATTGAAGGGGAACATTTGGTTGTGGAATAATTTTGTGTATGAAGAGGGGAGGAGAGTATATTGAAGGGGAACATTTGGTTGTGGAATAATTTTTAAAATGAAACCATTTTTCATAAGCAGTCTCGTTTTTTAATAGCCAGATCTCGTAATAATATGAAAATAATTATTAAAAAAAAAAAAAAAGTTCAAATTAGAAATGTTGAAAAGGTTTTACCTATCTCTACAGTATTATTTTTATACATAGACGATTGCGCAGAAAATTAAAGTTAAAAAAAAAAAAAAAAAACAATTGATGTACTTGATGCTGATATCAGCTGATGGATTTGCTACTGTTGGTGGGGAATTAGGTAGGTCGGATAAATAGATTTATTATTTATTTCTGTATACGCAACGATAAATCATTAGTGACAAAATGCGATTCTAAGAGAAGTTCGATGAAACAAATTTTGAAATGCCGTAATTTTTACAATTTTCGTCACAATTTTAATTTAAAACGTTTGTAAAAAAACTGCCACATTGAACTCGACTTTGTTTTTACTACAAAGTACTACTTCTAATGAACCACTTGTTAAAATTGTAAATATTTCTATTTGACCAAACAATTTTTTCCACATAAAACCAAATACAAACTAAAATGAAAACTTGAAAATATTAAATGGCTACAAATAGCTCAAAAATTACCAGAATGTTTTACATTTTGTAACATTTTACAACGTATAGACAAAATACTAGGTAATATGAATATTATAAAATATATATCTATGACCTATATGCTATTATTTTTAATCAAATTACAACAAAAAATAATCGTTAATTTCCTTTTCTGCGTTTTTCTAAGTTTTTTCCCCCTAATTATTAATAAGAAAAATACACGGAAATTAAAAAATAACGACTTTCTTATGCACCAACCAGACAAAGTTCAGGAAAGATAATGTCTTGAAAAAGTAAGATTTCTGATAGGAAAATACAATTTAAAAAATCAAAAAATAATCCTCCTCAAAGCTCGCGTGTGCCATTGTTTGACTGGAGCAAGATTTCTGGTAGAAATATACCAGACACAAAATTATAGACACATAAACAAAAAAGCACACGTCGTAGTAAAACCAATATATTATATTCCAGAGAGTAAAAACGTGTAGGGAAAATGCGTTTTTCGTGTCAGAAAACGGTTTTCGGTTTTTTATGTACAAAAACGTTTTCATTTTTCCCGTATAGTATTTTGAATTTTTTTAAAAATTTTAGACATCAAATCAATGCAATTGATTTTTTATGCTGTACATTTTTTTTGCATTTTGTAAAATATGTTACTGTTTTAATTTTATTTAGGTTATAGTTTTTATAATTTATAATTTTTTACATACCTATGTGATTAAAATCAATATTATCAATAAATGCTCATATAATTACGTTTTTTAAGGTGTTTATCTGCATTCTGAAAAACAAATTTGTTATTATATGACGATAAACATAATATATGAAATATACAATTTTTTTTGCACGAGTGTGTGTTTATATTTTATTTGTGTAACAATACTATCGTATCTTAAATTCTTATTTCAGACAGAAAAAAATGGCCAGTTCGTGAGTAGCAATTTTAGTTGATTAATGTGATTTATAAGTATTTAATTTCTTTTTACGATGAACAAAAAGTCACATTCAGATAAATCAACAGAATGTAATAAAAAACAAATAAGGACCTATAACTGATTAGCAGAAAATCAACATTGACAAAGTTATAAACCGGGAAACGTAAAAGATTGCAAAAAAAAAAAAAAAAAAAACAATTGTCAAGGGTAATTTCAAGATGATGATTTATCAGCATTTTATAAATGTTTACACGATCACGGCAAATAACTTTGTCAATGTTGATTTTCTTCTTATCAGTCCTTAATTTTGCTTATTGTATTCTGATTTTCCTTCCTGTCAGTTTTTCTTTAGCGATAATTTAAATCGTAAAAACAAATTTACGGCCATTACGATTTCATTATTTTCGATTTTGTTTTTTTTTTTTTTTTTTGTTACAATTCGGTTAAAATAACTTTAAAAAATGTTCTAGGAATATTTATATAAGTTCTATTTAGATTCGGTAAATCTTTTCAAAACATATTGGTCATTTTTTTAGTTACTTATTGGTATTTAACATTTTCAATTTTAGTTTTTATTCCATTTTATGTTGATAAAATCGTTTTGGCTTAGCATAAATGTTCAAAAATGTAATACGAGGTTTATGCTAAGTATTATTTAGCGGTAAAAAAAAGAAAGTTGAACATAACGCTGCAGTTTTTTTTTATAACTGTTTTAAGTAACAATGTTGATTAAAATCGTAAAAAATATGGCATTTCGAAACATCGAACTTCGCAACAGAACCGTGTTTCGTACAGATGTAGTTAAATAAAATAACTTTATGTCTTTCATCTTCTCACAATCTCACCTATAACAGCAGCACACCCGTCGGAAGTATCAGCTGTTTTTTCAAATTTATTTTTTACCGGTAAAACTACAGGCGTCAATATAGGTACAGACCTTCGGAGGGTATCGGGGGGTGCAAGACGTCCGGCACGTTGGGCAGTATTAAATTGATGTTCCTGCACTGGACGGTGGAGGCGGTGATGTAGGCCAACAGCAAGAGCAGTAGTCGCGGCGATCCGGTGACCAAAAGCCACATTGTGAAGACGTGCGATGTGTTTAGACGTGCGACGCAGCGGTGGTGAGCTTATGGTGTCAATGGGGCGGCGGTTCGGCGCCCACGGCCTTGGAACAGCACCGCGGTGAACCGACCGCGGCGGTCATCCGCGCGGTAAGCGATGTCTTTGCGGTATTGGTACGAGCTGACCGATCTCCGGCTATTGCGTACGCAGAGGATATGCGAGAGGTATGCGGGCACGCAAATAATGTGTCTTTACGACGGTGGCGACGAGCGCGGCGCGAGAACAGAACGGGCGACAGAAAGCTACTGGCGGCGATTAAGAGGTTAAACGAAATTATATTATATATTATATATATATATATATATATATACATATATCGACGCGAGCGAGTGTGTGTGTGTGTGTGTGCGTGCGTGTGTTTGCGCGTATACGTAATTGAATCGACCAGGATGTGTGTATGCGTGTGACGATTTCGATATTATACAGAGTGAACGTTGTTCTATCGACGTTGTTTTATCATCGTGACCCGACCTGAACGGCGAAGATTTCGAGAAAATTTTATTTCGCGTGTTTTTTTTCGCCAGACATCACACGAAATCAAGGGGATTTCTTTGAGAAAAAAAAAAAATCAAAATTTCACCCTTATATTATTTCGTATACCGCACGCATAAGTGAAATATCAATAAGTATGCAATTTGTAAGCGGGCATAATAGATTATAATAGCATTCAAAAAGAGAATATTTTTCCAAACATTTTAATACAATAATACCCTATTCCTTTAGGCTGAAATATGTTTACTAATTTAGTAGATTTATAAAATATATGTATTTAGAATAAATACGACTGTCGAGCGTCCGAAAAATGTTTGAGAAAACCAAAAATCAAAACGTTAACACGATATTTTCATATTATAGATTTAAATCTTTGCAGGTTCACGATGATTAAAGAATCATCCTGTATACCTCGTCGTCGTCTATACGATTCGGGTTGTCGTCGAACGTATTCGTTTTCCAGTGGTTATCAAAAAAATATTTATAAACATTAAATATTAATTATTTTGTTTTTTTCTATATTCTAAATGCAAAAATGAATCCGTATATTAGTTACAGCGATATTCAATCAAAGTTATAATATACTTTCCAAAACTTAACAATTTGATAGTTTTAGATTTTGAGTGGAGCGAATGTATTGGTTTTACAATGATGTTTATTTATTTTTTTCAGCGGGCAACTTTTATACCAGTAATTTTGCTCCGATTTTTAATGATAGTATTTTTTTTTAAATGAAATCTGACTGGTGTGGTACATTAAGGAGGTAATTTTTTGATTTTCGGCGAGTTTCATATCAAATAAGAAAAACCGGGGAAAACATGGGAACAACTGGACATTTTACAAAATGTAGTATGTTTTCAATTTTTTGATTTGTTTTATTTTGATTCAGTTAAACATAAAACTTATATTTGCTTTTTATAAACGTGATCAAATTTTCAAAACATTGTAACTATTTTTGAGTTATTTATAGATATTTAAATTTTACTATTTTTTTTTTACGTAATATAATATTGTTAGACTAAATCGAAATGCTAGACATTTTACAGGTTCATTATAAGTTGTACTTATTAAACAAAAAATATTTATAATGCATGTATAATTCTTTTACTATAATATGACTCCGCTCAGAATCGTTTTTCTTCAGCAATGATTAATCGTTGCGTACAGATATGCATTAAATTCCCACTCTACCTTGCCAACTTTTCTCCTGAAACAATGGCCCAATAGCACGTCCGTATTTTTCTTATCGATTCTTGTTCGTCGCGATTTAAAATTATGCCAGGTATAAGAGTATAAGGTATAAGGTGTTTATTAAACTCGGTAATATTGAAAACGTGCTGCAAGGCCGTATGTCCCATTGTTCAACACAATCTAAATAGTTGGATATACCCAAAAGCGTTCCCACAGATCCGTCGTTTAGTTGAGCTTCGGGAGGCAAGGTTAGGTATCTATATTCGTATATCTAATATAAATATTATATAGTTTTTTCATATATTGAAATAGCCAACAATGTTTGATAATATTGTACGAGCCAGTAGTGATGATGGCTAAGGGTTCGCTAAAGAGAATCCCTGGATCATGAAATACTAACGAATTATTAACTATGTTGCTCAAAAATCACGAGCGTGACTCAATAATAGCCTCGTGTAAACCCAGCTTTAAGGTATATTTTACAACAGGTAGACTATTGTTGTAATTCAAAAATAAGGCGGGGTGTGCCTAGTTATGTAAAATAGATTCACACGTATAAGTTAATTATAAATTTGATTACCTTTCTTCTTCAGGCGGCAAATTGATCTGTTGAATTTGATATAGGTGACCGTAGTAAATAAAAAGATTTTTTAATATGGCGACTGTTTCTTTTTTATCATTTTTTTTTAAAATACAAAACACTGTTCTAGGTTCCCGTGCTTTTGTAAGAATCTCTGCGTAGTCTTTTACACTCGCTTGTGATCATCTGTCCAAAAGCAACGGGAACAATACATACACTGTGTGTGGTTATTGGAAGTGGCCGGCCTCCTTATAACTGGAGATCTATGTGTGTGTGCGTGTGTAAATGTATTATCTTAATTTGGTTAATACTAACAACTTAATCTAATAATTAATGGCTACAAATTATTATAATTATTTTACAATATTGATTATTTAATTTATTTTAATTATATATGATAGCTTAAGTATTATCTCCTTACGATGAGTAAATATCGCACTAAAATATATGTTATTTGATAAGAAAAAAGAATGACATCGGATGTAAATGTTTAACTATAATTTCCGTTATTAATTGTTTGATTTATTTCTTATATAATATTTTATTTTACATAATGTATGATAGCTTAAATAGCATATCATTACACTATCCTCCGTAAAATTATTATTATTTTTTTTAAAATGAGGTCATAAACTTGAAAATAATAACACAAGTCTCAGACACGTAACATAACGTATTATAATCCCCTACGACGACTACGACGTCCAGACGTACTCGCGGCGTTGCTCTTATCGTGCAAACGATCCGACCGAGTCGTGAAAATGATTTTTCGAAAGTGTTTTTGTCTAGGCTCTAGACTATAGGGGAAGAGAATAGTAGGACGGTACCACAACTCCTCATTTGAACTTTTAAAGTAAGACACGTCAACTCTCTCGCAGTATATGGACTTATTCGACTTATAAAAGGAAATGCAAATTATCGATCAAAGTGGGGAATTGGAATAACCTTAAACCAATAATTTACGGATTGAGAGCGAGAAAGAACAAATTATAGGTAGGTATTTCGAAATTGAGATTTCTAGCTAAGCTTATATATTTTTTAGAACATTTAAATCCAATTCGAGTTCTATAATATTAATACAATATAATACATAATTGTACCCATACGTACAATTCGTTCTGTTTTCCCTTTCGTATTATCACAATAAACGTGCGCTAAGAGTTTAAAATGAAAAAACAACAACACGTGCTTATTATACCTTGTTAAATTGCAACGATTTGTAAATAGGTCACGTTGTAAACAGTGGAAAAAATTTAGTACAACTTAGAGAGGAGACTAAATTTCTATACTTACCGAAAATTGAGGGTAAAAACAAAAAAGTTTTTCACCCACACTCACGTTATTGTTATAACCTCCCTTCTGCCCAAAATATTATCTTACACACATGCTTGCTCGGTAAAAATAAAACAGAATCTGATTATATAGTATAAGTATATCTAACCCATATACTTTGAGAAATAAATATGTCCCTCCTCGTCAACACTTTTTTCATTTCGTCTCAGTGCAAGAATACAAATAAATATAATAAAAAGTCGTGATGATAAACGTGCATGTTTCTCGTGAATGTACAACGGCAATATTAATATTATTTTAGCCGTTTAAAAAGGTCGTCACGTCTTGTTAATATAATGTTCAGCGCTCAAACGTCTAACGCGATCGTAAAAAAAAAAAAAAAAAAAAAAATAGAAAACACTGTTATTTACATCATAGAAAACATTGTATTCATCCGCTCCGTCGTTAAAATCGTCCGAGCAAATGCTGTCTTGAATATCATTCCGTGACACCGGCGTCAACAACAATATATAATGGCGATATCGGTTAAGGATCGTTATAGTAGAAAAAAAAATCAAAACAAGAACGCAATCGTTATTTTTAAATTACAACGATAATTACTTTTACGAATAACATATTGTGCGTCCATAGTTTAAACTTTTTTTCGATGTAGAATAATTAAAGCTATTATTTTAGATTTTGAGCGAATCGAAGAAGAATGTCGAGTATATTAGTTTTCATTATGATGCGTTTTTTTTAAAAATTATTAATCGAGATAGTAAACAACTTTTCTGCTAGAAATCTTTTTACAATCGAATAATTTTAGTAATACTTCTTCCTTGTTGTATTTTTTTATTTAGTCAGTGCTTTTATAAGGTCTTTTTTTTTATTTTCCTTGCATGTTTTTCGTAATAAATTGGAAAACTGTGTTTATTCTTGGTCTACCTTAACAACCAGTGAAAAATAAAATTGTTTAGAATGGTTTCCCATTAGCAATGATTTATGCACCAGGTATACACTTAATTACCTACTTTATATATACATCTTTCCAACTTCCAACCTAAAACAGTGAAACACTCATCATGAGTATCAAGACTAATGTCTTTTAGATTCTGAACGTAGCGAGGTATCTACTGGTTTTACTAAAATATGTTTTTTTTCTGTCTGTAAACAACTTTTCTTCCAGAAATTATGCTTCAATAAAAAAAAATAATTTTTTTTATTGAAAGAATTTTAGATCTAGTTGGTTGTTGTTTTTTGATTTTCCAAGATTTCAAGGGTAAAACCAGAAAATCCAGTAAAAATAAGGAAAGTTTACGGCATTAATGGTCTCGTTATTTTCAATTTTGATTTTTTATTATGTGGATCGGTTAAAAATTATCAAAGAGAGCTACTACAACATAACTAATTTTAATTTTTGAAAAATATTTGAATTCTTGTATTTATTGTTTATGTTTTGTCGTTCTTTATTTTGTTGATTTAGTAAATATACATATTGAGTTAACTTTTTTTTTCTCTAAATAAACTCGTACTTAAATATCACAAAAAAAAAAAAAAATAATAATAATGAAAATATTTTTTCCTATAAATATAGATAAGAAGTATATAGTCAAATCATTTTTCAAAACAAAAAATTGGAATACTTCATGAAAGTATATTTATTTTACTCCAGCTCTTTAGTCAAAAATATACTTACGAAAAAACGAATTACTTTTAACCTTTTTGTTTTTTATTCTTCGAGATTTTTTTATTGATTGAATTCGTGCAGTAAACCATTCCTTTATTTTAAAAACCCAAGTGCAATTCGACTAAAATAAGTGTAATTGGATCTTACTCAGTGTGCTATAGTTGTACAAGTCCCGCATTATAATAAGAATAGCAGGTATTCTATGTCATTTCTTGGTTCCTGTATATAGCTAGTAATACGCATAATAATATAGTTTAGGTCTTAACAAAGCCGGACATAGGGTGGTGGGGCGCCTCAGGATGGGTCCTAGGGCCCATATAAGAAAGAAACCCTAGTAAAATAGTGATCAATTTAAGTTTTAAAAAATGTAAAAATTGGTAGGTATTTAAATTTGTGAAGAAACATACTACTACGTATAATGAAAGTACTTATTTTATGGGAGGCATATATAGGCTTGGGCTCCTCGGGGCCCCTAAATCCGGCTCTTTTACAAGCAATACATAGGAAATATTCCTTCTCGTTTTATACTTCAGCAAATTAATGTACTATATAGAACTTTAGTCTATATATACGATTAATATTAAATTATATTGCAATGGTTCGCGGTATACCAACTAAGGATACCGGTTTAGCAGATACTTGTAACGCGATAAATACCTATTAATTATTGTCGTCGTTGTCTACGTCACACGACCTCGGCGGCATACTATAGTAAGTATATACAATTATACACACACACATAAACATAAAGACACGCGTACGTATACATAAAACATATACTTACACACACGAGTAAACACAATAATATAATATCAAGATCAAGAGATCGTCGAGAACCACTACTATACCTAATAATAATAATAATAATGATAATACCTTCAACTTGACCCGTTCGCCGCACGACCGACCCACTTTTATCGTCTGAATAGAAGAAAAAAAAACAAATCCTATATAATTGTCTGGAATTCCGAAACCGCGGTGGTCCGCCTGCTGGTTGAACCTGTGCACGCGCCTCCGAGTCAGCAATATTATACCGGGTACCCGGTACCTATATTATATATACACGTAACGGACAGAATGTTTATAATTTTGTGTTTTTTTTTTTTTTCGTACCCGGTGAAAAATTGCTTAGGAAATGATTACGCCGAATAAAACGCGACGACAGCAGCAGCTATATAATATAGTTGTATATATTACAGTTGCTAGTATAAACTGCGCCGCACTCTCTCTCTAATCTTTTTGCTGAAAATGGTAAGAGAGGTAGCTATAGGTATATAAATCAATCGCACAAAACGAAACTTTTTAACTGACCGAGTTGGCGAGTTGTGTATAAAAAGATATTAGTTATTACTACCGATTATGGGTCGAAGACGATTTCTTTAATTTCAAATTGTAGCAACAACAATGTTATTTTTTTTAAAACCGATATTAAAAAGGGGGATATACACATAACTAATGAGGAGGGTCTGGATCCTCTTAAAAATTCCTCAACATTTTTCAAAATAATTTGCTACATTATACATGAACTGCAATAATTATTTATAGATTTATTATAACATCGTCTAAAGACTTAAATTCAGTATTAACTATAATATAAGATATACAATACGTAAGTCTCGCCAGCCCTCCCCCCAATTTGGAAATTGTGGTTTTTTTTTTATTTCAATATTTAGTATGTAATTAGTATGTATTTGTATGACCAAACCCGGAATTTATGTGAATTTACTATTACAGTAAATCAACTTTTAAACGTCTCTCCAGTCTCCCTCCCCCTATATGTAAATATTAGTGGTGGACCAATATGACTTTTTTCCGGTACCCGATATTTAAACATTTGCTTCAGATATAAAACCAATATTTTTTTTAAACCATGAGTCATACATTTACGTCGTTAAATTTTCAATTTTATGTATATTTACATATGGGGAGGGGACTGGAGAGACAACGTCTCTACAATCCCCCTCCATTTAAAAGTTGTTTTACTGTAATAAAAAATGCCATACAAATTCTGGGTTTGGTCATACAAACACATACTAGATATTGAAATTAAAAAAACGACAATTTCCAAATGGAGGGGGGGGGGAGAGCTGGCGAGACATATGTATATACCATGTATTTTGGACCTACATTTCATCCAAAAAATAAATTTATAATACGACTTTGGATACACAGGTATAGGAATTGAACAAAAATAAAGTTAATATATTCGTAATAATAGTGACACTACTTTTATTATAAACAAACAAGTATTATAATATATTATAATTTATAATTATTTAAATAAATTATGCGTTTATATCGTATATAATCTAGCTGTAAAATATTTTAAAATCATTTTAATGAACGATTCAAAAACTTAAAAATTTCCTACACACACACACACATACCTTAATACCTATTAGGTATATCCTAAATACGCATACTAATAAAAAAGTTGAAGAATAATCATCAAGTGAATAAGTATTGTTACGAGTATAATATACTCGTATTATAGTCAATGAGATATATTATAGTAATAACTCAGAAAGCGAAAAATCATCACAATAATGTATAAATATAGGTAGATAAATTGCAGTGGTAGTAGATATGTAAATTTGAATTTTTACTGATATACTTCTATAGGCAAAAGTTTACCCATTCTTATGCTATCCCAAAACCACTGCGCGTACACAGTCACGCTTGAGCTCTTCTCGTACTTCAGTAGCTTCAGCGATTCGTGTTCCTGAAAACGTGAGAACATTTTATTTTAACAATATTATGTTAAAGAACATTTTTTCAAGGAGGCTTTCTGGGTCCAAATGGACGCACATTAGAGTCTATAACATAGGACACCCAGTAAAGTAAAATTTACTTTACACTGTCTGTTCACTACAAAATAAATTATTGAATTATTACAGTATACATTTTGTTACACAATATTATATTTACTAATAGGGGAACAAAACGGGACAAAAAAAACCGGAAAATTAAAACCTTTACATTTATTCAGGACTTTAAAATATACCTTATGTTTTTGGATAAATGAATTAGGAAATACCTTCAATGTTTAATAATAATAATACAGTAAATATCGTTCATATTTATTTTTTTAACAAGCCACTAACTAACTATTTTTAATATTTTTACGACTTTTCCCCGATACCGGAGAAATATATCTATTTTAAACCAGTGCATATAGATGCATAGTATGACAGGTACTAGTTAAGGTTAACATAATATTATGTAATATTAAGATATACTTCAAAGGAATTTACAAAACCAATTATAATTTACTGTTGTATTTAATTATTTCAATTAGGTATAGTAAAATGAGTCTTTGTTGAATTTCCAATGTATTTTAACAAAGAATATTATATCTACATATTTTATCGATTTCACCCCATCGGTTTTGTCCCAAAGCATATTTTGTACAAAATTGTTGATTTGTAACACAATGTTATAGATAGAAAAAAAAAGAACTGATACCAGTATGGACGAGTGCAGCCACTTTTGTAGGTGGGAAGCTGGGAAGGTATAATACATAAAGTTATTAAATTTATATCTGTACGCAACGATAATGAAAAACGATTTGGAGCGAAGTTCGGTAAGATATATTTTGAAATTCAGTAATTTTTACGATTTTCGTCAAAATTTGATCTTAAAACGCTTATGAAAAAAAAAATTATGCATTCAAATCTAATTTTTCTTTTTAGACACTAAATACAACTTATGATATAACCTGTTAATCTTGTGTTAGGTTTTCAAGCATTTCTCCCAAGTCATATAATTTTAATAATAGATTCTTACTAAATAAAAATACATACAAAACATGAAAATATCAAATACCTATATTAGCCTAAAAATAGCTAGAATATTTTGAAAATTTTACTGCGTCTACCAAAGGCGTAATTCGGAAAAATAATTTAAAAGCTAATAATTTGCTTGGTATAACAATACATTTGATGTAAATTTATAACTTGTACACATAGTTCATGCCAAATGAACTAATTACCAAAGTTCCCTAGTTACTAAATTACACCCTATTATCACCCCAATTTCCTTTTGAAATTGTCCAAACTTGTCTGTATATCTCCCTGGTTACGCTTATGCTGTTATGTTGATATTATATAATAGTTAATAACCATTTTTTGTTTTTTTTTGTTTTAGTAATGCTACATTTTCATCGGCAACTCTGCTATCAACAACCAAACGATTTGTAAATATATTTTTGTGGTTCGTGCTAACGACCGTAAACTGCTATTATTATATAACATAACGTCAGGTTGTTATTTTAAAATATTGTAATAATCATTTTAAATAAACTTTGATTTGCCAGATCAATATTTAGGGTTCGGATGTTGTAACTCTACAAAACATTTACGAAACTTATTGTTATATTTTACTAATTTAATTTAGCAATATAAAACACGAAAAAGTTTATAATTTTACAAAGATGTTCATTTTTTTTTTTATATGTGCGCAACTTTTTTCAGAAAGGAAATGTAACTAGGTGATACATAAAAAAAAATATGGACATACTTCACACGATGGGTGGATCACTATTGTAGGTGAGAAGTTGAAAAGGTATATTAAGCAGTTAGAGGGAAAATTTAATAAATATCTATACGCAATGATTAACCATTACCGCTAACGATAAAATGATTCGAAACGAAAAGAGTTCGATTAAAAGTGTTGCTTTATTAATAATATATATGTCATACTGTGGTAAAATAATTACATGTACTATATATATATATATATTTTTTTTTATAACATTTATTTTAATATTGTACCTTCCTATTTTCCCTTTTTTCCTATATTTTTCTCATTTATTAGGAAAACTCTTGGGAAAATCAAAAAATTACCTTCCTAGAGGGGCACCTCAATCAGATTAAATTTCAAAAAAAGTGCTATAATTAAAAATCGGAGTAAAATTGCTGGTAGAAAAGTTGTCCACAGAAAAAAAACAAATATATTTCTCTCTCTCGATTCAGAATCTAAAATGCATTTGAATAGCGAAAAATCATTCAACAGTAGCTGATAGGATAATATTTTGGTTTATATGTATACTGTATGAGTTAAATTAAACATTTTTTATCATAAATAACTATTTTTTTTTTAGAATTTTATCATATCCTTAAACTTAAACAACGATCATATAATAATAATCTACGACATTACGCTTAACTATCGGTTATAAGTACAATTCATGAATCATTACGATTGAACCAAATTTTCGAAGATTAAAACAGGACTAAAAGAAAATACAATACATTATTGTAAAAGACGTCCTAAGAATGAAAAGGAGGGATTTAGGATGTTAAACACCCTTCGAAATTCAAAAATGTATATTAGTACTAGGACAGAGGATTTGTAGCTTTAAAAAAAGCACTAAATATTCAAGCCCTCATGCACTTAAACACCCTATACTATGCACTGAAAATATGCTTATATATAGTTTTTATAAAATAATTTATTTAAAAATATATTTATCAACAAAATTGTTAACAAATTTTAATTTCTTGAAAATTTTTCTTTTGATCCTAAAAAATAAATTGTTTGTGTTAACTGTTTAAAAATAAAATAAAACTTATCGGGGACCCTCGAGATGAGTTTCAAGGAGAAATCAAATTATATGATTATGAAACAACCATAATAATATACTGTACAAATGTAAACAATTTTAAATTCAACAATATTTTAGTTGTATATAAAATTAAATTGAAATGTCGAGAGAAAAATATTAATAGAATAATAAATTACTTTAAATATGCTTCTAAAAGTATAAAATGGAAGAAATTGGAAATATGCTCTAAAATAAAAAAAAACTAGAAATATGCATTTATATGCAAAATAAAATTTCAAAACTAGCTTTGCCAAAACATGAAACGTATTTGTTTTGTAATTTGCTATTTTTATTAATGTGCATAACAAATATGCAAACGTTACAAATCCTTTGTCCTAATTATTACTATAGTTTAAAATTATGCATTTTTTTTTAAATTCGTGCCTGAGTATTTTCAAACGTTTAGAACGTACCTAAAAAGCTATACTGGATACCAGGGGTACATGTAGAAACGTCACGGAGTCGCACGCCGTTCGGCATTGGCGTCCGGTGTGTGGGGGCGGTGGCGAGTGTTTCGGTGGGTGAGGGGTTTCATGACAGTCGGACGAGGGGCGAAGACAAGAGTCCGAAAACCAACTGTAGCTGACATATTGTGAGGGTCCGTGTACCAGGAGTGCATGTCGACTGTAGGTAATTCTAAGTGGACGCTTTTCAGGCATAGAACGCATTATAATGCTATTTAATTTGTGATACCTATTTGTAAACATATCGACAAATGAAAAAAAAGTCGATACTGTTGACGGAAACTTCAGTTCAGTTATACGTCATGTTTTGAAATGCCGTGATTAAATGATCAAAATATCGAATGTCTATAGTCGGCTCAAAAATTGCCAAAATATTTTAACACGTATTGGAAATGCCAAATTGTTTTGTCCCAATGAAATCGTAACGCCGTAAATTTGTAAGTTTTCAATTTACGTATTTTTCCGTTTTTCCTCCATTGTTATGAAAAATCAATATATTAGATCCAAAATGCAACAAAAAAGATCTTGACATTTTTTGATAGAAATATTTCTAGAAGGAAACAGTGCGTAGGAATTAAAAACAATGAAAATAGTAACATCGCTGCGCGCCGTATATATTTGCCGTTTTACTTTTCGATATTGTTTCTGGTTTTTCCCAATTATTTTGAAAACCCCTAGAAGGCTAGAAATACACATCATATTAAATCCATCTTCTGCTTCAAATTTTCTGGTTTGCTCAGAATCTAAAATGAAATATCACACGTCATATTAAAACCAATATTCGTCAATATATAATAATCATTCATCGCTGTGCTCAGAATCTAAAGAAAATTGCTTAAAAAAGTAATCTTTTGTACTTTTCATTCCATAAGCAGCATAGAAAAGAAACACGTACAGTCGACGCAACTATATATTGGCTATGGAACATCCGAACTCTATACTGACTCACAGATAAGGTAATATTACGTCTACAAGTATGTATAATAATAAAGACTAAAATAGAAATTTTACTAACTTGTGTAGGCGGTTGATTCGGTCTTCTCCTTGGGACTATAATGTGTGTAGGTGATGATGATTCGTCTGGTGTATCGATGTGCGTACCTCCATAGCTATATATCGTGAATATTAAGAAAACCGTTACTGTTTTAAGTTTTAAATTAAAAATACCTAGTTAAATATAAAGAATGTACACGTAAAAAAAAATAATAATTTAATAGGCTATCGGTCATAGGCTTATTATTCGTTTTTAATATTTCCCCTAGAATGTTCATCATACCTCACCTCCTTTTTGAAAAATTAACCTAACTTTATGACATTTAAATTTAATATACAGTTGTTTTTTTGTACATTTTTCAATATTATTTTTATCGACAACAAATTTTAAAAGAACAAATGTTCCATCCTTCGCGAAAAATGTCCACCCTAGGCTCTACCCGGTGGTGATTATTCCGGTTTTGCGGTTTTCTTGAAATTTAAAGTATTAGATTGATTTAAAAGAACAAAGAAAAAAAAAACACCAATATTATTTATTGATTATTCTAAAGTATTAGATATATATATATATATATATAAGTACCTTGACCGGGAAATAAATAATGCTTATTATTGGTCGACGGGCGTACTCACGTAAACACGGAGGCTTCACAATTAATTAACGAGAAAATAATTAAATTAACCGTCGTGACACGATTACAAACATCTAATCGATTCAAATTTTAATTATGCTGGTAAATATTTTGTTCGCTGTACCTCGGAAATATAAAATAATGTTACCCAATTAATACTTATATTAGCCAGCACCCTTGCATAGGTACTTTGAAGATAATATCGGGTAAAACTATTATTGTATATTGCGGCAAATAGCAGAATTTTTCACAACTTATTATAGGAAAACCTCGGAAAAGGTATCGGATATTCTAATAATATAATAACGTATAAACGCTTTAAGGCACATTCATGTTATCAATTTTGAAAATTTTTATGGACATTTTAGAATAATTGTACAGGTAAATATTATATAGTATCCCCGCAGAGCTTAGCCCGGTATTGAACGAAAAAAAAAATGCCTAAATAAAAACGTCGCTTTCCGTTTCCAACACCGCGCATCGTCACTGTCATAGTTAACCGTTGTGCGGTAATTCATTTCTTTTTTGTCAAAGGGTACTCCTTTGTCAGTGACAATCAAATTAACCAATAACAACTGTTTCTTTTATCTGTGTCATTGAGAGGTAAGTAATCCATAAATCGTCAACAAAAGAAAAAAAAATTAAATTTTCGAAAATTGTCCGACCTCTGTGTGTGACGGATTGGACTATGGATCGCACACAGTGCGTAGATGTATTGTAGATTTAGGTATATTATACAGGGTGATTTATTATTAATGTCAAACACTTATTATTTCGCAGTATGGAATTTAAATATAAGTATATATTTTTTCGATAATTTAAGAAACAAGCAGATCTAAAATGTTACATTCTTAATAATTTTATCACCATTATATTTAAGAGTAAAACGACCATCTTCTTTTGATTTTAAAATAGCAACCTATCTTAAACATTCGATAAATATATGGAGTATTAGTTTTATTTAATACATTTTGTTTTTGAAGTTGTTCATTCCCGTTAACACGTTTACGAGATATTCCACTTTAAGTTTAGGTAGGAGACACTTAATTTATTTATGGACTTTTTAATATAGGTTATTATTTAAAAATCAAAAATATGTAGCTGTATCAATTCCCTCCCCTCCCCAAAAAAAAAAAAATTAAATTAAAAAAATTATGGCAAAAAAGGCAATACTTTGTGAAATAATGAATGTTTTACGTTAAATGAATTATCCTGTATATCTATATAGTTGAAATATCCAGTTTTAATTTATTTTTCATTATTTTGAAAATGATTTTATAGTATTATTTGACTGTTTAATAAAACATTGCATAAAAAACTGCATCAAATAATAATAAAAATATCTGGAACTATGATATTGTAAATAGAATTGAAAACAGTATTGTTAAGGATTATGATCATATCTATATAAATCTAAAAACGCGTAAAAGTAGTTTTCATACATTTTTAAAAAAAATATGAAAAGTAGTTGATACAACTACTGAAATACCTATATATACCTACCTATATACACACACACGGGGATCTCGTAAACTAGTTTTTCTTCATTTCTTTTAATTATAATAATTATTAGTCGAAATATAAGTGTTGTTATTTATGTATTTTTTTTATGTTTTTTTTTATTAATAATAATTATATGTAGATATTCCGAAAATAAACACGTTTAAACAATTTTCTCATACTTGACCATATATTTTTATTATTATTATGTACCTTAAGGAATACGGTTGAAGTAAACACTTAAATACATAGTTTACATATTATTTTTTTTATAAATTCCGGATAGGTACACGCTGAGTAGTGAGTATACTTACCTCAGCCATACATTTTTATAACTGTATAAGTTTTATATATATATATATATATTGGATTAATCAGGTTAATCAGATTATTTTATACGAGATAAAATGTATAACATGTAACGGTTAAATATATATATATTAAGATATTTATCATTATAGTCAATCTCAAAAAAAAGTATTCACTTTATTTTACGAATTTGATTTAATTTTTTTAGTAAACTCAAGAAATAATAAGTTGCAGTTCTAAATACCTAATGCAAAATTACCGTTAATTCTGCTTGGAGGAAGAGGGGGTGATAAAATCATACGTATATTCGCTTTTTAATTCACAACACCCCCACGCACACAAATGATGCTCTACACACTGCTATCCTCTTAACCACAAAACGATAACTTAAAAGCGAAATTATTTAAAATCAAAATAAGCAGTTTCACTTCCAAAAGTAAAGGTGTTGAAAAATAACGGTAACGTTACATTTTAGAGCTGCTACGGGTTTCTTGAATTTTCAAAAAAAATTAAATCCAACAAAAGTTTGCAATATGTTAAACTTTTTGATATAATGATTAATAAGTGTCTTGCGGGATGTCAATAAGTATATTAGAATAATATATATTCGTATATATATATATATGAAAAGGATACGCAATAAAATATCGTAAAAAGACACTCTTAGAAGGCGTATCTGGCACAACAAGACGAATTCCAGTGAATAAATCAGGTAAACGCTGGAAAAAAAATTAAATAGAATATAAACAAATGCAAATTAAATTCAATTTACGTTTTTATGGCTTCGTTAAAAAAAAAAATAATAAATATACCTAAGATAAACACGTCTATGTACTTATAGTATTGTAATGGATTTATATTCAATTTCGACGGTTATATTACGTACAGCACTTTAGCAAATTGTATTATAATATTATAAAAATTATATTATACAGTGTCCTATAATGTAATCCTTATGCTAATATTCTATCAATATTCATTTTATATTTTTTAATCGGGGTGCGAGGGTAAAACATATGCAGAGAAAAATTAAATTTTTATTTTCATCACTTAATTAGGTATTGAAAAAAAGCAACTTTATTTTATTTTTATCATACTTTTCACTTTTCATCATTTTCAATCAGCCTTTTTGTAAAAGATATTATTCTAAAAATATTAATGTAGCACACATTTATATCTAATAAATAGTTTCTTAGTAATAGTCATTTTAATTTATAGAAAATTGGGAACAATTAATTGTTCAGTAATTCCTTATCTTTATTGAATATTAATTGTTTTCACGCCAATTTTCTAGAAATTAAAATGACTATAAGAAACTATTAATTGGCAAAGAATGTATGATACATTTTTGAATAAAATATTTCAAAAATTTTAAAAAGTGAATAGATAAAAAGTTATTTTTTTCAATGATTATGAGATTAAAATATCTTAAATATCTTAAATAAATTAAATAGATATAAATTTAATTTTTTTTTACACATGTGTCCCACTCGAACAAAACCCGATTGAAAAAAAAAATTAATATTAGCACATTAGTTATTAGCATAAGGATAACACTGTAGAACATCTTGTGTAGCGATGAACAAAATAACAAACTGAAATCTATTACAAGCATGTTTTTTTTCGTCAAATTCTCCCTGGAAATAGGCGAAACTATATTACAGTCTACTTTGTATCTTTTTTCCGTCACTTTTTTCTAATACACTTTTGGCGGCTCCCTTTGTACCATCAACGAGTTGAAACTGAAGAATTAAAGTATTGTTTTATAGCAGGCGAATTGAAGTGATAAAAAGTCGAGTGGAATATCAATATGAATTTATTTCAACATTTTTAAGATTTTTTAATTTTCAAGGAAGTAAGATTGTACTTTGATAAGTAAGCTTTGAATACCTCAATATAAGACCTTACAAATGAAGCCTTCAAAGGAATATAATTTTATACTTGCACGGCATTAGTATCGAAGACGTGCTTTTTGAGAGTTTCGATTTTTAATCTCCGCCCCTACCATTGCATTTAAGCATTTGATGCTTAAATTTTAAATTGTTTTTTTTCGGAAGTTTTATAATTTAATATAGTATACATAGTATTCGGTTATTTATTGTTTGGCAAAGAATATTTCTAAAATAAAAAATTGATACCTAGTGTAAAATCCGAATTAAGTGGACGGAAATGTGCTACTTACAAATCTTTTTTGACAGATTTTATTCGAAAATATAGTATTGCATATCTTTTTATTTCTACTTTAGGACATTTCTAGCAGCTTTCTCTGAACTTGGGAATCGGAATTGTTTGTAGCTGGATCGAAGTGATAAAAATTAGGGTTAGGTTGAATTTTAATATCAATTTAGCCATTGTATTGTAGGAAAAAAAGGTTTTTTAGTTTTTCAAATCATTATGGATTCCCTAAATGAAATCAGGGGGGGAATGATATTTTGTATACGTAATATCAAGAATGTGATTTGTATGTTTAAACTTTTAATCGTCTTTACGATGTTTATTATCAAATTTTAACATTTTTTTTTTTTTTTTTGGAAAAATTATGATAATTATAGTATAGTATTATATTATTATAGTGTCCGGTTATATATCGCTTTGCAAAAAATATTTCTGTAATATAAAATAGGTGGGAAAGAGGATTTGACTTTATAGTGACCAGAGTTTGCTGCTCACTTGTGTATACATAACTTTAAGTAAGTTTTTATGTTCGTAAAAATAATAATAATTTATATATAGGTAGTATAATTAATAAGTTACCTATACAATAACATAAAAAAGTACTCTTACCGGTTGACGTGGTCTTTCGGCACAAAGTTTAATTTTTTTAACAGGATTATTTTCCATTCTGACATTAGTTTTTGAACCACCCGGTTTGACGTGATCGTCCAAAGTTCTCTGGAATAATAATAATAAAAAGTTTTTATTTAAAACATAATATTATAACTATAGATTTAATATTCGTTAATACGCAGTATAATATAATTTATTGTTGGGTTTTAGGTGACCGAACAAAAAATGGTGAATTTCACATATAGTGAAACTTATTCTACTTGGTGAATTTTTCTGAATATCTTTAAAAAAAACAGTGAAGGTACGTAGGATTTCCACTGTTATTTATTTGCAAGTTTACCACAATTATTTATGCACAACAAATATAATATATTATAAACTATCTGCAAATATTTCTATCTATACAACAAACTCGTTTATTTCCAGTCGTGTAAATTTAAATGTTACATTATACTGTTGTGGGTATACTTCTGTATATTTATAATTTATTTTATATTTTTCAATTTTTCACAACATTCGATTATCGTTCTGGGTAAAATTTGTTTGCAAATCTCGTATAATGAAACAGAAACATTTACGCGGAAACTTTCATTATTATAATATCGAATAACCAACTGTCGTAATAAAATAGATATAGGTAAGCAGTAAAACGAAAATACAGTATTTTATATATTTTTAGTATTATACGGTATTATATATTTATATATGAATTTAATGCTGTATAATATTATGTGTATTTAATAATAATGTATAGTTTATTTTTTGTATTATACTGTATTATATGAATAAAGTATAGGTCATTTTCAATTTTTTTTTTATAACTTAAGAGATTTATAGATGTTCAGTAACATTATTATATTCAGACAAGTTACATTTTAGAAACTGAATATAGAGAAAAATGTTTATTCTTTTTTTTTTATATACTGTGACACAAATTTCTACCAGAAATTTTGCATCGGTATGTAAGTGTAGCATCTTTTCTGAAAGAAAATATTGTCTAGATGATACTTTAAATACTAAAAACTACCTAATACTTTAGGTTATATCTTGATTTTTCAAGCGGTTTTCGTAATATCTGGGAAAACCCGGGATAAAACGTAAGAAAACAGGAAAATTTACGAAAATATGATTTTATTATTTTAAATTTTGTTTTTGTAGTAATTCAGTTAAAAATATTCGTAGAGACTTGAAATTTAGACACGAAATTTGGCTTTTCTAGACGTGACAAAATTTTCAAACATTTTAGCAATTTTGAGCTATTTATAGACATTTTAGTTTTGCGAGTTTTGTACGTAATTTTTTTTTTGGTAGGTACTCTGTGGATAAAATTATTTACTAAACAGAAATTCTTGAATGTTTAACACGAGGTTTATTAAAATTGGTACATTTTAGTAGTAAAAAAGAAATTGAGCTTAATGTAGAATTACTGGTCTAAGCAAATTTTTCAATTTTTTTTTTTTTTTTGGTTTTTGTTTTAAACATAATATGCAGATTGCCAATTTAAGAACGATGATAAAGCCAGAATTGAGCGGACTGACTTTATTTCGAAACTTTAACTTTTTGAAATTCTGATATTTATGTGAATATTACACCTGTGTTATGTTAAATAATTTGTTTTTGTTATATTTATAGAATATTTGTCGTAGTCTAGTGGTGGTATGTACCTGAAATCATCCCAGAGATCACAAGTTTAAATCAGAGTTCCAAAAAAAAATTGTTTTTGTTAAAACCACGTCAAGTAGATTTAACAGGGAAAAAACAAATGCAACATAATATGTGTTTATTGTGTAATTTATTTTATTCAATAATATTTATTTTACTATAATATAACATACATATTGTTGAAAAAGTAATACTCTTTAATGAAGTTTCGCTCAGAATCGTTTTGTTTTAGCAATGAATAATCTTTAATTATATATATATATAATGTATACATATACATAAATTCCCATCTATATTCTACCTTTCCAACTTCACATCTACAACAGTGGTCCACCTATCATGGTAAGTATGTATGTCTTTTTTTTGATTGAACATAACAATAATAGTACCAGTGGTGAACAAATTATTTTGTTATGAGGATAAGGATAATTTATAAGAACTAAAATTTTTAACACAATTTTTTTTATATCTATATTATATATTATACTGGGTGATTTTTAAGCATACTCACCCCATTTATATGGTTAAATTATGCATAAATTCAAATTCTGATTTTTGGTATTTTTAAGTATATACACTTTTAACAACAGTTAAAGACAATATTTTGGATACCTCGATTTTTTAGAACATTTAAGGAGTTTTAACAATTTTAGCCAATCAAATAATTTTTTTGAAAATTTTTTTCGTACTATAGTTAAAAATTTGAATAAAAAGATTCTGAGTTATTCTGTTTTACATACTAAGGATTGGATACAGACTGTTTCATAGGAATCTCGCGTGGGTAATTTCTTGTTCTGAATCATGTAGTTATTACCCTTTAGTTATTTAAGTAGAATTACTCGGAAACTTTTCTTTCAAATTTTGATTACAAGAAGTCAACATTTTCAGAAAAATCCCAAAATGTGAAATTGCCAATTTTATAAAAAACATTTAGGTTCTCATTTAAAAAACCAAAGTTGTGATCATTGGCGCGATCAGGATTTTTTTTATATAAATAGTTGAAAAAAACACCTTGTATATTATTATTTAAGAATAGTTACATAATTTGGTCTGAATTCCTAGGTTCGACCACGACTGGATCATACATAGTGTGTTAACATCGGTTTTAAGTATACATAAATATGAATTGGCTATTTAAAGTATTTACACATTACCTAACCTAAAATTTTAAATGCAATATTACACTGGCCAAAATAAATGTTTATATAGTAGTACAACAATAATAATATACAACAACAATTATACTACTATAAGTAGTAATATGTAGTATAGAGTAGGACGAAAAGTATTCTAGACTATTGCCTATCACGAAAAAAAAATTAGCACGGCCTTTTAATAGCATTTATATACTTTTCCAATAAAAGCCGAAGCTTAACAAGGATGCATATACAACAATCCAAACTAAACTAAAACTAACCTAAGGACTAGAAATAACTGAAACAAACTAGCATTATAACTTACACGAGAAGAAGGGTGACTTTAAGATAAATATTTTACTCACCTTCATATGTTTTCGTTTTTCAGGAGTCGGTTGAGGCGATTCGTTTTCAGAACTGGTATTTTTGTCAGTACGAAGATTTGAAAAAATATTTAAATTACTAGTTTCTTTTGACAATTCGAATAAATTCTGAAAACGAAATTAATATTCAGGTAAAAAGTTAAATCGTCACGAACGAACTGTCATACTTACTTGTAATTCGGTAAGCGTAGTTGCGGTTTCCCAAGTTTTGTCATTTCTAATTTTAGTCACCCTAGGAAATCTGATAGATATACCATTAGCTGTATGTATTTCGGCTTGCGAGTATTCTGCCCCGGTAATTTCCCAAACTGGCATTTTCTATTAGCACGATAAATTGTTTTCATTAAACAGGTATTACACAACATCTGCATAATAAATAATTGTAAAAGTGTAGGTGTCACAACTATGAATTCTGAGGCTCGTATATGATAATTTATTTTAAGTCAATCACATTTGAACTCGTATTTTCTACTCGAATGTTATATTGCACAGAGGTAACTACGAAAAATCGAAAATATCCGTTGCTAAATAAATACCTATTTAAAAGACCATTTTGAATGTGGACTTTAAGCTTTCGAAACACCTTTTGAACCTGAGTGAATTGAACAACTGACAAACTCTATTTTTGAAGCACTACGTGTGTATTATTTCATACAGTGGTTTATTAGAGGGGAGGGTGTGGAGAAGACATTAGTTCCAAAAATTTCTATTTGATGTGTTTTATTGGCCAGATGTAAATTATTCGCCAGCAAACGCCAAAAAGTAATTATTTGACATGAAATCATCTACACTACATACTATCATATAATAAATTATGATTTATAAATAGTTAATGTTGAATAATTTTACGGCATTAATCAATGTCGTTACTAGTGTTGTTGAAAGCAAAACAAATACTCGGAGACGAATGGTCGGGTGAACAAATTATAACTCGGTGATGGTATTAATCGATTTATTTAAATTTTGGTTTCTACATAAAAAAAAAAAACATAAATAGAACTGCCATGGTACCATCGCCACCGGCATAGTAAAATAATTATAAATGGAGAAACCAATACGGCGATGGTCAGAGACTATTTAATAATAAGTACATCCAACATCATATTATAGGTATTGAAAGTGCTATTTTTTTCAGTACACGGTTTATTCACTCAGTAGACCGGAGTAAAAAGCATTCACTTTTTAATGGAATTTCAATGGATCACTTACCAGAAAAATCCGGATTGATTGTGCATCCGGTCAGACATAATATTATTTTTACTAAACGACACTAATATTAAGTCGACAAAAAGTCAAAAACACAATAATCCACAACATATCGAAAACTATTTGAAAAATCAGTTAAATACTTATACCTAATTCACATTAAAAATAATGAATATTTTAGATTCTGAGTGTAACGAAGAATGTATTGGTTTTACAATTTCTACCAGAAATCTTGCTCCGAAGAATCAGTTTTAGCATCTTTTCTGAAAGAAAATCTGACTGGGGTGGTACTTCAGGGAAGTAACTTTTTGATTTTTCAAGGAGTATTTTCAATTAATGGGAAAAAACGGAAAAATGTACGCTGGTGGACCACTGTTGTAGGTGAGAATTCGGGAAAGTATAGAAAGGAAATTTAATGAATATTTGTACACAACGATTAACCATTGCTAACAAAAAAATGATTTTGAGCGAAGTTCGGTTAATAGTGTTGTTTTGTCAATAATATAAATGTCACATTATGGTAAAATAATTATTAATTATATATGCGTTATGATATTTGTTTAATATTGTATTTATTTTCTTGATTTTTCCATTTATTGTGGAAACTCCTGGGAAAATCAAAAAATAACCGCCTCAAAGTAATATACATAAATACAATTTTCTTTCAAAAAAGGTGCTGCACTTAATACATCATAGTAAGATTTCTGGTAGAAAAGTTTACAACACAAATCGAGGAGTATTTTTTGATTAAAATAGCTCCATCGAGCGATCGCTTACACCCAAACGAGGTACACTCAAAATGCATTTGTTTCGGAACAAGGGATTGAACTCGCGATATCTATACGACAATAGGTAGACAATGGATAGGTAGCACTACTAAACTAAGATAGAGATAATACATATTTGAAAATATAGAGTTATAACATATAATATCATTAGGTACTAGTAATAATATAATAAATAATAATATCAGAACTTTAAAAAGCCAGAAATTCGAAACTAAGTCAGTCTGCTCAATTTTGACTTCACCATCGATCTTAAATTAGCAATATACATATAATTAAAACGAAATAAAATTTTTTAAAAATATGCGTAGACTAGTAACTAGATTTGTTCCACATAATTTTTTAGTCAAACGATTTTCATCAAAATTTGATTTTTGGAATTTTTACCACTAATTACGACTTTTAATGAACCTCCCGTTAAAATTTCAAACATTTTTGTTAAGTCTAACAATTTACCACAAAATACATACTGAATAAAAATTACGTACAAAACTCACAAAATTAAAATATCTATAAATAGCTCAAAAATAGCTTAAATTTGTTGAAAATTTTACCACGTTTAGAAAAGGCAAATACAAGTTCTGTGTTCAAATTTCAAGTCTATAAAAATGATACGTATATTCTCAACTTCCTACTTTCAACAGTGGCTGCACACACGTACGAAGTATGTCCGTCTCTTTTCTAACTAGATTGTGAGTGTAGCGAAGAATGTATTGATTTTACAAATTTTTTTTTTTTTTTATTTGAATACTTTCTGCCAGAAAGCTTACTCTGATGTAAACGATGTAAAAGGTATCTGAAAGAAAATGTTCTTATGGAAGTATATTAGAAAGATCATTTTTCAATTTTCCAAAGGGTTTTCCCGAAAAATTTGAAAAACCATGAAAAAATGGAAGAAAAACGAGAAAATAGGTACATTGTTGAACAAATATTTTTAAAGAATATGTATAATGTCTATGTAATTATTTTACCATAATATGATATATATATGGTAGACGAAGCAACTATACTACTAACTGAACTCTGTTCAGAATCGTTTTTTCGTAAGCAATGGTTTATTGTTGCTTACAGGTGAACATTAAATTAACTGTGACAGTAGCTGCTAATTTTTGCAAACTATGTTTTTTTCCATTAATATCATTCCAATATAAAAACGACAAGAATCTTAATTAATTATTGATTTTCCCTAGTTTTCATAATAATTGAGAAAAACCCGAAACAAATTAAAATGAAAACTAATAAATTTCCAGCATTATGATTTCATTATTTTAAATTTGTATGCTTTTTTTGTTTCTATACCAGAAATATTGCTTATCTCATTTTTATGGAGCCCTCTTTTTCATTAATTCCAAGTTAAACTTTGTACTACAAAATTCACACCTGGCATTAAAATTGTATTTAAACCGTTCCCATCAATGTTTAAACACGCATGTTAAACATAGTTAAATATTGATTGGATATTTTTTGAACCTCCTTATTTAATAATACTGTTGAATATTTAGAATTGCCATTTATTTCAAATATTTCTCTAAATGTATACATAGGTATATAAGGTATAAGAATATTATATGAACAAAATTGATTATTTAATAAGTGTTATAGTCATAATATTAGTCATTTTTATTACATTCGCCTTGTTAATATTTTTTTTTACTTAAAAATGACCAATAAAAACCATGTAGAACTCAAAATAGAAAAATATATAGAAAAAAATTTGCAAAGGAAGAAGAATTAAAAAAAAAAAATCAAAAATACATAAGTACCTACTTAACTTATTATTTTCATTTCTAAATAATACTAAATAAGTACATTTTGTGCAATTTAATGTAAACTCTTAGGTTAATAAATTGCCTTCTTAGATATTATACAATGTGTAATCATTAGTTGGAAACACTCTATAACTTTGCACAAATTAAATGTATTTTAATTCTGTCTTTTTGGGTGCCTAATAAACTTTGTTTTACACTTATTAAACTAATTAAACTATTTGCATGACATTTAATTTTGTGCATGGACATAACAACTTTTTTTTTAAATGGCAACTCCCAAATTTTTGAGTAATTATTTTTAATCTTATTATTTTTATGAATTTTAATGATCAAACTTCCTAATGTTAAAAAATTACCCAGTTATGGATATTTAAATGTTAAATATTATTTTTAATAAATATTTAATAGCTTACTAACATAAATTTATAAAAATTAAGAAAAATACAAATAAACTCATAGGTATACTACCAAATCTTTGGTTCTGAATAAAGCTAAGATTGTGTATAAACTTTTCTGGTAGAAAATCACATTTCAAAGTTTCATCCAGCATTGTTTAAGTCTATAAATAAGAAATTACCTCAACTTGGTACATTATAAATATTGTCAATTTTTGAAATTCACAATAGTTTTCCAAATTAGCAAAAAGCTACTAAAACTGAGACTTCAAACAGAAAACATTTTTAAATTTTTTTCACCTCATAAACATTCACAAATTTTCTTGGAAAATAAAGTCTACTAATAATAAAATTTTACTGTTAAAATATGAAAGTATAGAATATTTTAGCTCCTATAGGTATCATTGGCATCAATATTAAATTTGTATGTATTGAGACTTGACAACAATGCAATATCATTGTATATGAATGTTGTTAATATATTATGTGCAACTTTGTTATGTATTTATTTCTCAATTCTTATTATTATCAATGTACTTGAAATTGGGCAATTTGTCCATAAAATAAATAAATATCAAAACTATTTTTAACTTTATAAAGCTATATAGGTGTTCTAATAATTTTTCAAAATTAATAATTGTAACATTTTTTTTATTTACCTTAGGATCTTGTGCTACAAAATCTGGAATCATTGATTTATTGCATTTCAACCACTGTGGAACTCTATCAGGATCCTTACTAATTTTGATCATCTTTAATTCATTCTAAAATAATATACATTTTATTATGAACAAATTATCTGTGTGGTTTTAATTCAATGGTAAATTTTTATTATGATAGTAAATTAATTTTTTTTAAAATCATTTTTAATTGTGTTGTATAAACATTTAAATTAATACTTGTACAAAGCAATATTTTTAATAAAAGTTTAATACTGGTTGATAGGTATTTGATATCATTTGAAATTTGAATTTGCTCATGATAACATTGGCTACATTTACTTTTTCCCATTGTACATAGATAACTAATAGCATTTTAAATGTAAACAAAATCATATTTTACCTGTAATTTTTCTAATGTTTTATCATCATGCCCTCCATGTACTTTTGTTACAGTACACCATACCTTTTTAGCTTTATCATAACAGCCCATTAAGAATATTGACATCATGCCACCTATTTATAAACAATTTTTAAATATTGTGTATAAAACATAGTGTTTAACTGTACTAATGTCTTATATACTTATAATATAATTAGGTACCTTTATTTCCAGTTCCAAACCAAGCTCCAAGAACTACAAGATCGGCACTATCAGCGATGGTTCCATCAAACAGGTAATCTTTTTTGATTTTTTGCCAATGTCTCTTTCCTGGTTCATAAGTTCCCTAAAATTAAACAGATTCATTCAACCAATTATGTTTAAAATGTTAAATATGTAATTTAATGTAAGAAATAAATATTTGATTAATGTATATTTTGCTGCTATTTGAATTTGTGTTCTATATACACCTTGTCATACATATGCACACAGTTTATATTATTTTTAATAATAATAATGTAATATAATAAAATAATAAATAAATAAAATAAAAAAGACAACAGTTACTATTCAATGTAGATATTACTTTGCTATTGCTAGATAATAGTAATAATAGTTATCTTATCTGTAACAAATAAATTGTCAACCAAGTCACCAATGTAACCATAAATAAACTATTAGGTATTTCTACCAAAAATTCATAAAAACAAACAAAAGAGGTTGAATTTTTAAAAATTCTTTCATGGTAGATACCTACGTCATAATAGGTAGTATAATAGCTAGTCATAATAGCAAATGCCAAATTTCAGCCCAATCTATTCAGTGGTTTGGGCTATGATGATAAATCAGTAAGTCAGTAACTCAGTCAGTCAGTCAGGACATGTTATTATGCATAAATATATATAATTTTTAAAGCTAACAACATGTGATGTATTTATATCTGTTTACTAATACCTACATTTTGAAAACATTTTTTTTTGCATTTATTAAACAATAAATAATTAGACAATAAATTCTGGACACAAATAAGAGTTACAAAAACATCAAAAGTAATTATAAGTTGATTTTATCAATATATAAAACATTGAAAAACACAAAATAAAATTTAAAAAATTGTAACCATTTTTATTACAAAATAAACTATTTTAAAATGCTTTCTCTCATTACTTTTAAACAAATTTTGTCCAATTTTTATTTTTTGTTTATATTTATTATGTATAGCAAAGAACATATTTTAAAAATAAATATATCAAAAAATTGAATGGTTACTAAACTAAAATTGTTCCAAAATATAAAAAAAAAATTAATCTTCTTACCCTCAAGTCTTTTAAAACTAATCCTTCTAGACCTTGTCTTAATACAGTCTCCACCATTAATTTAAGTTCTTTAGTGTTCTGAAATAAGTCAAACTTTTAAATACAAGTTATTATTGAGTTTTTTTTAAAAATGTATCCTGACATGTAATTCTTTAACTTCTGAAAACATGATATGTCCTTTGATTTCAGTCATATTTTGCATAAGAATTTTCCGGCGTTCAACAATTGATCTGAAAAATATCATAAAAGAATTTAAATAAAAGATAATAGGATACATGGGGTTTATGAAGTTCATTTGGAAATTAACACCTGTTTGTGATTATAGGTCAGATGGAAATTGTAGAACCAAAACAAAACAAAAAGTGGTGTCTAGAAATGGAAACTACTGCAGTCACCGTTGTCACTGCAATAACAAACTTTCAAAATTAAAAACAGTGGCCTCTGCAAAACAGGAAACTATTTATTAATTTCTTGTCACATGGAACGTCCATTTATGCAGCATAATAATGCGAAACTCATTACAAAATATTTATAAAACAAAAACAACAGAAAAGAAATATGGATGGTAGGTGTTTTAAAAGTTCAATTCAATATTATGCTCAACTCTGACTAGTTCTGAATCATCCATCTTACTGAATTCTGCCTTGACACCAAGAAATCAATAAGAAAGATTCCCTTCTAATCTCAAAATGTGAATGTTATGATTTTATTGGCAGTAACCCTTGGTTTAAATTTTTAAAGTTTGTTATTGAGATGGGAGCATTGGCTGCAGTGGTTTATATTTCTAAATGCCACTGTTTGGACACTTTTGATGCTACTAACTTTATCACTATGATTCTCCTCTAATCTATAATCAAGAACAGGTATTACTTTCCAGATGACCCTTGTAATTTATATAATTTTTTTTTTTAACTATTAGGTGTATATTTTAGAATATCTTCCATCTGCCATCATACTAATTACCCACTATTATGAGTTTTAGAATCTAATATAAAATTATTTATGTAATTACAATAAATTATTATAAAATTGTTTGATGAAAAAATGTTTTCAATATTTTTTATTTAGGATCAGTTACACATATTTATTGAATCTACTATAGGTTATAATAAATAATCTACTGTACCTGTCTAGTAATGATACACCATTATAGTACATACAATCAAAAATGAACAGACAAGGATTGGCATCTTTAAATTTACTTTTCTGTGAAACAATAATCATATAATAATGTTAAAATTATAATTGACACTAATGATTTTAGAAAAAGGAAATACCTTATGAACTCCTAAAGTACCAAATGGTAATGGTTTATTACTTTTATGATCATACATGAGAACTTCACAATCTAAAATAATCTCCTTCCCGTGTTGAAAAGCTTTGGGAATAAACTCTTTGAATAAATCGACCTACAATTATAAAATATACACAAATATTAAGTACAAATAAATATATATAATTATGTGTGCAGTATATATCAATAATATTTACTTTATGACCCAAGACAGGTTTTAGACTTCTTGAAAAAAATTTAAATTCTTTTTCACATTTATGCAGTTGTACACGTTCACCATCATACTTAATTTCTGAATATATACCAGTTAAGCATTTCTTAAAAACTCCATCTAAATTTTTGCAAGGTTCAGCCTAAAACAATAGATTATAAAATAAATAAATATAAGAAATTACATATAGTGTGGAAACTTACCAACATTGGTAAAATTGGTGTTAATAAAGATAATTTAATGTTAATTTTGCTATTTGTATTACTAATTATTTTGGAAGAATCACAAGAACATGCTTTCTCTATAACAGACTTCAAATTATGTGAAGTTTGGTATGCTTCATAGGCATCAGGATGAATGGCACCCAAACTAAAAATAAAATTTATTTATAGGCATGTAATAAGTATTGCAAGATTGAGACTAATAAAATAGTTAACTCTATACTAATTTATATGTAGACACTAAACACATTTGTATAATGTATTAGGCAATAACAGGTTTTTCATTGTTTTACAATTTTAGGACCATGTAATACAAATTAAATATATGTACATAAAATATATACAAAATGATAATGGAACTCATCTATGAGAATTTTAAAATATTAAAAACCTATATTTCTTGTTACTCCACTAATCATATGGAACATAAATAATAAATATTTAGTTTATTATTTTATATAATATTGCTATTATCATTTAAATTAATATCAAGTAGTTTGAGTTTTTATTTGATGCGATTTGAATAGGTATATACGGTATATATATACGTACAGTTATTTAAAATTACAATAAAGATTTAAATATTTGATATACCTATAGATTAAAAGTTGTAATTAATTTGTAAAAGTAGTCCAATTGTTTGAAACCTAAAAAAACATCTAACTGCCCAGGAATTGTTAATTACGTCACAAGTATATAAATACAATTTTATTTTCAAAAAATAAACCCAGTTACTAATTAAAAAGTAATAATTGCACTTCACGGTTTTGTAAAACATATTATATACCTATAAAATATATAGATATACTATGACATTAAATGTATAAATTCAGAATATTAAAACCAATCATGTTTAATTAAAGCAAAAATGTAAACTTAACAATTAATTAAAATAATTAATTAACTGTAACAAATGAAAACCTTGAAAATAAATTGTTTGATTCTTAAAATAATTTAGATTCTAATATTTTAATTTGACCATAAACAATATCATAATATGGTTTTAATTATAATCAAGGTACCTCATGTAATACTCATGTATTATTACAGTATTAAAAGACAAAGATATGTATTAAATATTCAGAATGTTTTAATAAATTTAAAGCATTAGAAAAAATGTGTACCTATTAATTGTTCAGTAATTTTGTTTAAATTTTGTAAAATAATTCAAATAATTAATCCATGCCCATATTTTGAATAGATACATAACTAATTAAAATAATTCACTACATTAGTTTTTTGAAATTTAAAAGATTTTAGACTATTTGATAAATAGTCTATCAGTATACTATCTAAATAGTATTTATAAAACCTTTTAATGAAATTGCAATTTTTACAAATCACCACCCAATTATACTTGAATGATCCTTTTATAATAATATTACCCATACATTTTTAAATTGTATGCACTATTGGGCTTATAATGTTTCATTGGAGTTATCTTAAATGACTACTCACAAAAATCAAAAAGAAATCTCAAATCATTTGATAAAACTATTAATTTTTTTTGAATAACTAGTAACCTTAATTTTATACTTATTCATTTAATTATTAGCTTGATTTAATGATAATGGTTATTAACCTTTAAAGATCAAAAGAAGAAACAAAATTGAAGTTCAACACATCAAAGATATAAATACTTAGGTGGCTTCTATATATTATTAATTTAAAAATAACTTACATATATTTTGGTCCACAATTAATTCTGAGATCATGCCTTATTAACCTTATAATCATTTTTAAATCATTTTCAGTGCATCTAAAAATTAAATTAATTAGATTTAACCTAAAACTTTAAAGAAAAAAACCATTAATAAACTCACTGCATAGAAATGGATTTGAATAAATTAAGTTGTGCTGCTTCAGTAGTTTCATGTGATAATTTATCCAGATATCTATCGACTTGACTTAAGGTCAAAGTTGACTTTTTGGATGGTTTTGAATCTACATTATTACTTTTTTCGAAAAATATTTTTATTGTTTCAGCGATGTCACCTTTTTCTAGATCTTCCAGCATTAAATCAATATTTTGTTTAAATAACTAGATTAATTAGAAGAATTAATTATTTCAATTTTAGTGTTAAAAATGTAACAGTATTTACTTGGCTAAATAATTTAATAAGTTGTTTAGATTGTAGATTGTAAATTCTTTTTTCAGAATTAGGCAATAACATTTTACACCATAAAAACAAACATTGTGCCCGGGTTTCATTTGATGACTCTAAAAAAAACAACAAGTACATTGTTCAAACTAAAAAAATACATGTGTTAATCAATTTATGATGATAATAATAATGGAGTTAAATTCAATATTATTTAAGCATAAAAACAATTAAATATTAAGGCTCAAGTACCTATAATGTCAATTCTAATGTTTTATTCGAACAATAATTTAAATATGTACTATTTTTACATTTTTATTAAAACTACAAGAATTTTGTCAAATTATAAAATTAGTAAGGTTTTATTAATTAAAAATATTTATCCAATTTGAAATACTATAGAAATATATTTGAAAATGAAATAATAAGTAAACATAGGTACACAAAGAAGTGATTTATGTTATCTAATAATATGTAGGACTGTAGGTACATAACTAAGTATGTGAGAAATATTTAGATTTAAATAGTTATTTATTACTCATATGAATAAGTTAAAATAGTTAATTATAATGAATTTATAATTATAATTTGAAGTACATTTTTATTTTGAAATTAATATGGTGAATACCTTTAGATGATATTTTATCAAAAAATTCTTTAATAATTTCCATTTTTTTAAGGTGGCCATTTTCCAATGAGATGTTCATACATAGTTTCCAAAATGTTTTAAATTTGTATTCTTGCATTTGTGGCAAACGTTCTATTTGCTTCTTTTGGCTACTCTTTTCTTCTAATTTTGACTTTCTTTTATTGAGTTTATCTGTCTTTTTTATCACATCATTGTTATGGGTTTTCAGTTTTTCATTTGGAACTAAAATAATATAATTATTAACTATATTATATTGCATTGCATTAGCAGAAGTAAAAATATAGGTAACACAATATATTACTTTCGGGAAATGTTGTAAATATTTCTTTTTGGTGTTCCATAGATAAATCATCCCAACCTCCAATATCGTTAACACAGGTTATTTTGGCTGTAGATGCTCTCTGTTTTGCAAATACATTTACTAAACACTGTGGGTGATGCCAAGCCATCATTTTCCCATCACCAAATGGGTTTGGTACAACTTTTGCGATTCTCAACATTCCTTGATTTAAAACTTCTTTACACTTTTTACATTTTGCACGATTGTTCTTAGAACTCTCTGCCACAAATTTTTTCTCATCAGATGGTTCTTCATCCATATTATGAATCTGTAAAAAAAATATGAATAATCAATATGTAAGAAAATAAATTGATAAATATTACCTATACTAATTATTATTCTTTTACCCTGCAGTTTTTTTTTTCAAAATACAGTACATATTTAATTATAATATTATATGAAACTACATTTATTTAACCTGCTTTGCCCAGGAAATAAATGCCTATCTTTGTGTTAGGTTAGGTTGCTATAAACAAATATAAAAATATTTCCATTTTAACCCAAGCTTAGGATAAATAGCAAGTTTCTCTTACTAGCATGGCTAAAAACATTTTAGGTTTTTATTTAGCTGCCCAGTGATGGTCTAATGGTCGTTGCAACTTAACCTGTTAATTTCCAGTTTTAATCCTGTAAATATTACTGAAGTTAACCATTATTTCCCTTAAGACCTTCAATGTGAAAATACCTTTTCTTTAATTTTCATTTTCAAACGTTAATTAGTTATATGGTTATAAACTATTATTATGTATCTGGCCCTGGCCGAGGATTAATAGTTTAAAACCTTCTCTAGACAATGCGGATCATTTTGTGAAAAACCACGTAAAAATCAGTCTATTAGTTTCAGAAAACATGCATGGCCAAAATTTACATTTCACATTTATATATATATATAGAATATAAATAGATAGATATAAATATAATATATATATATATATAGATGAAAATAAATTATGTTTATAAAACTAATAATTTAGGTTTTTGGTTTAATGCAGTAACTAATATTTTTAACATGATTTTTAACTAAAATTGTTTACAAAAACTTAAATATTTTTTAAATAGAATTTAATACTTATTTATTTATTTAATTTAGATATGACAGAGAAAAGGAGTTTAGAAAGGCATAATTCCAGGAGGATGGGGAAATAATCATGGGGAAAGTATGGAATATTGAATTAGAAGGCGACTAAGTGAGAAGCTTAGATTAGACACACTCAATCATCATATTCCAAAAATCTCAAACATTTTGACTCAATCAAAAAAATTGACTCAAAAATCAATAAAAATTTTAATTTATTTTAGATTCTGAGTAGAGTGAAGAAACGTATAATATTACAAAGATGTTTTTTTTTTTAATTTTTTTTTCTGTGCGCAACTTTTCTACCAATAGACTTACTCGCATTTCTATATGCAGTACTTTTTCTGAAAGTAAATCGGCTTGGGGAGGTACTTTATAAAGGTCATTTTTCGATTTTATCAAGTTCTCTTATCAAATTTTAAAAAACGAAAAAAAAATCTAATACTGAAGATGAGAGCGACCACTGTTGTAGATGAGAAGTTGGGAAAGTAGAATACATAAGGTTATTTCATTTATATCTGTGAGCAACGATAAACCATTGTTTGACAAAAGACGATTCCGAGCGCAGTTCAGTAATACATGATTTGAAGTGCCGTAATTTTTTTTTTGCGATTTTCGTTTAAATTTGATTTCAAAACACTTATTAAAAAAATAAAAAAAAAAAAATTGTTTGATGATTTTTTAAATTTCACCACGTCTAGATAAGTCCAATATAAGTATTACTATAAAGTTTCAAGTCTCTACGTGTATTTATAATCGAATAACAGTAAAAAAACTCCCAAAAAATCGTTTTGACGATGATACCATAAGAAAGTAAATCAAAAAGGCAACAAAAAAGGTGAATGTAAGTTTCATTTAAGTTCGATTCATAAAAAATTCATAAATAGATAGAGTATTAGTTAAAATCAATTAAAGTGTTGACATTTTTTATTTCTGTTATTCCTTTGACGAGATATTCCACTTTTAAACATGAGTTGGAGGAGAGTAGTGGTGCATTAATACCCATACACAAATAACACTCTATTACTCTCCTCCAACTCATGTTTAAAAGTGGAATATCTCGTCAAAGGAATAACAGAAATAAAAAATGTCAACACTTTAATTGATTTTAACTAATACTCTATCTATTTATGAATTTTTTAATATAGGTTGCCATTTGAAAATCAAAAATGGGTAGTTGTTTTATCCCCCCCCCCCAAATATGAGTTACAAAAAATAATATAAATTTAAAATTGTAAAGCAGCCTGTTTCTTAAATTTTCTAGAAAATAAATTCCGAAAAAAGTTAATACTTTCAGAGATAATGAGTGTACCCACTTAAAAGAATCACCCGGTATTACTAAAATGTTACGATTTTTTTTCCTTTACACAACTTTTCTACCAGCAATTTTGCTCCAACTTTTAACTATAGCAATGTTTCTAAAAGAAAATTTCACTAGTGAGGTACTTTAAAGAGATAATTTTCAAATTTTTTTTATTATAATTATATTATTCTAAAATGTATAACAAATAAGGTTGCATACAGGTAATTTAATTACCTTAATTACCCTTAATTTGATAGGTACCTAATATTGTTTATAGCAGCAATATTATAACCTCTTTGCTCGATCTCTGCGCTAGATAGTTTGTTGTTATAATTGTATTATATTCATATACGTAAATTCAAAAAAATAATATATGTTATAGTACATCGTTGCATTCGTTACACAAGCTTTTGAGTAAAGATCATTTTGCTGAACAATAATTGTTACAAAATTGAATCCATTATGGGTGTACCATTGTTGTAGAATTTGATATTAAAACTCTTATAAAAAAAAAAAAAAAATACATTACACTTGACTTTTTTTTACCATTGAGTAAAACTTATAATGAATCTCCTGTTAAATGTTCAAGCATTTCCGTTTTTTCAAAGAATTTTATTCACTGAACATCTACCAAATAAAATTTCCTTAAAAAACTCGCAAAATTAAAATGTTTATAATTATAGCTCAAAAATAGTTCAAATGTTTTAAAAACTTTACTACGTCTAGAAACTGTAAGTAAATGTTTTCTGTCAACTACAAAGAAAATTAAAAAGAGAATAACTTACTCATGAATTTGATTAAAAATGCAACAAAAAAGGTCTCTTGTCGTTCATCTATTATAACAATATTAATGGTAATATAAGTAGTAAAAATTAAAAAAATAATGAAATCGTTGTGCCGTAATTTGGAAAAAAATCGTATATGAAAAATACTTTAGATATAAAAAAAAATCTTGCTCTGTCAGTAGATAAATATTAATAAGAAAATCGATCTCTTGTCATTTTTCGATTGAAGTCATATTTCTAGTCGAAAACTAGAAATAAAACATTATAAGTCACTACGAATATTTCAAACTGAATAATATTAAAAGAAACAAAATTTAAAATAATAAAGGAATTATTTTCGTAAATTTTCCCATTTTTTATTTTTCGGTTTAGCTTAATTATTAAAAATGCGACAAAATAAATCTCTTGATGTTTTTCTATTGGAGCAGTATTTATAATAGAAAACATCATTTTTAAATTGAAATAATATTTCTGGTAGAAAACATAAGTTAGGCATAATAAAAACAATAAAAACTGTAATACCATGGCACGCCGTAAATATTTGCCGATTTACCTATAATTTTCTATAGTTTTTCGCGATTCTTTCAAAAATTCCTTGAAAAATTAAAAAATGACCTCCTCAATGCACCAACGAGAGTATATTACCTTACATTAAAAATATTACAGTCTATACTTCAGAGCAAGTTTTCTGGTAGAAAATGTATTCAAATACCATTTTTGTGCACCATTAAGTACAACTTACAATGAACCTCCTGTTAAATTTCTAGCATTTCTGTTTGGTCTAATAATTCTATCCACGGAGTACTACTGGAGATAAGCACGGGCTGTTTTTTTTCAAGATCTTGGTTTGACCTGACTCATCATTTTGTAATTTAATTTTGTTTTGTTAAAGTCTAGTCTGACTACTGTAATTTAAAGCCTTGGCTAAATTCAATGAAAAAAATAAAATTATTAAATGAAAAACATAATCATACAATAAAAAATACACTGCAATCACCATTCATATTAAAATAATATTATCTGTTTTTATCAGTGATCTGTTTATAAATATCATAAGGCTATTTATTTATTTTTTATAGTAATATATATATATTGTATTATTATGATTTGTGAAATGCCTACACTACCAGTTTGGGAACATCTGCTTAACTAACGCCTATTAATATTGTTCTTATATATTATAATACAAATAAAGTTATTAAGGACCGACCTGGCCCCGGCCCATTGAAAAATATTACGAACCCACTCATACCCAACCCGCAATAGTCATATTATAGAACGGTCCGGTCCAACCCCGGTATGGGTCGGGTTGGCCCAGCCCTTGCTGATCTTTAATACCTACCGAACAAAAATTACGTAGAAAAACAGCATAAAATTAAAATTTTTATAAATAGCTCAAAAATGGCTATAATTTTGAAAATTTGACCACGTCTAAAAAAGCCAAATAAGAGTTTTCTGTCCAAACTTCAAGTTTCTACGAATATTTTTTAGTTAATCAAAACAGAACAAAAAATTGAAAACATTTTATATACATTTTTCCGGTTTCCCTTCGTTTTTCCTCCAATTTATTATTAAAACGGGTGGGAAAATCAAAAAACGACCTTCCTAAAGTACTACCACGGTCAAATTAATTTTCGGGAGAAGTGCTGTACTCGAAAATCTAAGTAAAATTGCCGGCAGAAAAGCAAAATTAAACCTTATTGTAAAACCAATACGTTCCTCGCTCCGCTCAGAATCTAAAAGTATATAATATACCTTTGTTTAAGACGAGCCACGATCACGGACCTATATCTATATCGTGGGCCATATTGTCATGCGTTTACCTACAGTTCGGGGGATGGAAGAGGGGACAATATAAATTATCGGGGATACGTGTGGGCGGGTTAATTTTAGTACGGCGCGTTTGAACATCGCCCTCGCGTAATAATAATAATAATAATACTAAAATGAATAATAAAATATACGGAGCGTACGGCGGTGCGCAAATGTCGCGCAGCAGTGTGTTGTGGTTTTAATCGCGGACTGCAGTAGATCCGGGGGATTACGGGATGCGATAATATTTTGCGACCGCGGAGCAACAGGTACGTAGGTATATAGCTACCTACGACTACTCGTAAACACGATGAGTGTCGGGAAATGTCCGCTGGGAAAACTAAAGCGCCGCTTCGCCGAACCCTGTGCCTTTGCGGCGGCGGCGCTGCACTACGGCCGCGCGTACACCGCCGTGCGCCCCGTGTATAAAACCACTGGTGGCGGCTCGTAACGCGAACATTTCGACTTTGGCCGGTCCCACGCGAATTTCGAGTTTCGGAAAAAAACGGATGAAACGCGCGGTTATCGTACTTGTCGTATTTCATCGTCCGGTTTTACGAGCGGTTTTTTAATTTGGAAATCAACACCACCATTCGCTACGTCGCCACTACTCTATCTATCTGCATCATCGTCGCCAACGACCGTTCTTTCCGAAAAAAAATCTTCCTTCTCCCATCCCTCCCACCTCTCGAAAAATAAAACGAAATAAGGTAAACCTACAAACGATAATTACATTATTGTTATACATATAATATATATTTTATTTTCTTATTTTTTTGACAACGAGTATATATTTATATAACATAAAAAAATGTGTTTTTTCAGCTCTCGCACTCTCTCCTACCCCTTTCTCGACTGGAATAAAAGAGGGGCTAGCGAGAACTGTAGCCCCAGGCAACAAGTCGAAGAAGTCCACAATCCGTTTTATCTCATTTTTTTCTTTTTCAATCTGTTTTAGATTCCGAGTGTTGCTATTATTAGTTTTACAAAGATTTATTTTTTTTTCTCGAAAAACATTTTTTCAGTTACTAAATATTCTCAGATTTGTTCATGTTTTACATAAAACGATTCGGATTTTTTGACTGCCGCCTGCCGGTACTTTATTTGAACATATTTTCGAATCTTTTTCTTGTGTTTTTTTTAAAAATACTTTTTGGTTAGGCAAATGTTGTAACTTTTTAACACAGTATCTCCAAGGATACAAAATTTCTGATGCTACTTTATTTAAACATTTTTTTTTTATATATATTTTCAGTAATACATGGCCTAGGTCTGAGCAAAGCGAAGATTGTATTGGTTTTACAATGATGTTTATCTGTGAACAACTTTGCTCCGATTTACAATGATTGCACATTTTCTGAAAGAAAATCTGACTTGGATGGTACTTTAGAGAGATCATTTTTTTTTATTTTTCAAAGAGTTTTCCTAAAAATGGGTAAAAACGGGAAAATGTACGAAATGTAATAGTAAAATATTACAGATATTTTTTCCTTTTGAACAGCTTTTCTACCTGCAATTTTGCTTTGATTAATAATGATAAACAAATAAATAATCTTTACAGTGTATCATCCAAATATTACTAAAGTAAAAAATGAATAAATTTAACTTTTTGATCAATGTGACAATGTCGCACAAAAAAAATTATTTCGAAAAACATACAGTTACAAAATTATGGAGTAACCTAACTAAAAGAGAATAGATACCTATGAAAACCTAGCATGTACATATCTGGAATATAAAAAACGTATAACGTATGGAACGTTATAACAATCTCGTATGTACACATTTGGAAACATATACATCTGGAATCCAGATGTGTACTTTCAATGTAGATGGTACAAATCTGGAAATGATAACATTTTCAATTTAATTATAGTTATCAAAAGATACGCGCAGTTAATAATTATAAATTCAAGCATTTTACTATCTAGATTCGTTTATGGTTCTGATTTTGATATCCGTAAAAACCTAGACTCTCAGATTTGGACGTTCTAGGTTTTTAAATGCTCATGAGAGCATCTATAAGAGTAATCAATAGTTATGCATGTGAAAATTCGTCAAAATTACAATTTTAAAAAATAATTGTTCCTTACTGAAAAGTTTATATTATTCGAACGGCGTTTGTAAAATATTTGTTATATTAAGAACTATACCTACCTATATTTTATAGTCAGAAGTTTGAGTATTGTGACGAAAACGTATTAATTTCACGGCAGCGGTGTAATATTATTATAATTGTGTGTAACGCTTTTTATATATATATAAGGTATTAAGACATAAGACTTTTTAACACCATTGAGATTAATTGGACCGTATTTCAGTTATAAATACGTATTTTACGAGCATCGCAATTTATAGTAATTTTCCGGCGATACATAGCAGCCTGTATTGAAGTAATCCTCAAAAAATAAAAAAAGTTTACGTGTACATTATAATTAATATTTATTCTTTTTCATTTTCAATTTGTTGTACTACAAAAAAACAATCGAAATCTATTCGATAAATATCCACAAAAATAAAAAACGGTTTTAGTAGAATAATATTATGTATTTATTTCGTAATATTATTTCTATCATGTTATATGTGAAAAAAAATTAAACTTTGAAACTTAAAATATAAATAAATATGTACCCTAGTGCATTATGGAAATATACTACGGTCCCGTAACTAAATTCATTAATCAAATGTGTTTCTTTAACTTTGTTAACAAAAATTAACCACAGTTTCAACATAATAGTATAGGTACTACATTATAAAATATAGTTACAGCACCTACATATGTGATCAAAGATGTAATTTAAGTTTAATTTGAGAAAAAGTTTGAATATTATTTTCACTTTTATGAGACAGGGGCAGTTTTCTTTCAAAAAGAAACTCATATTTAATTCAAAATATTAAATAATAATAAGCAGTTTTTAATCTGTAAATGATAGGGGTATGCTGATATACATATAAACCGATATCCGATATTAGTATTATCGATTTTGAAAAAAAAATCCTATAATTGACTAAATATTTTCGGAAACAATGTCAATAATGTTTCTGGAATATCAGGAAAAATTTTAAAATCTAGTTTTCAATCAATTAACCAATATCAGTAACATACATCAGATATAGGTAAAAAGTGGTATCGGGCCATCCTTACGACTTTTATTATTAAGTACCTTTAGGCATACTTAAATATACAATGAACACTTTTTATTATCTGTAAACCTAATCGTACATGCACATAATAATTTATTAGCTTAATGCTATATTTTAAACAGGTTATAGGGGAAACATTTAAATATTAATTTTTGTATGTATATTTAATTAATTTAAATACTATAATACGTTTTGAAAATTAAGTCTTAAATTACTCCAGAGTTAAACCAGTGACTTATATACTGTCTTGTAGAATTATCCGATTTCGATCATTTGTTTTTCTGCGAGATAAAGCTTTCTTATAAAGCACATTCGACTCGGATTTTGAAAATTATTTCTCCAAACAAATAGAGTTTAAATATGACAAATTTGTTATTTTTATTATAATTATTATTTTTCTTAGAAGTTTGAATCAAAAATTAAAGTCCAGTGTTCAGGAGTTAGAAAAAATCATGTAAACATTTTTTTGTTAAAAATTGCACAACAAATCGAGAGGTAAATTGCATGATTAAAATAATCCGAGCGAACGATGGCTTAGGTCTCTAGGTATACCCAAAATGCATTTCTTTTTCCTTATTTAGGTAAAAGAGAAAAAAAAATGCAAAACATTTTTTTTTTGAAATACGAATTTGAACTCGCGAACTCTAGGATGAAAATAAGTATTTCGCTATGACAAACATACTTTTCTAGAAGACAATATATTTAGTTATTTAACATAAGTAATAATATCCGCATAATATCAGAACTTTAAAAAGCTATAATTTCGAAACTTAGTCAGTCCGCTCAATTCTGACTTCACCATTGTTCTTAAATCAGCAATATATATATATATCAAAAAAAAATTTAAAAATTACATTTGTACCACATAATTTTTTATTCAACGAATTTTGTCAAAATTTAATATTAAAATTCCTATATAAAATATAATACAACATTAAACTCGATTTTTTTTTTTACCACAAAGAAAGATTCCTAATCTGAACCTTCTGTTAAATTTTCAAGCATTTCTATTAAGTCTAACAAATTTACTACAGAGTACCTACCTAGTTTTTCGTAAGTAATATTTATTAATAGTATAGCATTCAGATATAAATTAAATTACCCTATATACATACTATAATTTCTCAACTGCCCCCAACTACTTTTTGGTCTATAAACAGTATACAGAGTGTCCCCCGAAGATCATTGTAGTATCTCAAGAAATAATAAAGATAATAAAATTCAATATTTTTTTTTTGTACAACCTAGTCACAAGGATAAGGACTACAAATATTTATATTTGAATTAAATTTTTATTTTTTGACAACAAAATGTAAAAAATAACTTTTTTTTTCGAAGAATTTTAGGATTTTAAAAAAGTTATTTTATTGAGTATTCTTCTAAATATGTTGAGGTTTTATAGGTAAGGAGTTCGGAAGGTAGAATATAAAGAGGAATTTAGTGTATATCTGTATGCAACGATTAATCTTTGCTAACAAAAAACGAATCTGAGCGGAGTTCGGTAATACATGTTAAATACATACGATTTCAAAATAATAATAATACATTTCGTAATTGTTCCCGTTTTTCCTAAGTTTTTTGTTAGTTTTCCCATTTATTATGAAAATCCCTCAGGAAAATAAAACAACTTCCTTCAAGTACAATCCCAGTCAGGTTTCCTTTTAGAAAAAGCGCTACACTTTAAAATCTGAGTAAAATTTCTGGTAGAAAAGTTATTAATAAATAAAACAAATAAACATAATTTTAAAACCAATACATAAAAATTTAAATTTAAAAATGTACAGTCAATATTAATCATAATAATAATAATTATATCATACTAATTATTATTCCGATTACCTATAATTATACAGCAGAATGTAATCACATTTGCTAATTGACCATTATTATAATAGGTAATTGATTGTACTTACACTTTTTTTTCTGAAATTTAAAAAATTATTAAAAACCACGAATTCAATGAAAATAAAAAAATGAAATGTCAAAATTTTCAAAAAAATATACTTTATAAAATGGCAATCTTCAATTTTTTCGAAAATAATATAATAAAGTCACTTTTTAATTTTTTTACCAAAACATAAAAATTTAATTAAAAAATAAATATTTGTTGTCCTTATCTTTGTAATATATTTATACAGGCTGTCCCCTGAAAATATACCCCTTAAAATAAAATAAAGTTATTTTAAATTGTTTTACTAAAACAAAATTGTATTCAAATATAAATGTTTGTAGTCTTCGTCCCTGTGAGTAATATAATAAATAAAACAGAATTTGATTATCTTTATTATCTTCGGAGATATTTAAGGGGTATATTTTCGTGAAACAGCCTGTATATATATACATAAATACTAGCTGTCCCACGCCCGGCGTTGCCAATGCCAATTTTTATAATTATTATTTTACCCTTATTAATTTTTGGTTTTGTTCATTGAATGAAAACAAATAAGTGGAAAAAGAGTAATCCACCTTCGACGTTCTATTGTGAAATTTTAATAGTGTAAATAATAGTAATAATTAAAATAGTTTTCTTTTCCGTGGCAACAAATGTAACCCTTGAATATACAAAAATAAATAAATAACCAATAAGATATTCATACCAAATATGCCTAAAATCCCTATATTGTAACCCTTAAGGGTTGAATTTTTCAAAAATCATTTCTTAGCGGAAGTTTACGTCATAATAGCTATCATAATAAAACTAATTTATTTTTTGCTTTAAAAAAATTTAAAAAAAAGTATTTCAATTCGTAAGGAAATTCTGAATTTTTTAGTTAATGAAATAAATTCAATATTATAATTATAACTATAAGAGGTATAAATGGGTAATAATAATAATAATAATAGTACATCAAGAAGAGTTTTTTTTTTTTTTTTTTAAACAACAAATTATACCCATGATTTTCCCACAAAATATTGAATATATAAGACATACATGTAGTACACCACTGAGTATACCGTATATACTGTATATACTTTATATCATATTGATACATGCTAATTTCAGTTTAAGAGATTTAATTATAGGATTCTTTTTTTCCTCCCGTTAAACCGTACTATTTGAGTCTAGCACATCGCATTCATAACCCTATAATTACATGGTATAATAGACATCAAATTATAGGACCTACATTATTATGAAAATATAGGCATTTATTGCATAATAAGGCTAAAATTCGTAAATATTATATTTAATACTATAAATATTAAATGGCAATATAAAATGGTGGTACGCGTACCACCGGGTGGTGACAACTGGTTCAAATCATAATATTTCTTTGGTCCCAGGGAAGAAAGGTTTAAGTCAATTTTTGACATAGTATTTTTATAATTTTGTTCAATGCAATTTGTTTCCCTTTATTTGTATTGCTTCTAAATAGGATACGCATATATACTAACACGTTATACTAAAAATTAAAATATTTGAAGTCTCTTTGATGTATTTTTGTTTGGAAAATAATCGAATAATTATATGACTTAAGCCATTTAGAACGCCGTATTTAGGTTAGACCATTTAACAACTATGCCATTAGCCATTATGTCATTTAGAAATTTTCTAAATGTAATTTTCTTGTATTGATAACCATTGAAAATTAATTTCTTCCCTGGGACCAAAGATATACTTACTTCTTTTATCTAATACCCAGTATTTTATGGAATAATTTATTTTTTTCTTTTAAAACGGCGTTATAATGCATGTATCCAGCCAGTTGAATAATATCAAAAGTTGTATGCAGGGTTTTATTTTTAAATTATTTAAATGATAAATTATAATAAAATAGCTACTTTTAAAAATATTACCTATATTTTAACATCAAAAACCATTTTTGACTATAATAAACAAAACAAAGAGCAAAATAAATGTATTCTGTATGTCATTTATGGTTATAGTTTAGCAACAAAATATTAAGGCCAAATACGATTTTAATAGGTTTTGTAATAGTTATAAGATCTATTTTTCACGAGAAGGTAATATACAACTACCAACATCATAATCTACCTACATATAAATTAATATTTTTCTTATACATCTGAAAATATGCATTACATAATTATCAGGGTCAGAAAGTTTTACACCTATATGATTTATGTATTAACCTAAATTGCATTATGCATTATATTATTATAATAACAAATAATGTTTAATTTTAACTTCAGCATTACTAACTTTAAAAAGAAGTATAGGTACCTAGACATATTTCATCATGCTGCGTAAGCCACTGTTTTATGTAGATTACAAAGGCCTAAGACCAATACATTATTATGATATTGTATATTATTATTATTAATTTCAAATTTCAAAAGTAGGTAAATGCCATAATGCGATAAATCGTGGCTTAAAACGATCTTTTTTTCAGTTTCCAATGCATACAAGGAACAAAGAATATTCCAAACATATATTATCCAGGTTGCCTTCTAATATAAGCTAGTTATAGTCTATAAAAATGATTAGATTGTTTTTATTACAAAATCGTATAAGTTCCAATTTCTAAGTATGTATAATGACTTATGAAGTGTAAAAGTTTTATCATTCAAATTTAAACAAAATTGAAGAGAATTTGGAAAACTTTCGGAAATTCATCAAACATAACCTTTAAAAGGCACGGTTTCGGGAACTAAACATAAAACACTCAAAATAAAATTGAGATCACAGTATCCTTTGGCATTTTTTGCCACATTTAATTTTGTTTCTAGATACAAAATTAATTAATTTGAGTATTTTTCGTCTAAACAAAAAAATGTTCGGATGATTTCATATAAAAATACGACAGATTTTTAAAAACGCATTACCGATATGTGCGTATAAGAATGAAATAGAGATAATAATTATTATTTTATATTGCTATAGTATATTGTATTGCTACTCTTTAGAAGAACGTGCTACTTTCCATATTTAAGAGGTTGTGTGTAAAAATTTTGTTGACATTTTTGGAAAAATAAAAATTCCAACTAGAAAATATACAAAAAATCTTTTCGCAAGGTCTAAAACTACTTGGGTTACTTCAGACTTGATTAAGAAGCCAAATTTTCACTAAAAACAAACTGAATTTGTCACTCGTTAACGTTAGTTTCAGCATTTCGATCACTATAATACACAGGAAAATTTATTTAAGTTTGAAAAACGTAAAATTATCAAACTTTTATACAATAATAAATAAGAATAACTTTTTATGTAAATGAAATCTCAAAAAATTTTAAAAAAATGTTGCACAGTGCATGTTCTACTTTTTCGACGGTAAAAATGTAATTTCCTAATGAAGTCTATATAGCCCGAGAAGAGGTGCCCAAGTTATAAAAATGCCATGGGGCGCACTATTTTATAAACATATAAACAGTTTTACCTAATGTTTCCATATATTTTATATTTTTATTTTCTTTTAATTGTTCGTTAAAAAGCTGCTAAAAAAAAAAAAAATAGTAGAAAATATATAAACAAAAAATTTATAAATAGAAATAAAAATTAATTAATTAATGAAATTATTTGTATTAAATTCACTTCACGCACTTCATTTGATACAATTATAAACATATATAGTAATTTTATAACAGAAATTTGTTCTTCATTTCTTTTCTTAAAATTTTTATTTGCCTTATCTATATACAATTTATTACAGTTACATTTAAGTTTTTAGATATTGAATTTATTACTATATATCTATAAGTTTATTTTTTAAAAATTTTACTGTTTCGTGTTTAGAAATTAATCTATATACATTTTTGACGTCAAGGAAAATCATTTTGTAACCTGGCTCAATATGAATTTTAATATTTTTTTCAATAAAATCATAAGTGTTTTTTATAAACTACCAGAATTCATGTTTAATTTTTCTTTTATGAAGGAGTCTAAATATTTAGCAAGGTTTTAAGCTGGAGCAGTTTTAAAGTTAATTATTGAACGAATCGGATTATCTTGTTTATGTAATTCTATGAATGGATGTAAGTGTGACGCCTATATTTTATAAACAGATTTTAATAATATTTTCTTTTGGACTTATGTATGATTTCTTTCGCATTTGTTATCAGTTTATGAATTTCATTAGTGCAAATGATAACAATAGCATTAGATTTATCTACTGTAACTATTTCTGAATTATTTGTTTTTAATTTACTCACTATGTTATTAATAATTGTATTTTGTCGTTTAACTATAATATTTTGTTTTAATATTTTATCAGGCTTATTTTTACTGGTGCTATTTATTAAGTAACATCTTGTTTGATTTTGAAATGATCATGATTATGATCATAATTTCAATTTCATGTTTAAATATTCAATCCTGGTTCATTAACTAAGTTGGAACATTAGCTTGGCCTGCTTACTAAAATATAGTTTTTTGTTTTTTGTATGTTATAATATTAACATCAAAAATCACAAGACAACAGTTAAACAATTTCAGACATCAGTTAACCAAGAACCCGGTTGATTACCAAAATCTACAATTTTTCTCTGTTATCAATATTAAAAAAAAAAGTTTTATCTTTCTCAATTGATTTTTTGTACATAAAATTAGTATTTTAAGATATACCTACATGACAAAAATTTATTTTTTTTTTTTTATATAATATAAGAACCGTGGGAAGGGGCTGAGCTCCGCCTTATCAAGCTCATGGGGTCTTAAGCCCCCTGTACAAAGCACCAGAGTATAGTTTTTTCTCACGCGAAACAGTTTTTACATTCAAATTTAATTGAAATTTAAACGAAGTTCAAAGTGTACACAATTTTATTTATTTAGGTCTCGTTTCAAACTGATTTTTTATTTTATTTATCGGTTTTATGGAATATCGCAGAATTTGGAAAATCGTATTTTATCCAGAACGAAACGGCCGGCGAAATAATATATAATACCTAATTGAATATTTGACGCAAGACGAAATAATGGAACCAATTTTTCCAAACGAATTGCAAAAGCGAGATTGACCATCAAATGTAATATATTTTTTTTCCTGCAGCACACTTTGTCTTCTAACATTTTCTGTGTATCTAATTTCGAGTAAGAATATACATCATGCCGATATACATTATATCTTAGTATACTAGTATACCATTTTCAAACTGATTGACTAGCGTAACATTGAATAAAAATAATAGGTACGATTTCACTTATCACATGACAAGAATAATACGCAAATTCTATAGGTACCCACTTGTACCTCAGCCCATAATATATTCTCAAAATCGATTTTTATTTCGTTCGAATTAGTTGTTTATTATAATATATTATACGTATTCACTTGCATCTTACTTTATCCAATCAATTGAATTGCGTTTCGAAATAAAAAACATAAATAAAAAAACTACGAGAGACAAGATACGAATATAAATGGATGTTTAATAATAGCTAGTACCTAATTCGATTTTAAAGATATAGTAAAAAAAAAAATCATCGAGGACAAAATAGTTGTTACACAAAAATTGTATACAAAATTTAAACGGGCCCAAATGAATTATTGTGTACTCAAAAGGAGTTAGAAACGATTTTCCAAATTTCTAATCATTGTATAAAATTTTAAAATTATTTTTTACCTTTTATCTAAATAATGTAAATTTTCCGCTGTTCTACTGCCTATTTTGAAAGGAAAGGGGCCACTTTTACTAACGAATATTACTTTTTTGTTTTTTACACTAATCTGGGATGGGAAATTTGAAAATTGTCAGAGTTCAATTTTAAAAATATATGTATACATTTTTCGATAAACTATCCAAGTTATTTAAAGTCGACTTTTCGATTTAAAAATGGCATGTCAAAAAAAAAAAAGCAAATAAAATTCGGTAAATATCTCATGGAATTTTCAAAAATATCTTCATTTCGGAAGTCTTCAAAACTAAAAATTGAAAACCAACATCCACAATAACCTAGAAAATATGTCAAAAAATACATACATACTTTAATAACTAAAACCCAAAATTGGGAAAGATTCATTATGTCTCATTTCCCACCGCTTATTGGCTTAAACAGTGTACAAAATAAGACGTATTTCAGCCCGCTTAACCAAAAATTTTAAATCGATTATTTTACTATTCTGACAGCAGTGTTAAAAATAATGGATAATTAGTTGAACATTTAACATTTTAGGTAACAAGGAATAATCGAATCCGATGGAATTTTTTTCACGTATACTTTTTTTAGTTTTGTTAATTTTAATTTATTGATAATAATAATAATATAATTTTATAATAATTATATACTCTCAGTGCCACTATTATTACATTGTAATAATTTTTTTTGTTTTTAGATTTTTAATAGGTATCTTATAATTAATTTAATTAATAAACGTCAAACGCCGTAATAAGAGTCATGAGTAAAAATCACACTGTTTGAATTAAACAGTCCGCCTTTTATTATTATTAGGTTTATAAAAAAAAAAACCATTTTATTTTTTTCGTTGCAAATTAATATTTTTATATAATATATAATAATCAAGAAAGATTTTAAAAATACATTTTTAATTACCTCCCAATTAGAATATTAGTAGTACACTCGTTAAAATTCAGTATAAATTAACTTTCTTTATATTTTATTATACCAATAAAGATAGTGGAAATATAATAAAGACGTTTTTAAATTGTGCTTAACGGCACCCAGAGAGGGAGAGAGAGGGAGTACCTTGAGTGTCCTCTTCTTGAAATCTCAGGTTTTCTTAAGTTATTTAGGTTACTTTATCTTTCTAAATTTTAGATTCTGAGCGGAGCGAGGAATATATTAGTTTTACAATGACGTTTATTTTTGTTTTTTTTTCTATGAATAACTTTTCTACCAGAAATTTTTCTCCGATTTTAAAGCGTAGTACTTTTTTTGATAGGAAATGAGGTAGTACTTTAAAGAAGTTATTTTCCAAGCCAGGTTTGGAAATAATTGGGAAAACAGGAACATTTACGAAATGTGTTATTTTCAATTTATAAATATTACAGCCTTTCAAAACATGTACAACCGAACTTCACTTAGAATCATTTTCCATTAGCAACGATTAATCTATATGTATAGATATACATTCAATTTCCCCTCTACCTTCCCAACTTCTCACTTACAACAGTGGCCTACCCATTGTACGTAGTGTATCCGTTTCTATTTTTCTGTTGAGTTTAACAGGTTTCTAACGGATTTTGCACGTGTCTAGAAAGCTTCTCCATCCATCACGATTTCTTTATACATTTATCGTTAACCCTATCGTTCATTTGTCTTGTGTCTTCAACAACTCTATCCTCCCATCGTTAACAGGGCCTACCCCTTGGGCGCTTTTTGATTAGGTTCTTAATTAGTACATTTTAAATAAGGCTACCATCTACTCACCAAACATGAACAACTCAATTTTTTCTGTAGGTATTTTCCAATGTTTAGGTTGTTATACAGCCTTTTTAAATCTGTTTTTTCTTCGTTAGAATTCTTTATTTAACTTTTGTGCAGGTCCATATATTTTCTGTAGCACTTTTCTTTCCAATATTACCAGTTTACCCTTGTATGATGAATCAAGTCTCATATACGTACATAAGTGATATTTAACTTTATATTTCGCTTTCATAAACCGTAAGCAAATTTAATAGAAAAATGGCGTTTTAAAAATAAAAATTGTAAACGTTTTGTTAAACGATACAACAAAGAAATATTTAAAAGTGAAAGTAAATTCGATGTCAATGATCATGATTACGAATTAAATACTGAATTGATGATTATTATTGAAACGTCGAAAAATACTTAAATATATCAAAAAAATGCGATATGTACTAAAGTGGGTACAGAATAGGACTAAGTAATTGAATTAAGGCCACAATCGGGCATCTCCAGACTATGGCACGCCATTATAAAATGTTGATTAGGAAAATAAACTACAAGCATGTTAATTGTTATAATATAGTTAAAAAAGTAAATAAACTAACACAAATATAAATTCAAATAAGTTTTTTGAGAATGAACCTTTCGCTGAGCAAGTAACAACTTTAACTTTATATTAACGCGGTTATTTTTGTCATTTAAATTTTCGTTAAAAATATACATCGATTTGTAAATGGATAAAAGTTAAGTATTTTTTTTTTTTTTTTTAATATGCGTATAGCTATAAAGGAAGGTGCTGGTACAAAATTTAAAACGAAAATTTAATTTTAACAATTTCCGAAAAAAAAAAATAAACGGCAAATTAATAAATCATTGTTTTAATTATTCGGAGAGGACCGACGTAAGATAAAAAAAAAAACGCAAAGGATAAAAATATTATAATTAAATATTCACACCGACACGATTCAATCCGATATTATATAACGAAAATTAAATTATTTCATACATTATCGGTGGGTTAGAGTTACTAGAAGTTAAAATAATATACTAAACCCAATATACAGGACGGTAAGGGGTTTAACCTCTCTGAAATTTGTAAAGTAGATGTATATAAAAACTAGCTACAAGTTCATGTATTAAAAATATTTTAACCCCCCTCTCCTCCCCCCGAAAATAGATCTTGAATACGTGCTTGCAATATACTAGTATAATATGTAAAAACTGAAAAAGTATACAAAATATTCGTAAAATATTAGTCGAACAACGATTAAATAAAGATCAGAATTCAAATTGTGAATGATTTTGTCTTCTGTGCTTGGGAGCAATTTTTTAAAAATTACTATGGAAAATATATTTTTAAGTAGGTGCCTTCGGTATTCCTCAATAACTCGTCTAAAGAGTATAATATGTGGATGGAACTTTGCAAAAACATTTTAATAAGCCTGAAAAGTTTTTACAAAGATAAATAACGCATCATAGTAAAAACTAATAGTTTTTAGAGCAAACGAGTATTTTTAAATTATTGTTTTCGCCATCTACATAGATTAATATTTAATCGTCTTATCTGAAAAAGACGGTGAACGGAAAGGGGATGTGCCCGAATACTGAATGAATTTGTATATCCTTAAAAAATAATGTTTAGACACATTGAATTATTAACATTATTTAACGGTCATTTAATTCTGTCCAGCTTTCAAGTGAAAATCTTTATTTGTTTATGATTTAAAAAACAAATTTATAAACATTTTGAGTAATTTGACTATTAATATGTATTCATTTTAGTTTATATAATACAGTGGCCAATATAATAGGGATAAGGGGGTTATAACCCCGCTGAAATATCTCCGATAACTTCTTGAAAAAACTTCATTATTATCGTTAATTGCTATAAATGAAATTAAGTAATTACACGCAGTTTACTGAGCCATTAAAATAAAACAACACAGATATTATAAGAGTTTTTCAATCAACTGATTAAAATTTACAGAAAATTCAATTTTTTAAGTGAATATTTTTGAAAATATAATAGCCAATAGGTCAATGAGGTCCATCATAAGTATTATTTGGTACTAAAACATAATTTGAATGGCATAATTTAATAATTTTTTTTTTTTTTAAGGATTTTAAGTTTTTTAATTTTTTAACGAAAATCTTAAAAATTGCCATATTTCAAAACAGTTTACCCGAACTCTGCTCAGAACCTAAATTAAATAACATTGTATATCTAATCTTCCCACCTACAACAATGGGACATCTATCAATAGTATCAGCTATTTTTATTTTGAATTCATTATTATTACATTTACTGGTAATTTTTATATGAAATAATTTATAATTCATAGTCACTTTTCTTATTAATTATATTATTTCAGATTCGCTTACTTATGTCTATAATTTTTCCAAAACAGGTAATTTTTCAGTTTTAGCCTCATATTATAATAATTTCGTAATTAACCACATGCTCGTTTTTTAAATATTTATATTTTTAAAAATTCCAAAATTTTAATTTTCAGCAATTTTCAACTTTGCATATGGTTTGTAAAAAAATGTTTTTTGAGTTCTGAGTTATTTTTATTCTATCAATCTCAAATATATATATATGTATACATTATTTTTAAAATAAATTTTTGATAACTGTTTAACAATGTATCTCTAAAACCAGAACAACCAGATAATTCAACATTATTATAATGCATGAATAGCCTAGTAAAATGAAAATGTTATAATTTCATACTTTTACAATAAATTATAAAACTATGTCTATGATTATTATATTATTATCCTCCTAAATAATATTTTAACTATAAAACAAATGATATTAACTTAAACATTTTAATGATGAATAAAATTTATATTGTCTTTTTCATTTATCTTACGTATTACCTTAAGCTGTGATATCAAGTCATAACTATAAAAAATATTACATTACTAATGGGTATCTACTACGCAATAAAATTATTTTATTTCCTTGCTTCCCTGGGTTAAGGGTTCCCTGTAGTGCAATTTCAAACAGACTGTTAAGTATATAGGCAAACATAAACAGTGACAATTATTTGTTTGCAAATGACTGTTAGTTTATTAACAATAAATGTTGTTTATTAAACTAAATAATATTTAGGTATACAATATAAATTTTATTATTATTTGATTAATTAACAAACAAATTATAATGTTTAAATTAGGTAGGTACTTCACAATTTGCTGGGAAAACTCTTCAAAAAATCGAAAAATGTCCTATTTAAAGTACCTCCTCAAACCGATATACTTTCAGAAAAGGTATTACACATAAAAATCGGAGAAGTTCTCTAGTAAGGTTCTCCACAGAATAAAAAAACATCTTTGTATAACCATCTTTACTCAGAATCCAGAATACCTTTGTTTCAATTATTGTTTGTTAGTGTACTCTAATTTAGATTATGTAACTATTATCTGACTATCTTACAGTATTGGTCTAAAAACTACATTAGGAAATTATCAGAATATATTTTTACATTTTCTAGCTTTTATGTGTCATACCTAGTGATTCATTTAAGTAGATACACTCATTATCTCAGAAGTCTAAAAATAGATAGAGGAGTATTAGTTAAAATCAATTATATTGTTGAAATCTTTGATTTTTGTATATCCGTTGACGAAATATTCCACTTTTAATTTTGAGTTGGAGGAATGTAGTGGTGTATTAATAACATGTCGCACGTAGTACCCCCACACAAATGACACACCATTACTCTCCTCCAACTCAAAATTAAAAGTAGAATATCTCGCCAATGGATCGACGGAAATCAAAAATTGCAATACTATAATTGATTTTAATTAATACCTCATCTATTTATTGACATTTTAATATAGGTTGCCATTTTAAAATCAAAAGGAGGTAGTGGTTTTACCCCCAAAAATATGGTTGACCAAAAATAATCCCAACATAAAATTATAAAGCAGCTTGATTTTTAAATGTTCTAGAAAACAAATTCTGGAAAAAGTTAATACATTTTAAGATAATGAGTGTACCTATTTCAATGGATCACCTGGTATACCTAGAACTCCCCATTTGTCGTATGATCCTTAACTTACTAACCTTAATCTTAAATCCCTAGAACACCACAGAATCAAAATTGGTTAATTTCATTTATAGATTATTATATAGTTATATTTATTGTCCTTACTTCTTAAGCCATCTAACCTTCCAATCTTTCTTTATTCATACACAATCAATGAACCTATTTTATTAAAAAAATCTTTAATTATGATACTAACACACCACTGCTACAAAAATATTGGTAAAATTGATCCAAGATGTTCAATTTCATTTCTTTTGTTTAAAAACCATTTAACTACGGATCTAATTTACTATGTGCATTGATATATTTAAAACGCTACTAATTTTTGAAAATTATATTTCAAGAATGCTATGTATTTAATATAAAAACATTATGTTATTAGGTTAAACATGTTAAATATTTCAATATTTCAATATATCGAAACATCTAACAATAATTCAATAGGTATTCAGAATAAAGAATTGCACATTAATAAGTAATACTTGAGTAATTTTGTTTTTAATGTATCTTAATGTACTGTATAACAGGTGGATAATATGTCGACCTTTTGGTGGAAATTAATATTGCTCCAGTTATTGGTAACAGCTATAGCACATCCGACTGAATGGGAATTTGATAAAAAACCAAAATTGGCAAATGAAAGATTAATAATTTCTCTTTTAAACAAGGTTTTGGAGGTAATATAGCAAAATTATTATTAATTTATTATCTATTTTATTTATTTTTATTTATTTTATGTAGGACGATATAAATGATTTAAATCTTGCAAAAGGTACGAATGATAGAGCCGGACAAATAAAATATATGTATGATGTGCCATATACTCCACCATATTATTATTTACCTACAGAAGAAAAAATTACTCTTGACAAATATGATAATTTAGAACCATTGTTCAATGAATTCCAAAAATATGTTAATGATGGAAGAGTAGATGGCAATAGAATTAAAAAAAGTGAGTTGTAATGCACTACTTTAATATCTGTAAAACATACTTATTAAGTATTATAGTATCTTTTCCAGTTTGTAATTACAAGATTTGCAATGTAATATCAAAGCCCAAAGTTCATCGATCAATCATGAGGGAATCTGAGAAGGAGCTTTATTAACAATCAAGTTTTAGATCATCAGCATAAAAAATAATTTTATATTTTAATGCTTTAAAAGGAAACATACATTCTATGTACATTTAATAATAGTTTGATATGTTGTAAAGTTTTACATATATTATTATAAAATATAAATCATACTAAACAGTTAGTAGTGATCATATACATAATTACATACATAACATTTAAATCAAATTAATATACTAATTACTATCACTATGTTTTTTGTATACTTTCGGTAAATACTCAACTACCTACCTAATACCTACATATAATATGAATTGAAAACCAAGATAAATTAAATAAGTAGCATCTAAACAAAAATGTAAAATTTTGAGGTAATAGTTCCGTATGCTATCTGCATAAGAAATTGTATTTAATATTGGAGAGGTTTTCAACTTTTTTGGGCCAATGGCTCTTCTGATTTTTAAATCCAAATTAGCGGCTCCCTTACGAATAATAATAATATAAAAATTAATATAAAATATACATTTACTGTATTGCCTACTCTACTATATTTACTATACGCTCCTTTGATACTAAATCCCTGGGAATTAGGATGAAAACCATTGTACTATTGCATTAATACAAATGCTGTATAATATCTACAAATATTATTTATCTTGAGTATAAAGTATAATAATTTTTTTTTTTTTTTTTTTTTTTTAATTATAATACATACAATCTGTAAATACTTTTTACAATAAGCATGTTTGAGGAATTATGGAAAAAAAAAAAAATAAATAAATAAAATAAAAATAAAAAAAGGCGAGATCGACATGAGGAAGTAATCACCCAGCGGCAACACTTACTGACTATAGAGGGCTATTATAGGTCACGGTTCCAGTTACGTTTTAACCTTCTAGGTGGATTACCTGGAATGGAATTGGAGTTTAGGGCACGGATTAGTAGATTAGAGTGGTTTGTAAGACGCGCGCGGAAAAGTCTATAGGCATTTTTGGCTTCTTCATGGACAGTTAAAATTTTTAAGTCTGAATGTCCACACCTTTGTGGTTTGAAACATACGGAGGAGCGCCTGTAATCATTCGCAATGAGGTCGATTGGAATGCTTGGATTTTGTTAGTATTAGACTTTTTTGTAACTTTTTTTAAAGTATAATAATAAATAGGTAATTATGAAATACTCCCTAAATGTACCATATATGCTAAATCTAATCAGTAAATTGCCTTGGTTTAATTTGTATATGGTATAAAAAAAATACAATGCTACTAATTTGTTCGAGAGACAGTTTAAAAAAGAATGGTAGCGTTCTATAAACCATAAAGGAAACATACTTGAACGATTTTTTGAAGACATAAAAGACAATTTTTAATTATAACTATATGACAACCTTCATATATAATCACATAATACAGATAAGATGATTTTTTTTTTTTTTTTATAAAGTAATAATAATTTAAAAAATAAAAAAAATTGGTGAAATAATAAATTTGATGGTTGATATGATTTTTGTTACATAGATGGCATAGGGCAACTAGAAAGTTTATACAGATTGCATACAGCACAGCTACTATTGTTGGTCTATTATTTGATAGGTATTTATTTTTATCAAATTTTTAGAAAATTTAGTAATAAGGTTGATATGGATCATTATCCATAATGTTTCATATTATTTTAATGACTACGATTTAACATTTAAAAAAAAAAAAACAATATGTTTTGTATAATGGAAATATTAAATACAAAACAATAAATCACCGAATACTATAATATACTACAATTGTATTATACTACTCCCAAATAAAATGATGAAGTTTGATCATACAAATTTTACAGAAGATTAAAAATTGACACTTCTAAAAGGCACATCCTTAATACTAAAACCATTTATATACATTTAGGGAATCTGAAAAGGATAACAAAGCTAAAATATTTCCTTTTACTTGCATCATTGAGGTTCAATTCATATTGAAATTCAACACAACTTTCATCATTTCAATTCACCTATAAAACCTAGTCTTAATTTTTGAAGAAAATTCACCAAAAAAGGGTCATTCTAAAATTTTGAATAACACAACTATAAAATATTTTGTGTTACCAACCTACTTTTAAATTATAATTATTAAAGTCAAAATTGGAGGTGGTGTATTTACAGTTTAACATCAATTGAAAATATAGGCCAGAAGTCATTTATTTTAAGGGGACATTGCGTTAAACAAGGAGGTACATAGTTAACCATTTTTGTGCCACTAATTTTTTTTTTTTTATAGCTTTGTTGGTAAGTACTTAGGTAATCACTACCAACCAAGAAAAAAATCTACATAATAATAACTATAACTAAATTAATAAACCTTTGTTATGTAAATATTTATATGGATATCAATTTGTTTTAAATTATGGATAATAATCCATAATCCAGAACTATGTAAAATAATGAAATATGGATTTTTTTAAATCTCATCAAATATTAAGCAATACTGGTAGATAATTATTAAGTGTGTACATACATAGTTCAAAGTAAAATCCTGGAAAGAAGTATTATGCTGAGCTGATTAGTGTTGAGCTCTTCGATTTTCACCAACAATAGTAATAGTTAAAAGAATTTAAAATACAATTAAAAATCAATTTGAATTTACATTTTACTCACGACTGTACGACTCAAGATAAATAATGAAAATATATTACCGTATTAACCTATTTACCGTACACACATAGGTTATCTGTTATCACGGAGATAACCACATTAACGATGATAATGCCTTAGTACAATTTATGGATAGAGCCACGGGTTATAGATTAATATGTTTATGTATATTATGTTAGCGACGAGTTACCAAGTAAATTATTAGCTAAACTTACAAAAAACTGACCATGTTTAATTTTTGAAATTGACTTGTTTGAATAGTTGAATACGGTAATTTTTAAGCAATTTATTAACATTTGATATTATATTTAGTTTTCATTGGGTTTTATGCGCATGGAAAAAACTGTTTTGACCGAACGAAAATGTTTGAAATTTTTATACTACATTCATCATAGGAAATGTAGTAGTTTCTTTTTAATACGCGTTTAAAGTTCAAATTTTAATGGAAATCTTAAAAATCACGCAGCATTTCGCGTATTATTTTTTTTTATTCAAGGTAAATAATATTTTTCGACCAGACCAAATTATTTGACAATTTTACACATAGATTTGTCATAAATTGTTGCAAATGGAAAGTGGCTCCGTGGAGCACAATTCGAGAATTTGCTGCCTTTTAGTAAATTGAGATTTAATATTTTTTGAATTGTTGTTTATTTTAAATAATACAAATAACATCGTAGGTAGTTTGGTTGTAAGTAACGTAACTGAGGGGGGAGGCGATGAAGACATTAACGAGAAGTTAATAAAATTGTTTTTATTATAAATTTAAACGATTTATTTTACATTAAATATAAATTATTACATTTTTACTGTCCGATTTCCGTGCCTATTAATAATATTTTTATTACATTTATACTTCATGAATAATTTTCTTTTGCAAAATTTTCAATTATCAATAATTTTAGGTGGTTTAATTTCGAACTGACGAATATTGTATACCCTGTAAAGGTGCTGCACTATTGAACTACGTGATTGTTTTGAGAAAAGTACATTGGTAATAATAAATAATTATAATCATCAGAACGCATTGATATACTACGCAAGAAATCGTACACCTATATACGTTTCTGTGGGTTACATAAAGCCCACTGTATAGTCCGTGACAATTAAAAAGAAAACAAGTGCAATTAACGAAGAGAATTGTGTAATATTTAGGCCCATTTCCAGATCAATCCACTTTTTCTCTACATTTTGTATTATTATTGTTATTACTTTTTTTTTTTCTACACACGCGGATTATAATGCGGACCGAGTTTTAATGTCGGTCGCTTTGCCTCAGCAGTGCTCAAACTATGTACGATTGAATATTATTTAACACGATTTTGGAAAATATCATTGATGGTTAGATTTTTATGGATATAATAGGCGTATTATACAATTTATGAAATAATTCCCGTGCCAGCGGCTAAAAAGGACAAACAATTATTTGTTTAGTCATTTATACGGAAACGTTGTTATAGCCAGTTTTGGTATTAAGCACAGGGACGGCTACTTAGACCGGCACCGATGATCCAGTTTTAATCGAGTATAAAACGCACGGCTCTTGTCCAGAATGGATCATACAACAATCAACTTCTTACAATCGTATTATCTCTCATCCACGTTTTAATAGAATAATCGTCATGAAATCCGTGAGTATTTTTTCACATTATATTATTTATTAATTTATTATGTCGGTAAATTCGTTTACACTTTATAAATATTTTTGATTGTGACGTATGCAATAAATACATCGCATCATATTTAGTTTTCAAAACGTCTTTGTGTTATAGGATTACATTTTCTCTACGTGTTCTTTTAGAATGATTGAATTAAAACTTTCGATTTAACGTCGACGATAGAAAAAAAAAAACGGTATAATTTCACCTCAGATTTTCAAAACGTTGTATATTTTGTGTACCTCTGTACCTATGTACAGCAGAAAACGATCCATCATTTATGTCATAAAGCGTTTTACACAATAATATATTATTAGACGGAGAAAACTATAAGTCGAATACAGAAAAAAAAAAAAACTATACAATTTTTCGATATTTTGACATTTTTTCTCAGACCCAAAAGCTATACTTCAACCGTATGGTGTATTATTTGCCACTGCGGTAGTATTTGTATTTCCGAATTAATATAATTTTAGGTATTTAGTTTTATACTAGTATTTCAAAAAAAAAAAAAACAACTTAAATCAACAGTCAATATTAACAAATTATCCAACGGTCGATAACTAAAAACAATATAAACAAATCACTAGGGCAGTGTTCCAACATACAATTTTAATGTCTGTATAAAATATTGTATTTTTTATTCTTAATATAAACACATTTCTAATATAAAAAATATTGTGTAATATGTTTTTGATTTTTAAGAATGTAAAATATATATTATATGAAAATAAAATTATAACACTTTTATATGTTTGCGAGAATTTTTTAGGGGTGCTTGGTGGGCTTTTTCGGGGGGATAAGCCCCCCAAAGCCACCCCAATTTCCGCCAACGCTTAAGCGATAACTTAGGATTTTACCGGCGAAGTTAGGTTTACATTTTAGATGTTTAAACGTACGTTGTCGTTATCGTATTTATACCTGTACGTTATTATGTTTTCAGTTCGTAGCTACCACTTTGCTGTTGGCCGTGGCCGCGTGCGCAATCGCCGAAGAAGCCAAGTCACAAGACGCCAAGACAACGGAAAAGCGTGACGTCTACGGGCTTGGATACGGATTACCCGCGGCCCCCGCGTATCACGCACCGCTCGACTACCCAACTTCCATCGTTTCGCCACTGAAATACCACGCTCCGTACTCGTACCCTCTGTCCTACCACGCTCCTCTTTCCTACGACGCCCATCTGCCCTACCACGCGCCAATCTACAAGGCCCCGTACTACCCGTCGTTCTATTGATCGTCGTGCACCAGAGCAACGGTGATGCCAATAACATAATATCATATGATGTAGCGTATTTATGTACATATTATTACTTAACACTACCCATTGTCAATTGGGCGTCGTTAAGAATCGTAAATTATGATATTATTATTATTATTATTATTGCATTTACTCCTGAAATATTATAATATTATATTATTATGTGCTCATAATAAACAAACATTTTCAATACTTTTTAAAACTATTTACCGTTATTTATTTCGTTTCCACGTCCATAATCTAATAATATTTATCGCAAGCACGTATACAGGGGGGGGTTTCGCGTTTCAACCCCCCCCCCCGAAAATTAATAGTTGTGTAATTTATTTATATAAATGTAATATTTGTTTTTATAAACATTGATAATATTGGTAATATTGATTATTATACATTTTTTATGAACGTCTCCCTACCGATTTTTTTTTTTTTATGTACCTGCCTGATTAATTGTATAACTTTTAACTATATATATATATATGCTATATTATTTTAGACAATAGTATAGACTATTTTGATATAAACTGCACTAAAATAAAAATAAATTCCGCTAAATATTTAGGAGTTATATTTGATGAGTATCTCAAATGGATGTGTGTACCACACAATGTGAATAATATACCTAGCTTTAGTGCAATCTATATTAACTTACAGCTTAATTGTATGGAGATCTGCATATAAAAACGCCTTGGAACCACTAAATGTAGTTCAGAGAATTCTAGTTAGGATTATGCTAAACAACTACACTAATGGAAAATTCGTATATTAATAAAGCAATAAAGTTATTCAATAAATTACCATTAGAACAATTGAGAACTTAAGCGTGCGAAGACCTTGCTGGCAGGGGGGGCAAAATATATATTATATATTAAATGTATTATAATGAAATATTATTTTGGTTATTATTTATTAGATTCGAAGGCAATGCAATCAATAAAAAAAGCATTTAAAATGTGAAAAAAGGTAAAAAAAAAAAAGTATTTAATTTATAAAAAAAAATGTACAAAATATACTGAAAAATTAAATATATTTCAGTATATTTCAATTGATTTAATTAGTGTGTATTAAAAAAAAAACTTCACTACCATGTACCTATATAAATTGTCTTCAGTAAAACGTTGACGGTTTGGGCTCAACATATTTATAATACATAGTTATGTACAATTTATGTACATAGAAAATGGTTGATCTTTCTACGTCCACTGAAGTTATTGGGGCGTATTCATACATAAATAATTATCTAAATTAAGATTACTACATATTAAATCGTCATTGTCATTACTATTAAAATGGCATTTATAAGTTAAAAAAGATGAGAAAAAAACAATGATACTGGTTACGGGTGAGGCCTCTGTTATAAGTGGTGAGAAAGGTAGTGAAATAGGTGAGATACATAGTTATTTAATTTATACACAGGTGTAACGACAACCCATTGATAACGAAAAACGATTCGAAGCGAAGTCGATTATACCATTGAACTATAAGATAACTGGAAAGCTCACCGCCCATATGACTAATGTAAATAAAACCGAGCGAGCGTGTTAGAAAGAGATAGTGAATTTAGGTATTTCTATCTCTGTCTTTATACATAATACACCGTATCGTATTCACTTTTCAATGTTACCGGCGTAAATTTAATCCACGACAGTCAATTTCAGTTCTTCGTGATTTCTTGAATTGTATTTGTATTTAATTTATATTGTGTATTCTATTAGTACAATCGAAGAACAAAGTACAAATTAACAATGGTTAATTTTTGTAGTACTTTTAATTGCTCCAATACAAATGATGTCCAAAATGAATTAATATTTTACAAGTTAGTATTAATGTTAATTGTGATTGATTATTTCGTAATTTTATTTGTTTTACTATTAATTTATGTTCTAGGTACCTATATAAATAATTTAACTTTGTATTTTTATCGTCCAAGGTTCCCACTAAATGCTAATGAAATGTTAAAAATGGGTACATGCAGTCAAATGGACAAATTTTAAACCAAATTGTAGTTTATTTTTATGCAGTCGACATTTTACTGAAAATGATTACAATAAAGCAGTGCAGTAAGTTGGAAACTAGTTTTGAAAAAATGTGCCATACCAATTTGCAGATAATTTAATGTCAAAGATGAAAGAAAGAATTCTGCAATGGCATTATAAAAATCAAGTAATAATTGTTTTTAATTTACTTAATATACTAAAAATTTATTATGAAATAATTATTTTTTATTAGAAAACAAAAGAAATACATAAATAATAATAATTATTAAATAATATAAACAATGTAAAACAAATAACATTGATATTATATTAAAATCTATTTGAAAATGTATTATTTTTTCTTAATAAATAATAAATATGTATTAAATTTTCACTATATATTTAATAGCAATTTAATAAATTATAATACAATTATTATTATACAATGATTCTAATGATAATTTAGACCTTAAGTAATAAACAAAAAATAATAATATTTAAATGGGAATGTCCAAGTTAAAAAAAATTAACATATTTTTTTTTAATTTACAAATAATATAATTTATAATGTAGGTTTTACATTTTTACTAAAAGTTCTTTTCATAATATATAATATTTTATTGATAAATATTTGTATAGGATGATTTAGAACCAGTTCAAAGTAATACAAATGGACATGCTTCAGACAATACAAAAGAGTTGTTTGTTGATGTTGGTGTTTAAACAATTAACTGGCCATGAATTGAAAAAAACAATGCAGAATTTATGTCGATAAAAGAAAATACTGCAATAAAAACTTTTGAGACACGATAATAGAGTAGGTAATATAGGAGAAATATTACATTTATTAATAAAAAAGAATTAATTGAAGAAATTGTACAAGATATTTTTAAATCCAATTAAATTTTTCACTACTGTTCACATTATTTTAAAATGAAATTGTAAATTAATTTATTATAAATAAATATAGTAGAAAAGATTGGAAGAGAAAGAGAGAGAGTAAAGTATGGATACAATAATGACAAAAAAATAGCGGGTGTGAGTAGAGGAGAAGTTAGGACAGGGCTATTTGCAGGTGTAGAACTCCATATGCTTGGGAGAGTAGAGCAACAAAGAAGAAATAAATTGTTATTTTGTTTCAATCTAATTAAAATTTTATTTTATGTTACAGGAAATATGTCAGGATAAAGATATAAACCCTTGGAAGCAGTGCTAAAAAAGATTTTTATAATATTATTAAATAATAAAATAATAAATAAACTAATAAATGTGTTGTCTAGAGTATTATTATAAGTGTATAATAATAATAATAATAATAATAATAATTTTATATTCTATATAAAATGACCAATTTGTATAATTTTTTATTTTTTTTTTTTGTCTATATATTCCTTAATTATTTTTTTATATTCAGTCACGTTTTACATTTTGACTGATATACCAGATGAATTTTTAATTTGAAACTGGTCGTATAATACACTTATCATAATACTTCAGGGCATTTATTCATTTATTTATTTTTTATTTTTATATATACATTTTTTTACTTATATATTTATTTACTATAATATTATTAATCATTACATTTCAATGACTATGTGGAAAAAGGATATTATTTCATTTCATTCTGTTTCTGTAGATTAAATCTTTAAATTAAATCAGGAAAAAATTAAAATATATTATCAACTGACTTGTATACATACTTTAGATTATTATTTTTATTGTTTAAAATAATATAAATAGGTTGTTAATTAAGTAAACAGTTTAATTTTTGAATGCAGGCAAGATTTAATTGCTAATTAATTAAAATATGTATCATAATTTATATATATATATATATATATTTATATTTATATTATAAATATTTATCTTGTAGTTCAATAATAATGATCCAAGCTGCATAAATAGTAAATAAAATTTATTATTTCTAGGTACATAGCAATATAAAATAAAATTATACATTGGCGCTGTGTGTTAAACAAAGATAGATACATAATCTATTCATCTCTTTTTAACATACTCACTCGAGCAACACTGCGAGATGAGCAGTTATTTTATAGTTCAATGGGTTATACATGTTTTGATATTAAAATTTCTTTATGAAAAAAAAAAACTGTAAAAAATTCAATTTTTTTTTTACCACAAAGTACAACATTTGTGGGACCTCTTGTTAAATATTCAAGAATTTCTTTTTAGTTGAACAATTTTATCCACAGAGTACCTGCCGAATAAAAATTATGTACAAAACTTGCAAAATTCAAATGTCTACAATTAGCTCAAAAATGGATCAAATATTTTACCACTTTAAGAAAAAGCAAATATAAGTTTTTTGTAAAAATGTCAAGTCTTTATGAATAAGTAAATTAAACTAAATTACATTAAAAAATAAAATTGAAAATGATAAAAGAATTATTTTTGTACATTTTTCCATATTTTCCGTATTTGTTAAACTATTAAAAAAACTACAAAGAAAATCAAAATACTATTTTCTTGTTAACCAATTACAAATTCATGAAAAAAATCTCTTGATGGTTTTGTATTGGAGCAATATTTATGAAAGAAAACATAAGACGTAAAAATGTAAAATAATGAAATTGTTGTGCTGTAAATTGGAAAAAATTGGATTATTTAAATTTATATATAGGTAATGTATAAATACAAATTATATAGGTACATTCGTTTTTATCGTTACAAAATAATTAGGTAGGTATCATATTTTTAGCTAATAAATTAACATATAAACAATAATAATTGTATATGTAAATTTGTTTTTAAAAATTAGATATATTATCAGCTATTGATTATTAAATAACCTTAGTTTTATTTAATTTCTTTTTATTTTTCACTATAATTTGTTGAGCGTATAATTTTACATAAATAATTCTTAGTTGTATCCTATTGTCAAAAATGTCTTGAAGTTACAAATGATCACTTATCTTATCAGTTCCATTTAATATTAATTATCATATAAAGGCATTGGGATAAATATGCGGCTAGTAGTAGACGCATAAGCAGTAAAAGCTACTTACATGTACATCAAAACATCAATATAATAATTGAGGAATCATCCATTTTAAATGATCTAAGGATAATACCAAGTCGTAACCGATAACAACCGCAGTACTAATCACACGATGTTTTACCGCGGTCTGTCTGTCTGTCAATGATCATTGGTCACCAAAATTTGGATTTATCAAATTGTGTATTTTTAAATCTGATGGTGTTTTCAAAATTGACCACTCGCACTCAATTTTTGTAATTTAGAATATAGTCAATAAATGACATTTTCAAAATCGTTGTAGTTATTTCTAAACTCTAATTATTTATGATGACATTTCATTTTAGGTACTTATCAACCCAGTGGTTTTCCTTCAACTATTTTCTGGAAGAAGGGTTCAAGTGTTTTACATTCCAACAATATAGGTATTAAATATATTTAAAAAAATAAAATTATTAAAATGGTTAATACTCGTAAATAAAAAATGTATATATAAAAATAAAATAAATAAATGAATCAATGCGTCATCTGGAGTACTGCGATAAGTGTATTATACAACTGGTTTCACATTAAAAATTAAATAAAAGAATACATAGAAAAAAAAATTATAACATTTTTATACCGTTTTACATAGAAATAATTTATTATTATAAGACATAGATATGATTAAGAAATATAAATTATTTGGTTATTATTTATTATGTAAAATGTATTGATATAAGATATTATTTTTAAAGTCAGTCTGCAGGTACATTTATAATATTATTAAAGTTTTCTTTATTTCATTCTACATATGTAATTCTTCTAAAACTGAATCAATGTAAATGTTATTTTGGGCACCTATCTATTTAATATCTCTAAGTCTGTATTAATATCAAGGTTTATATTATAATTATTTTCTAAAACATATTTAGTGAAATCTGAATTTGTGACAGTCTTTTTATTTCTTATTTTAAAATTTCTGTTTGTCTTACCTATATAAAATGTATAACAGTTACATTTAAGTTTATATGTATATATATATATATATATATATATAAGTTCATAGTTTTTATTTATATAATTTACTATATTTATTTAACGATTTTAATAATTTATTTTTTTATGTATACAATTTTATTTTAAAAATAATACCTTAGTCTGATACTAGTACATTTTATTTAATATGTAATAGAATATACAAAAACTCATCTTTTTTTTTTTTTTACCAAATTCATCCAAAATGCCCATCATGAGGTGAGAGAGGATCTTTATTGCAATTGATAACATTGCTACTAAAAACTCTTCTAAAAATTAAGGAAATTTAACATTTTACCCATTAAGGTGATAATATTAGTAAGGATGGTATAGCTGTTTGTTTGCTGTTTAGTCATAATGTGATAAACTGACTACTATTTACCACGAAAAACAATATGTTTGGCTATAATAGTATATAATCTTTGCTCTGTTGATATCTAAATTCTATAGGGGAAAAATATTATAAATCAGTAGTGTCATTTAAATTTTGTTTAATACATATGATTATGCAAGTCACACACCCTGTCTAGAAATTTCAACACAACAAAAATAAAATTATCTACACATTTTCTTACATATCTATTAAATCACATAATAAAACATTAAATAATTATCTAAATAGTTTCATTCGCGAATTATCATGATTATAGGAACTTGATATTTAATAAATCATGAACAATATTTGTATTAAGTCCTAGACTTTTTTTTTTTTATTTAAAAAAAAAAAAAAACAAAATATTAATTTAAAAATAAAATATATAAACCAGTAATGCACAATAACACAGTGGTATTCAGGTCAAAAAATTTATAGCACCTTTGGATCCCTTCCTACTACGGTAAGTAGGCCACTGTACCTACCTTCCTAATAATATATTTTATTTTATTATATAAATCTTCCCTTTTATTGTTCATATTATTATAGGTATTTACTTTTGGACCTTATCAGGAAACAAACATTGTATATAATATTCTTCTTAGGCTTATTCAGTGATAATGGTGCAGTTCTCATAGGAAAAATTTAATTTATGATTACAGCAGTATTTTTAATAATTTAAATCATTTAAACAATTCCAAAACCATACACAAGAAAAAAAAATGAAAAAGTAAAAACTAATACATGCATGGAATTAACAATTTCTATCATTATTATTATTTATTAAAATTAAATGTACATTTATAATCATATTATTATATCATACCACATGACAGAGTAAAACAATTTACCAATTTAAAATTAAAAAAAATATTAAACTTTATATTTTTATTAGTTACATATTATCCAGTAACTTAAATTTGTATAACGGCTTATATTTTAAATAGTTGAGTAAATAACTGAAATAGTCATACTATATCACAATAATTATCATAATATTATTCAGTTGATAATTCATCAGTCTCAACAATTATTAATAAAAAAACATTTATCAATTATGAACATGTAGAACAGTTTTAACTAATACAACATCTGTTACGTTTTAGTTTTAAATTACAATTTTCAATAGTTTTATTAGACTTAGCTATATAATGAGAATATTCGTTATCAAGCTTCTTGGCACCTTCCAATTGTAATTTTTTTGCAGGACCTTCAATAGCGAGAACACATTCTATTGAACAAGCCCAATGTTGAAATGGCACACATGTATTTCCCAAATAAGGAGTTAGAAATGTCACTGTACTAAATCCTGTTATCAAAAATATCAAATCAATTTTCATAATTTTTTTTGAGTATTATTAATTAAATAACCTGGTTTTGAACAGTCAGTTGCAATATTACAGTTGTTACATATATTATAATTTAAATAAGTCAATGACATGTAATGTTTAATTGACTCAGGAATTTCCTCGTTGAAAAAATTAATTCCTGAAGAAAATATTTTCTCAATACAGATATCTAATAGAGAATGTACAACTGGAGTTGAAGTTTGATCTCCACGTACCCAATAGTTTTTCCAAATTTCTTTTCGGACTCTATAATAACAAATGGATTGTTAGTTTAATTAGGTATCAAATATCTTTAAAACCATTATATTTACCTATTATCATAGTCAGTATGATACCACAAAAAAAATGATTTAAAGTAATTTCGGTTACCAAGTCTATAAACTAATTCTAAATGGTTCATGCTTGTTAAAAAACCAGGTAATGCTTCAAGTTGGTTATCATCAACATAGAGTTCTTTAAGATTTGTACAAAATTTTAGACTGAATGGAATGGATTGGACAGTTAACAAGTTATCCGTTAGTATAAGCACTTCAAGTTTTGATAACCGACCAATTGCACTTGGTATTTGCCGCAAGTAATTGTGTTTGAGTGATAAAATTTTAATATTCTTGCAGTGGAAAATCTAATTGGGTAAGTAAAAGATTAATTATTTTCAAATAAAAGAAAGTGAAAACCAGAAAGCAGTTAGAAATAGAATTTTATTCACTAATTAAAACTAGTAATACCAAAAAGTGTTAATGAGTAAGAAGAATAAATTAAAGTGAAAAATACAAATTTTAGGAGAAGATGCTTTTTATTGAGACGCTATAAATTGCAGATAATAAACAAGTTATCTTCCAAAGAGATGGCATAAATAAAGAAGTTCAGTTTTTTAAAACTAAAATTATTTTAAAATAAAAATGTAAATATTTCCCTCTAACAAGAGAATGAATTTTTAAAATTTAAAAAAAAATTGTAAAAAGCATTATTATTAATTTTTAAAATTTAAAAAAAATTGTAAAAAGCATTCAAAACTTCAACAAATTATCATGAATCAATTGCAAAATGTATGATTAACTAATACTCTTATGTGGTTTTTAAAATGTTTTAAACGTTAAAAAATGTTAATTTCTTGCTAGAGGGTGATATTTAAATTTTCGCTCTAAATTATCCAAGTTTAGAAAATTTTACTTCTTTATATCATCTTTTTGGGATGATAATTATTTATTTTTCCAATTTAGAGCTTTTCTATAAAAAGCATTTTTTTATTAATGAGTTTTGTTTTTACTTTAATTTATTTTGTGTAACTACAAATAGAATTTTGTGGTTACATTCTGGATTCTCTACTTTAATGTACACAAATTATGCCCATTGTGAGCTATACAAGAATAACAGCACAGAACGCTGGTCTTCTGTTGCATCATCGTGAGTAAGACTTAAACTGTGGCATTATCTATAGAATCGAACAAATCTATATTTATAAAAAGCATCTAATAAAGTTGGAATATATTAAAATTTTACTAATTACACCTAGTATTTCAAGTAATAACATTAAACATTAAACTAATAGTATAAAGCATTTAACTAACTAATTTTACATTTGTACATGGTTAATGGTTATTAACAATTACAATTAATTTAAACTAATACACTTTGGGTTTAACTGATTTTGAGTATTTATATACATATAAAATAAATAACTTAACTAAGTCAAAAGAAATTGTGTACATTTATACCCAAGATTATAACAAATATATTTGTGAACTACTAGTTTCAGCTGGAAGCCATCAGGCTACATTTAGTATTAAATAACAAAAATCATACTACTAAATAACAAATATATATATATATATATAATGTACACATAGAAATTTCTTTACATTATTATTAAATAAATAAAATTACTATTCTATTTAATTAAATAATATACTTAATATGATGAAGTTACCTCTGAAGGAAGTTTACTATCATCCATAATTTTTAAAATGTTGTCTAGATACATTTCTTGAATATTGTATCGTTCTATATATCTTGATAATGGTGTAGAACATGGAATATTTAATGATTTTAGATACTGATTTAATTCTACTTTCAAAAATGTCAACAAGCGCAGAGGATAATTTTCTATCACTTCCACAATATAATTTCTATCTTCTAATAATGAATTACTTACCTGTGAACGATTACAAATCAGTGATAATTAATATGAAGGGCCCAGATTTAAATGTACTTTAAATTAAAACTAATAAAAAAAAACTAACTGTAAATGTTGTAAATGACAAAAAATCACTTAAAAATTTGTGTTAATCATTTGTATAATGTTAGAAAATTGTATTTAATAAATAAGAGTTATTAGAAGGAATTTAAAACCCCTATACCATTTTTGGTTTTAGATTCTGAGCGGAGTAAGGAATGTATCTGTTTTATAATAATGTTTTTTTTTTCTGTGATTAACTTTTCTACCAGAAATTTTGTTCAGATTTTCAAGTGTGGTACTTTTTCTTAATTTTACAGCAGGCATCTATGCATATTTTGAACGATAATATTATAACTTTATTGTCATAAATTTTCTCCATGTGGCCTGGTTTATATATGGGTTTTTCTTATTCCACAATGACATATATGTTATTAATACTTAATAACTGTTATCTTTGTTAATGTATTTTTCAATTTATTACCAATGTATATTTCAGTCAACTCTGTCTAATAAAACACCTGGTTGTGAAATCATTTTTTTCATATTTAAATAATATACTTTGCCTATATTTTATAAAAATAATATGTCAGAAGTATGACAGTTTATCAGAATAGACTATTTGATAGTAGAAGAAGAAAAACAGTTTGTTTTTATTAATAATTATATTTTAGAATAGGTATAATATAATAAAAAAAAGTATGCATAAACACATAACAAAATATATAAATAAGAGTAAAATATTTCCTAACAGTATTTGTATTAAAAATCCTTTTTTTATCCTTTATAATAATATATTATATATTTGAAAAACATCTTAGAATCTAGAGGCACACCTGCTAAAAGGTTAAAAGACATTTTTTATTTTCTTAGGGGGTTTCCAAATAAATGGGATAATATACAAAATATTTTATTTTAAAATTGTATAATCGAACTCCGCTCAGATTTTTTTTTTTGTTAGCAATGATTAATCTTTGGCTACAAATATACATTAAATTTTCTCTCTGCCTTCCCAACTTCACACATACAGCAGTGGCCCATCCATCATGCGAAGTATATCCATTTATTTTTAAATATTTTTTATCAATTTTAAGTACATTTAAATCCAAGCTCTATTAATAAGTAATAAGTATTTATTTTAAACAGTTATTTAATTAAGTCATAACTCACATCTTTTGAATTCTTGGAACACTGTATACGTCCTTCATTAGTATGAATTATGGCTTTCAATTTACGTTTTACCTAAAAATAAATAAATCACATATTATTTGTTTATTAAAAATAAATTAGGTATAACAATAAATTCAAGTTTTATTAATTACGTTAAAATCTAGATCTTATGTTATTTTAAAATGAGCAATCTTGTAAGAATATTGATTAAAAGTATTTATACACTAGTATTTCAATACTTTTAAAGTATTTTCATGAAATTTGTATACTTGTATTTAAATACTAAAAAATTAATATTATCAATTCATTTTTACAAAAATTTGACTGAAAATAAAAATAATATTGTTTTTGCTGAAATGATATTGGTAATATAATTATAATTATCTATGAATACCTCCCCATTTAGTTGTTTATGTATATCTAAGGATAATTTATTGTACAATTGGCATTTATAAAAATAATTATAATTTGTAATAATAATAATATAGGAGGTATAGTTTTACAGAATATAATAGCTGATAAGATAATGTACATTGTATTACTGAATATCATATTATTATCATTATATTTTTATTTCAATTTACCATTGAATATATAATAGACATGAACCTACTATTTTTTTTTTTAAAATCAAATAATGTACCATATAACATATTAATTAATTTATATAAGTAAAATAATGGTAAAAATTTTATGCACAGAAAGCATTTTTAAATACATAATATTTAGGTGGGTAATTGAAAACAAAAATAACCCTAAGGCCTTGTTTACACGTGACGAGTACTCGGCCGTGTCACTCGTTATGTTGCTGGGCCTAGTACCGGAATTGACTGAGTGAAGCGTTTACACGCATTGTATTTGCTTTGCCGAGTGACTACCCCACATATATATTCACAATTATTGAACTACTCATTACACGACACTCGGCTAGCGGTTTGGACATGCCGAGTACCATACATCTTGATAGTAGGGGGTAGTCACACGGCCCAGCAAATAGAAACTGTTTCTATTTACTCGCCTGCTTATTTTACTCGTCCGATTACTAAGCCGAGTACTAGTTCCTTGAGTTCACACGGGACAGTGCTCGGCCGAGTTGACTCTCTCGGCCGAGTACTCGTCACGTGTAAACAAGGCAAAAAATTATAGTAACCAATCTTTTACATAATATGAATTTATACATTACTCATATTACTAAAAGTTATTATAATTATCACTATTATAATTTAATGTTTGTGATTGAATATTTTAATTGATTTATAAATATATATTTTATTGTTAATTTTTTTTTTTGTACAATTAACCTTTTTGGTTTTTATTTTAATAATAATATTTTTAAAAATGAAAGTAAAAAACTTTAAATTTAAATGATATGAATAAACAAAAACAGAAACAAAACAAATTGTGACGTTTTCTTTCCTTGCAATTTTTAAAAAATATAATACCCATATTGATTTTATCAGAATTGCAGTAATTGTAGCTTGTAAGATTTTCGTAAATTAATAAACAACTACCTATAAAATAAAAAAAATATAATACTTTATATTAGTAACATAAGATTTTACCACAAAATTATCCTGGTGGTCAGCTGTGATCCAATTATTGTTTTTGCTCGGCGCACACTCAACTTTGTAAATTTTCAAGACTCCGTCAGGTGATAATAGATATGCCAATAATTCATGCCACAAACTAGTTTTGCTACGAAATTTAACTTTATCGATAAAATTAATTTTTTTACCGTAACACGTGGACGTAAACTTCTTGATCATATGATATTCATATCCATTGAATTTGACGTCCATTGAACTGGTCATTTGTTTTGTATTTGTGTATCTAAGGTGAAAAAAAGTCAATGTGTAATTAAATGGAATTTTAACAACCTTATAACAATATTTAATCACTGTTGTTGATATAGCCAATAACTAGATATAGGTAAAATGTTATTATGTATTCTAATGGCAACAGCGTAGGCGAGTAATTTTTTTAATACCCACCTACCTACAATTTTATTGCAATTTTAAAATTTTGAATACACAGAATAACAAATCGAATTTCACTTTAGAGCATTTGAAGTAAGTAGGTAATAATCCGGTGGTTACATAGAAAAAAGAATCCTACATTAACAATATTAATTTCTATAATACCTAGGATGTACATTTTGAATACCATATTTTGTAACATTATAATTCTAGGTATTTACTCGAGAAAAATACAAATACATACTCGAGCAGTTGACAGTTGGCGATCAGATCAGTGTAAGAAAATAAAAAAAAAACTACCGGGACTTAACAATATAATTGAAACGAAGAGCATACGTACTACGTGTCAACCAGTGCCTAGACAGGATATGAATAATAATAATATTATTATTATTGATTTTGCTGTTAATTCGCTGATAAACTGCCAATATTCGGTACCATTGAAACAACCGAAATCGAAAACGGGCTAGTGCCTATAGTTGCGAAACTGTTTTGAACGGTGGTGAAATCGTGCGATTCGTAACGGTATACGTACATACGACTGTCCGATATACTTTTTTTTTGTATTATAAAATACTGCTAGCACTATTATAACAATGATCCTGTGTAAAAACGAATTAGCGTAACAAACTAACGCAACGACTGCGCGCGATTCGTGCGTAATAGGTAGGTATGTTATTATATTTTAGTTGTCGCCAAAATGTGCGAAAGCGGACGTTGGTCGAGACCTATAATGTTGATAAAAACCACAATTATTGACTTATTGTTATGCGATAACAATATTGAAGTTATCTGTGTGGACTGAACCTTGCTCGCGGACCCGCAGCTGATAAGAACATTAGTCATCGTTGACGATTCCTTTAATAACGCGCATAATCCATTGCCATTATAATGGTATTATTATTATTATTATTATCCGAGTAGATAAAAAAGAAAGAAAAAAAGTACCGGTTGAATACCTTACTTACATAATACAATAAGGATTAATTTAATCATTCGGAATTTTTGTTTTTCATATTGCACATTTATACGATAGGTACGTACGTTCAGAGGAGGCGTTTAGGGGGGAGGGGAAACATAGAGACCATGCCCCTCTAGACATTTTGTTTAGCTAGACGGGTAAATATTTTTTTCTAATTATAATATATGGGCATGTATATATGTAAGACATAGGTATATTAAAAAATGTTGCTAAACGCCCCCCCCCCTAGGCAAAGAACTAAATCCGTCATTGTGTACAATATGCCAGTAATATTGTTCTTAATCAATTTCTCGTTTTCACGTTAGGTGAAATATGATCGTGTGAAATATCACGATTAAAAAATGCGTATAATTCGCGTAAAAATTAAAATAACGAGAAAAAAGACGTCCTACAGTATAATGGTGACAGGTGCAGCCACTGTTACAGATAATTTAATGTATATCTGCAGTAAGCAGCAGCGTAATTACGGGGGAGGTGGGATTTGGAAATCTTATCCCCCCCCTCAAGACGTTTTTTTTTTCCGGATTGGGGAACTATATTTATGTAATTATTTAACTATAAATAATATTATATTATATAGTCTATATTTTATAGAAGTAATACAAAAAAACCCGAATCCCCATACTTGCTGTACTTAAATACTATGTAATAAACGCAGGTGCATACTGCCCTGCCAAAGTGAAAGACAGTAACCGACAATTTTTCATAAATAAGATTACCTTGTGTTTATTAAGCCATTTATATAGATTTGTCTAAGTTGAAATACAGTAAAACATCATTTAGATCCTCTAAATGAGCTTAACTTAAGTAGTATCCACCAAAATATCACCGAATACTAGACAAATAAGCAGTATATGATATATTCTAGAGAAAAACTCAATATAATATGTTGTGTAGTTACTGCTTACAGGTAAGTTTAGTAAATTTATTTAGCGGAATACATACTGCGTATATATTTAGTAACCGCTTAGATTATTTGACGAACACATTATGATTAGATTATCACGTGCGTAGATACAATGTACCTGGTACATACATCTATTCCACTACAAGGTGATTATGATAAATACAATTTTTTTTTAAATTTGTTTAGTGAGGGGTAATAACTAATAGGTAAAATGTAAAAAAATTTCATCCTCCCTCCCCACAAACATTAACAAATCACGCCAAGGGCAGAAAACACTGATAAACCATTGCTAACGAAAAAACGATTCTGAGCGCAGTTCAGTTGATAATGATGCTTTGTCAAGAATATAAATGTCATATTATGGTAAAATAATTATTAAATATTATGCATTATATATTTTTTTTAATAATATTTGTTTAATATTACACTTATTTTCCCATTTTTCCATTTATTAGAAAAACTCCTGAAAAAATCAAAAAATTACCTCCCTAAAGTACCTTCTCAGTCAGATTTACTTTTAGAAACAGTGCTATCATTTTAAATCGGAGCAAAATTGCTAGTAGGATGGTTGTTTACAGGAAAAAAAAAATCTTTGTAAAATCATACGCTTCTTCGCTTCACTCAGAATCTAAAATAATAGTAATAAATTACAATTGTTCCTGCATTCATACAAAACCCAACTAATTGGTTCTATATAAAACTAAAGAAAAAACAAAAAAAAAAAATGTCAAAAAACTCTTAAAAGCATCCGAATATTCCGAGTAAAATTGCTGGTAGAAAAGTTCTCAGGGAAAAAAAAGCCCACATATTTGTTTACTAATACCTATATTTCGTACATTTTCCGTTTTTCCGACATTTTATCCCGGTTTTTCCCCAATATTATGTAAACCGCTTGAAAAATCTAAAATTTTCTTCCCTAAATTACCATAGAGATAAAATTTCCCTTCAGAAAATAAATTACACTTGATACATCGGAGCTGGATTTCTGGTAGAAAAGTTTGCACAACAAATCGAGAGGTATTTTTCGATTAAAATAGTCTGAGTGAGCGATATCTTGATCTCTAGGTACATCTAAAATGCATTTGTTTTTCCCTGTGTATGAAAAAGGGAATAAATAAGTGCAAACTATTTTTTTCAAAAAACGGGTTTAAACCCGAACTCTAGGATGAGAATAGATATGCAGCTATTCGGCTACGACAAAAATGTTAGAAAGTAAACAATATAGAATTATTTAACATAACATATAATATCCGCATACAATCAGAATATTAAAAAACAATAATTTCGATACTTGATCAGTCCGCTCAATCCTGACTTCACCATCGTTCTTAAATCGGCAATATACATATGGTCGAAAAAAAAAATTTAAAAATTAGATTTGTTCCTCATAATTTTTTACTCAAGTAATTTTCGTTAAAATGTGTAATACTACATTAAACTAAAATTTGTATCACAAAGTAAAACTCTTAATGAATCTCCTGTTAAATTTTCAAGTATTTCTGTTAAAAATCTAACAATTTTACTATAGAGTACGTACCGAATAAAAATTACGTACAAACTCGCAAAATTAAAATATCTATAAATAGCTCAAAAGCGGCTTAAATTTTTGAAAATTGTACGTCTAGAAAAGGCAAATATCAGTTTTCCGTCCGAATTTAAAGTCTCTAAGAATGTTTTTAACTGAATTACAACAAATAACAAAATTGAAAAATAATTAAAGCATTATTTCGTAAATTTCCCGTTTTTCTTACATTTTATTCTGGTTTTTCCCAGATATTATGAAAACCGCTTGGAAAATCAAAAAACGACCTCACATAAGTATTGACTGGACAACATTCACTTTCGGAAATGGTGCCGCGCGTTTATATCGGAGCAAGATTTCTAGTAGAATTTCTGTACACAGCATAAAAAAATAAAAATAAAAAAAATAAACAGCTTGGTAAAACCAATGCATTATTCCCTACACTCAGAATTTAAAACGACGAGACGATACAGACCATGTTCATAACCTTAAATTGTTTAATAGGTAAATTCACTTTAATATCAAAATTAACAACACAAATTTGTCCTTGCTGAACAAAAATTTGGTGTCGCGCAGTCGTATGACGGAGACAGAAAAAATGATAAAAGACATTTTTTGTTGCATTTTGGAAATAGTTGCTTACGGAAAAAGTCGTTTTTTTGATTTGACAACTTACTATTATCCTTTATGTAATTAATCTTTAAATAGTCGCAAAATTCGTTTATTTTATTAATTTTTGTATTTCTGTATAGTAATTATTATTTCTATTCGTGAAGGAATTTACGTTTAAGTAATTTTTTTTTCGTGTGGGAACTCACCGAGTCCCGTAGCATATTCTGACTTGAAAACATTTATATCAATAGCCGTGTTATATTAGAAGCTAGTCTAGTGCATAAAGTGTAAACTGGCATACTGCATTGAAGAATTTTTCGACTATAAATACTGAGTCTTGTCTGTATACTATTTAGTATTTACACTATACTGTATAAAAAACAGTCACCTACGGGCCACGACCCACCCATCCACCTACCTAAAAATGTTTTGGAGTATTTACCTCACTTGTCATACGTGTTCGGTGCCACTAAAAAGTTTAATTTGTTGGTTACAAGCTCCGTTGTGTTGTGTCATTGAATATACCTAAACGTTAATATTTTTGTTGGCAACAGTTGAATAGTGAGGTATAATATGAATTTTGTTAAAATACCTATTGCCAGGCAGCATATTATGTTTGAACCGCCGCCATTGGTATCGATCAAGGAATTAAACAAAATAATAACAACAACAAAAAACTCCTTATCGTAAAATTAGTTGCGCTATGGTGCTCCCAATGTGACACCATACAGCCACTGAGAAATTGGCAAAAAAAATTGTTAGGTAAACATGTATGATAAAAACGAGCATTGAAGACGATGAAGATCTTACCATTTGCAATACATTTAAAATACAACAATTACCCAAGTTTTCCAGTGTATTCGGAGGAAACACCAAAGTACCCAATAAAATTTTCATACATGTATAAAATGATTTTTTTTTTCAAATAAACTATAGAATGTGGGTACCTTATACAATTTACAAAATAATTAAATATTTTAAGGTAATAACAGGTAATATAATTTAAAAAATGACCTTCTTAATTCACAAATAAATATCACAAACTAAGAAGTTAAGAAGATAATAATAAATATATTTTAGATTCTAAACAGTGCAAAGAAGCTTAAAGTTTTAAAAAAATTTATATTTTTTTTATCTGTTAACTTTTCTACAAGAAAGCGTGATTTTTTCCTTGTCGGGCATATTGGGATAGAATTGACCACACACCCACCAACTACCCGCGCAATAAGACGTGTGCGATCCACACATCAAATTGTTTGGTGTACTGAGGTTGACAACACTGCGTCGATTATTTCTCTCTTGTATCTATGTATCTCTCTTCACCACTCGGTATGATATGAAATATCATAACACATTTTATAGTGTACTTTATGTATTTTCCTAAAGTGATGTAAATGAAAAAAATTTGAAGCATAATGACCATGGGGGCGATAGATCCATTCGCCTCACCATCATGATAACCCCGCTGTTATCTTATAGAAGTAGTAAAAAGTTCTTGACGAAATAATACTTAGAATGTTATCGGAAATAGTGGAATAATATAGGTTATATTTTGTGATTTTATCCTTATCAGGTATACTGGGGTAGAATTGACCAAACACCAACCCTCTACCCACGCAATAAGACGTGTGCGATCCACACATCAAATTGTTTGGTGTACTGAGGTTGACAACACTGCGTCGATTATCTCTCTCTTGTATCTATGTATCTCTCTTCACCACTCGGTATGATATGAAATATCATAACACATTTTATAGT